TTATTGATTTTACGTTCTAAATTCTACTACATTACAATGGCTTAGCTTATAAATTTCTCTGTGTGTAAGATTCACTTTGCTGAACTCGACGTTCCTATAAAATGTAATAGTCGCTTAGGTATTACCAGTTCATATCAAATATTTAACTCTCGGCTATGGAAGTTAAATGTCATCAGTATGGAAAATGAATTTCTTAAATATTTTCGAGATGCTTGTGATCAAGGATTGAACGAGTTACCAGAATTAAAACCTTATTAAAAAAACTTCTTATGGAGGTATAGAGAGTTTGAAAAACTATCATACTCAATATACAGGTAATCAAGTCGTAATGAATTTATTATTAATGAAATTAATATGCGAAATAAACACGTTTTTATAATCGTATCTTATATTATAATGTTAATGTAAGTGATTCAAACTAAATATACAAGATTATTGCACATAAACTCGGATTGTTATCATCATATACAAAATGGCTGCGTAAGCTGTAAAGGGATATCACAAATATTAATTTTCTGACCATGGAAAATACAGTAAATATAGTTGATTATTATTGACTCCCTTTACGCTGCGCCAATTTTGTTTTTATCAAATATTTGATTGAGACCTATTGTGACATGAAATAATTTCAATAACCTTGTATATTTCAACTATGATTCAAACCAAACTGATGAGCGTATAGCCCATTATATTTGGTTAAAACCATTATCAAATATATTATAAATAATTCGATTGCACTTCTGTCATCAGTTAAGAGAATGGTATACCTGCATTTGTTGTCTTAGTCCAACAACGGGTAATATAGCTAAATCAACGTTATGCAAACTGCGTAGAACTCGCTTTAAATCACTGATTATAAAACTAAAAGAGGACAATATTCCGGAGGGCCTAGACAATGTGTTTTTATAATATTCTAATTATTATTCTGAATATTTAACGTTCAATACGTCGTTTAGAAATAAAGACTAATTCATCATTTTTAAATAAGTACAACGTTTCAAAAAAATAATTTAAAAAAAAGGTGAAACATAATATTTTGGTATCCGCAAAATTTCATTTTTTTTAAATTTTATAATTGGTGATTTTAATTTAAAACTAAAATTAAGCGAGTTTTATGCGATCTGCGTAAAATAGATTTTGCTATATTGTTCGTTAGTTGGATTGAGATAACATATGCGGGTACAACGTTCTCTGAAGGTCATTTGCCTTGGGCGTTATCAAGTAAACAAACCACGACTAATTAAAGTCGTGTTCTGTTCTATGTTTGATGCTTTTAATATTCTCATCAAGAGAAAGAAAAATTTCTCAGCTGATCATCCAACTGTTAGTATAAACTCAGATCGTACAATCAAAGGGATAATATACAGAAATTACTGGAAGAATTGGTTTGTGTTTTTATGTCGTCAAGTTAACATATTTTTATTCCAAGTTTTGTGAATTAGTCGAAAATATTGAATTATCATACTCTAATTTGAAAATTTTTGTTATTGGGGATGTTAATTTAGTATCAAATGTGGTTAAATAATAATCGAATAGTTAACCCAATATGTGAAGTTATTAAGAATAGTTTTATAAACTTAATGAATTATAAACAATTTAATGATATCTTAAATTTCTGTCAAGAAATGCTAGACTTAATTTTTTCAAATTTTCAAATTAATAATATTCCTGTACGGCTTTCTTTAACTCCTCAATTTAATGCTCATCATCTCCCATTGTAATTTCTTTATAAGCCGGATACCCCGGATACCATAGGATAACATGAAAGATTTGCCAATCTTTTACTTCTATCATTTATAAATTTTAATGCTTGTAATTTTGATAACACCAAAAGTCTATACTTATATCTGAATCAGATTTTATATCTTTATTCAAAATTAAGCTTAGAAGGTGTTGTCAATAAGTTGTATCAAATTGTATTCCACTCCTTTGACATGTTTGTACTAAAAAATAAAATTAATCTAAAACTTTAAACATTCTATTTCCTGTTCAAATTCTATTATAAAAAATTTATTTAAGTTGAAAAAGCTGGAGTTTAAAAATTTAAAATAACTAATTCACTACTTGGCTATTCTATCTTTTCTGAACTTCGTAAAAAAATGTAAAAATTTGACGCAAATAGTTCATGTTAATTGCATTATAAAAATAGAAAATAACATTAATAAGAATATGAAATCTTTTAAAAATATATTCAGTTGTGGAAATTAAATAAGTAAAATATTCCTACTTCTGTCTTTCTAGATAATGTTACGTCTGACAATAATTCGGATTCTACTAAACTATTTACAAATTATTTCTCATGGGCTTATGATAATAATATTATACTATAAATTTATCCAAGTTTCTACTTTTAAGTAGTATATATATTTGGTATATTGCAGACAATTAAATTGTTGATATTCTCAATTCACTTAACGATAAGTCGGGCGTAGGGCTTGATGATATTCCTCTCTCATTTTTAAAATCTTTCTCGTTTTCTTTAATAAAACCTATACATTATTTGTTTAATTTATCGTTTAAAAGTTGAGTCTTTCTTGATTTTTAGAAAAAATGGTTTATATCACCAATTTTGTAATCTGGTAATAAAAACAATGTACGGAACTACAGTCCAATTTCAAAGTTATTTGTTTGATACCTATACATTTTGAAGTTTTTATAATGAAGAAACTTGTTATATTATTCTAACGTTACGGTTTTCGTCTGATTTATTCTATTTTAAATTATGTGTTACCAAATACAGATTTTACAATCATTTAAGAAATGTCAACAAATTGACAGTATATGTGTAGATTTTCAAAAAGCTTTCGATAAAATAAATAATGCTACTCTTTAACTTAAATTATAGCCATTTGGTTTTAGTTACGTTTCTATTATGGGTATCATCTTATCTCTATAATCAATTGCAGATTGTTAAATTATACTTCCATAATTCTGATGAGTTTTCTGTACTCTTTAGGGTATCTCTTAAGGATTATATTTAGATTCTTTATTGTTTCCATCAATGACCTGCTTCAATTATTTAAAAATGTCATTCATATTTTATTTTACGCTGATAATTCTAAAATATATTGCCTTATTAATACTATTACCGATTCTGAACTTTCACAGAAGAACTTAAATTCATTTTCACTTTGTATGATACCACAAATCTAATTATTTTTAAATATAAAAATCAATGAGAAGAAGTTGAAGAAAAGAGTCTATGTTATTAAAGATTTGAGTATTCATTTTGAACTTGATTTGTCATTTAAAACTATTCATAAGATAATACGAGTATTAAATAAATTATATAAGATCCTTAGTTTCATTAATAGAAATACCCACACATTTAATAACTTATATTACTTAAAAACATTGTACTGTTTTCTTCCGAGATCTTTGTTAAAATTGAGCTTTTTAATTTGTCAACTTATATTAATGATCTTGAAATTGTTCAATACAAATTTTTAAAGAGAGTAGCATCTGTTATTAATATTCCTATATCTAGAGTATCTTTTGATAGCATCCAGTATTCAATTTTCCATAGAAGACAATTGGCGGATGTTATGTTTGTTTATGATTTATTAAATGGAAATATTGATTGTTAAATATATTTATTACTTACTATAAAAGCTTTTTTTTTAAAAAAAGGGGAAGTATATAAGTATTAAGTATACCTATACAAAAATCAATCAACAACTAAATTTATCACTTAGTTAGGTACTTTATATTTAATTCAACTATTAATTTAATTTAAGTTTAAAATGTTTAAATTGTTGACTGTATAATTCGGCTTTCTTTGAAATATAATATATAATACAGTAGTTGTGTACCTATGGCCTTTTTTCATGGTAGGTAATTTGAATAGAACTCGTTATTTTGAGAAACGCGAGAAAATACAAATAAATTCGTTTATTTTGTTTTTTTTAGGCGCTACCACTTGTTTGATAATTTAAATTTTAAATTTAACCCGCTATTGAAGAATAGAGGTACACGCACGTGTTTATGTAATATAATCAACCCGACTCTGGGGTTACAATAGTTTTGCATGTTTATTTTATTTAAGTTGAAATCCTAGTTTATTTTATGCACGCAGCTGCAGTATATAGAGGTTTGTTGTTATATAAATATTTTCCAAACAATTAGGTTGAAATATAGATAAACATTGGTCATAGCCAGTCCTTTCTCCAGATCGCGAATAAACCGGCAGTACCTATATATATATATAAATTAAAAAAATACTCGTATTATCCGATATAAGATAGATTTATGTACCTGTAATGCGTATGTGTAGCAACTAGCAGAAGATAAATTCATATATTTCTGGTCGTACAACATAACAATAAACAGTACGTTTAAAAGTACGACGACAGTTTTCATTCAAACTGTATAAGTTGCGTGCATATATTATTATCAGGCACGATTGAATCCCATGTCACATGCAGCCTTTGTTGAATTATTTAAACGTATTCAACAGTTCACGTACGCTACAGATCAATATATATGTACTCGCGATCGATTTGCATAGTATAATAAACGGGGGAAACAAATTATGTTATAGTGAAATAGCACGAATTTCCTATATTTTGTTTCCAGATAATTCGATTGAAATGTTATCCGCAACATTATGATATACCTAAATGGTTTTTTGCCTCCGATTGGTCATCGTTAAAAAACGCTAAACGCAAAAAGCTCAATTAGTATGTGAATTCCTTTTACCCCTCTCATCGTTTATTAATACGCGCGGAATGTGTTGCGACGGCGGTGGCGCCGGTGGCGGGATCATCGATTTTCCGATCGCCCTGTATGACGCGAATAACGGGGCCCGCAGAGCGGGAGACGTCCAAAAGGGGGCGCGCGCTCGCCAGTCCAGCTGTGTGCGCAGGTACAACCGCACCCGGTAATATCGAACTCTCCCGGCGGGGCCGAAGTGTACTCGCGAGCCGGCGTCGTCGTCATCGTCGTCGCCGCCGCCGCCGTTGTCGCCACCGTCGCCGGAGCCATATCGTACCCCGAACGACGACTACGCGGTACATTCGTATACACACGGGCCGAGGGACAGTCTTCCAGGCGATCGTACGCGTCGCACGCAGCAGCAGCCGCCGACACACGCCAGACCCTTTAGCCGCGCGTTAAAAGGTGAGCGGTTTTATTATTATTATAACGCGCAATTATCGGATCTATCGATCCCGGACGTAGCGTAACGTAATGATAACGCGAACCCGGCCGTAGCGTTTAACGGCGCCACGTCTCGTTCAAAAATCGATAACATCCCTAACCCAAACCCCCCCACCCCCACTCCTACCTCGAGCGCGCGTAATATCATATTATGTACACGTATTTATTATAAATATCCCGGGCAACAGCGCGGTCGTTCGACCCGGCACAAAAATAAAATCGACGTTCCTCGATCGCCGTGCAACCGTTTATCATCGTTATACATCGTGTCGTATAGTACATAGAGTATATACATATATATATATATATATAAATATATATATGTATCGAGTACGCGACATTATCATTTATTATTATTATTATTATTATTGGTGTTGTTGTTTTTGTTGTACACTGCACAACCTATGCGGCGTACGTTACGCGTAGGTATGCCGCAGAGGGTACCCGTGCGAGTATCGTGTCTGTTTGTAACCGTCGACCGGAATCGGTGGGTGCAATGTAACAATAATAATAATAATAATAATAATACGATAATCTTATTATTATTATTATTATTATTATAGTACAACGTTCGCGTCGCCGTCGTCGGGATCATAATTTTCTACCCGCGGTATTTTCGCCCGGTAGGCGATAAATCAAAATAATGCGATACGAAGTCGTTGTCCTACGCAATAACGATAAACGCCTTGCTCTTGTGCGCGGCGCAGGAAACGCATCGCAGGGGTACTGCACTCTGTACACGCAGCACGTGCGTCCGTTGTTCGAATTCGTTTTAACAACATGATTACAATACGCGCGCCTATACCTATGCCTACAAAACGTTCACAGCGTTACGTCTCTCTGTATAATATTTATTTATGCATTTGTTATGAATTAAACGGGCGAGCCCGATTAAAATATTAAATGTGGAACATAAAAATGGTGTGTATAATAATGGTTGTTGTGGAATATAAAAACATTTATATAATGATTGTCGCGGAGGTACAGTGTTAAGCTATTGAATTATAGAAATATACATTAAAAGAAGTAATAGAATTACAAATAAAAATATCAATATTAAAATTATTTACATGTTGCATAGATCTAATTAAAGGGGAGTTCTTATCATATAAAATATGCTGGAATGGCACTTAAAAAGTATCAGTCCGTCTGGTATAATATGTAACAACAATAACAATATCGAACCGAAAAACGATCGTTTTCCGAATATACTGCAATAAATGCACACACACACACACACAAACACACACACATACGGGAAAGTTGTGATTTGACGACGTCGATGACGATGATAAACGTACTCATGGGAAATCGAGTATAAAATATTATTAAATTATTAAAAAAACGAGCGTATCTTTGATCCCAGGGAAGATGGGCTAAAGTCAATGTTTGGATCTTTTTTTATTATATTGACACGTAATTTGTTTTCACTATTTGTTTTTGGTCTGCACAAGTGTATATTCTAATGCATGTTATACTGAAAATTAATGTTATTATTAATTATTAATTATTAATCTTAAGTCGCTACGGTGTATCAACTTTGTTTTCGGTAGAAAAGCATAAGTCGTATAATTATAACCAAATAACTTAAGCCATTTAGCAACTATGCCATTATGTCGTTTACCAATTTTCAAAAATTGAATTTGCTAATATTGAAAAACTATGCGAAATATGACTATATTTGGTCACTCTACCATCAAAAATGTTTTTTTTTTTTAAATAAACAATTTATAATTATTATTTCAAATAATATAAAATAATATATAAGCAATATAAGCAATAAACGGTAAAAAATACTTAGCATACTTAGGTACCTATTGTGTACAGTCCGTGTAACGACGTAGTGGTTTTCAGTTAAATTTTAATCTTAAATAATTTATACCGTTTAATTATAATTGTATATAAGTTTTTTTATTTTTGCAAAATTCAAATTGACCTTAAAACAGTTAAATCACGACTTTTGACTCGGATTTGTTAGAAATAATTACGATGTTGTTTTACTAATACAATGCGGCTTTTTGTACTCGTTAAAATCTTTTGTGTTTATGTTGATTCTTTGAATAAATTTTCGCCCAATCTACTTAATTCTTATAAAATATTTCGGTTCTCTTTGTTTGAGTTTTCTCGAATACCTACTTATTGCAGTGTAGTAAGTTATAATTAATAATTTCATTGTGATTTTAACATATATTTCTATATATTTTTAAGAAAACTGTAAAATGGTTTTGAGTTTTAGATCATCTGCAATATGTTAAAAATAATAAATATAAATTCAGTTTATTTGTACAAACAGTGTTAAAACTATTTAATAATTAATATATTAATGAATAATTTTTATTTTTGTTCTTAATTTGTAAATTATAAGACCACGTTCATTAAAACGTTTTGTATTATACGAAATGCGGTTCTACATACTTCTGCTCAGCGGTCTTCACTAGGTTTTTGGAAAGGGTTAAATATTTATTTTGTACATTAATTGCGGGTCGCGTGCAGTGCCGTAGCTAGGATAGATTATATTAACTAAGGATGAGCCGATACCACTTTTTATCGATATTCGATATAAAAATGATAGGTACTCGATGTTTGATTTATTAAATTTAAGACATATGAGTTCATATTGAAATTAATTGATATATTGGTTGGAAAACCGATTTATTAATTTTTTTTTCATAATCCAAGGACATAATAGACATTTTTCCGAAAATATCGGTTTTGGAAAAAAATCGAGGCCAATATAAAAACCGATAGCATTGATATCGAGTATCGGTTTATGTGTCGGCTGATTCCTAATAATAACTCTGGAAATAATGACCTAAAATGAAAAAAAGAAAGATAAAAATTCCTAGTTCAGGTTCTGAATTTAGTTTTATTGCTCTCTACACATAATATGTCAATAGGCCGTATACCGCTGATTTGGATCAACTGTTTGCAAACGCCGGCGTGTCCATCTTAAATGAAATAATAATTGAGTCATCAAGTGCCGCTTAATAATATTTAATGTATAAACTTCGAATCTCAATACTATAGTCTATACATAGATTCTATTTAATTGATTTTTAACTTAAAAGTGAGGTTTAGTTTAAAAGTAAATTACGTTCAGTCGTTATTTCTATAAATGGTTAAAAGACAATAGGTCTTCAAGCTCAAAAGTATAGCAGTATAAAACGGATAACTTCCTCGGTCATCGTCTTGATGTACTTAATGTCAGAGCTATTACAAAAGTTTTATTTCCATTCTAATAAACATTTTGTTCAATTCTTATTTCTTCCACAATAAACGGTGGACTTATGTAGATATATAATAAATTTATTACCCTCATAGTACATGTGGTCGTGGTTTAATTATTAAAAGGGTATTAGTCGGCGAAAACTACAAATAACACAGGGGTTCCGACTTGAATTTTACTAATTTTCAATAGAAAGACATTAGTTGCACAAGTGAATATGTATTTAATATGTTATCTGTTTATACATTAAAAAAGAAAATTACCTACAAAGTAAATTATTAAAGTTCTCTTGTTCAGTAGTCGTAAAATTGTTTTTTTTTTTTTTATAAGATCTAAGATAATTTACTTCATATATTACTCCTATACATATGCCTTCCTACAATTATAGATGTTACCCATGATAAGATATTTTATCCATTTCTTTTTTCTTTATCAAATTGCTATTCATATCTACCTTCTTTTGTTTGTCCTAAGATAAACTTCTTCATTTAATACTCGTTTAGTCTATGACATTTTTAATACCCTCGACAACACTAATTTTCGAATACTTACATTTTTCTTCGATCAGCTTTCAGAATTTTCTACAATTCTGCTCCATATAATGTTACACACCATACCATTGTTTTTATATTTGTTTTTCGTTTGTTTTTTTACGTTTATCGTATTTGGGGTGAATAGGTTTTTCTTTTTGTATAACACATGCTTGGCTTAAGCTATTTTAAAATTTATATTTATAATACTTTTTCCATCACTTGTTACTTTGTATCCAACATATGTAAAACTGGTAACATTTTATAGTTTGATATTACTATATTCTATACAGTCTTCTATAAATTATATCCTTAGAATAGAGATCTCGTACAATGTTCTGAAAGAATTACCTATGTTTCGGGTTTAAAATTTATTTTTTTTTTACGTATCTAAATCGTGTTCTAACTGCATTAAATATGTTTCACGAGATAAGTACAGATGCATATTTCAATGTTCGTACATACCTATTGTTCCTTCGACTACTTATCTCTTCGATTTTATGTTAGGTCAGGTTAGATGTTAGTGAACACTCCGATAGTTGTTTACAAAATAACTTCGGGATATCCTTTTCGCTTATCGTTATAATACTATTATCTATACTTTATTCGTAATCTGTAGTCTGTAGAGCACTTTATATGATTTATTTCTATAGTTCTGATGATCTAAACAGTTTATCCCGCTAAAATATGATTCTGCAGGGTCAAATTCGATTTTTACATTTGAACTCGATGAATTTATACAAAATGTGTATTTATATTTCAAAAATAATGTTTATTGTGAAAACATACCTATAATATTTTTATGTATGCTAATATAATATACGATTATGTGGTACTATATAGCACATTATAATATAATATAAATATTACCTATATCTTTTAGGCTATAATAAATAAGCTACATAATCTTACATATTCTCTTATCTTTTATATTATATTATGACGACGGCATATCAAAATAATATGCGAGTAGGTAATTTTAAACTTCGATAAATTTAATGCGTAGGCCGCTGGCAATTGCAAAACTCGTGCCGAAACTATATGAAACCTAACCCCGTCCACATAATATAACGACCGCCACAAAATACCGTTCCATAATTCATATTATACTGCAAAAATCAAAATGCGGCTTTTATTTATTATAGGAGATATATTTTATACTACCTATATAAGATTATACTCGAGGAGGATATCGCTCGTCTTCGTTATTTTTATTCATTTTTCGTCTTTTCAAATCATCAAAATGATGGCCGGTAATCGTAAACGACATCATCGCAGCCGCTTAGTATTGCTATTTCAAATTCTAGTAAATCTTTTTTTTTCTTAAACGATAATATTACGTACATTTCTTTTTTTTTTTCAATCGACCAAAATACAGTATAATCATAAGCAGCAGAAATGAACAAAAATGATTCATGGTATCCTGTTGATTAATATCCTTCAATATAGTACCTATATATATTTGAATGTATTATAAAAAATCAAAAATATTTATCTTGGGATCGAAATAAAATGTAAAAATTGATTTGAAAACTTTACTGAAAGTATCAAACGGGTATTTGTGCTGGAAGTTTATATTCTTATATAAAATATTTATTATCAATATCGCACTTTTGTAATAAAATAATGGAAAAGAGCTGATACTGCTGACAAGTGTGCTACTGATATATAGGTACGAATTATACAAGGTAGTATACATAGAGGTATTTCATTTATATTTGGGCATAAACCGCAATGGTAAATCGTGGCTAATGAAATACGATTCTGAACGGAGTTCAATTAAACTCTTTCAGAAATGCCGTGATTTTTACGACTGTCGTCAAAATTTTAACTTAAATTATTTATTGAAAAAACTACTACATTACGCTCATTTTTTTTACCATCATGCACAATGTATGATAAATCTAAAGTTAAATTTTCAAGAATTTCCGCTAAGCCAAAACAATATTATCCATATAAAAAAATCTAATAAAAGTAATACTTATATATTGAAAAGTTACTGTGAGCATTTCAGGTCTCTACGATTATTTTTAATCGAATTACAATCAAGAAACAAAACCCAAAATAATGAAACTGTTATTTCCGCTAACTTTTTCGTTTTGATTATATTTTTCCTATTTTCCCTCAACTATTAGGTACATTTCAAGGAAGTTAAATAATAACCTCTTAGAATATATATACGAGACAAAATTTTCTTTTAGAAAAGATGCTATACTTAAAATTCAGAACAAGATTTTTGGTAGAAAAACAAAATCGAAATTAATAAAATTATTATTGTCATAGATTATTTTGTTTTTCCTATAATTACTTTTTTTCCAATTATTAAGAAAACTGCAAGAAAAATTGAAAATGTATTCACAGACACAAACACAAAACACACACACACATATCATAGTAAAACCAATACTTTTTGGCTCTTCTTCGATATCTTCATTTCATACAGTATTATACAATTTATATTTTTCAGAAAATATTGTAATCTTCTATTTTTATATATTAGGATGTAAATTGCTAGGACTAGAAACTCGATATTTTCACACTAGGTATCTTTTATACCGGAGAAATCCACTAAAGAAGGATTTTTAAAAATGTCACTCCTAAATAATTACTGATACAGGGTTTTTGGTACTTGTTTGGAAATTAAATTTTATTTGATGATTTATAGGTTACTTTGGGGACATGGATAATAATTTGATTGTCACGGGCAAGAAAACTACTTTTTATTATTGTTATTATTTACATAATTATAACTTTTACTATATTTGTATAAAACAGGTAACAATAGTTAATTTCGATAAGAATGAGAGTGGAAAACAGGGAGTTAAGGGAAAACGCGTTTTAAAAAATGAAAAAATAAATGTTTTCGTTCAATACTAATAACTCAGAGAAAACCGTGCTATACTTGCGGAACATGCTTCCTAACACCAAGGGAAGTAAAAGTAGTGATTTTAGGATCAAAATAGGATATTCTCAGGAAGGTTAACGAAAAGCTTTCTAATAGACACCAATTAATTGAACTTAAACATTTTATTCCCAGAAAGGTTGAAATTATTTACGATCTGGAGGTTTCCGGTCGGTAAAAACACGGACTAATGGGACTAATTCGAAGCAATATAGGGGTATACATACACACACTAAACTCTAAAGACATGTAAACTGCACACGGACGAAGCCATGGATAAATTCGCGGGCAAAACAACCATATTTGTGTACTACTAATTTGTAGAGCATGGAACTTATCGCACTTAAAATCCACAAAAAAAAACCTTTACAAACATCAAAAAAGCACTTGAAAAATATTTATAAAAGCAAAAACGGTAGAAGAGTTTAAATGTTCCTCCTGTAACGGCTTTTTTTTTTCAAATAAAATTTTCGAACGCTGCACGAGCTATTAACCCAAAGTTATCTTTTTATAATACATCCAATTTTGTTTGAACAAAATAATTTGCTGTCAATAATTTGTGTCGTGTTAGAAAATTAAATTAAGTAATTTAAAGTTGTTAGACGGGGGATTTTTAAACCCTTCTGCCATTTGGTCGCACAATATTTGCTTGAAGCGCTTTTTATCCGGGCTTTTTTGACGTTTTTAAGTACTTTTTTGTGAATGTCAAGTGCAATAAATCCCGAGCCCTATTAATTTGTATACTAAAACAAAAAACGTGGCCCGAACAATGCCGGACGGGATAGCTAGTTTTTATATAAAACTGTATTTAATGATAGTGTTCTAAAATAATTTCAAAACATACAGATACATTAGGTGTATCTATACACTTTGTCACGTAGTAATCCATTATTTATTAATGTATCTCGTTTGACATTGTGCGCAAAACGTACATTTAAAAATATACACGTACCTACACATCACTAAACATATATAATATGTACAAATCTACACCAAATCCGTCGGACCGGATCTCATTTTTCACAAGGGTTAGAGTTCAAAGTACATAATATTAGGTCGTTCTGACCTTTTTTTTTCTGAACCGGCTGATGCTGCCGTCGCTGTTCAATGAAATATGTAACATTTTCTATATATATATATACATATAAACCGGAGGGGATGTAAAAATTATACCGGGAACCGCATAAATTATACCAACACGGGAGGAAATTCTCCGGGGATAGTGTATAACGATAAATAACAGTCCTTCGAGGTGATTTGCAGCCAGTTAACTTTTAGAATTTATACGCATATACCCAACACATCCAGCTGCATGTCGACGACATAGCGGTTATTTTTTTTTTTTCAACAAAACCTTATAACCCAATGTGAACCTGTCACAAGTACATGTTGTAGCAGGAGTTTGCGAGACTATACGGGACTGTGCATTTGGCTCTGTTCCAACGCCGCCGCTGCGAACACGATAACAACCCACTTATGTAGGTTGGTATAAGGTATATGAGGTAGATATTCAAAATTATTGTTATTTACAGTAATAAGGTTAACGGTCGGTATTTTATAATACCCGTCGAGTACCTCTTATACCTAGTCGAGTTATAGTAAACGCAAACGACGATAATATTTAACGACGACAACCAAGCAGAAAATCTACAGAAATATTCTTAAAAAAAAAAAAAATCAGCTGATACTGCTAACGGGTGTGCCACTGTAATAGGTGGGAAGGTAGGATACATTGAGTTATTTAATTTATGGTAGCACGCATCGATAAATCATAACTGATGAAAAATGATTCTGAGCAAAATTCAGTTAAACATGTTTTAAAATACCATGGTTTTTATGATGTTCGTTAAAAATTTAACTAAAAAAGATTATGAAAATAAAACTATTGTATTACGCTAAACTTTTATTGTTGATCACTAAGTAAAATTTATAATGATCTCCGTGTAAAATTACCAAGCATTTATAGGTACTCAGCCAAAACAATTTTACATACATAAAACCAATTAAAACTAAAAAAATACGAAAATGTCAAATGCCTATAAACATTTTAGGCCTCTATGGTTAATTTTAACTGAATTACATAAGAAAAAATATCCGTTATCAACGTACATTTTTTCGTTTTTCCTATATTTTTCTCCAGGTTTTACCAAAATTTTTCAAATTAAAAAATTACGGATTAGACAAAATTTAATTTCAGAAAATTCTTACTATAATTGCATACATCGGATCTTTTGTAGAAAAGTAGTTGACATAAAAGAAAAAAAACACCTCATAATAAATTTAGTACATTATTTGATGCTCTTAGAATCTAAAGATTACGTAGGGTAGTTTAGTATATTTTATAAATTATCAGCATGACAGCATGCACAGTGATATCTATACTTGTAGATACTTTATTATAGAAAGTCGATAATTATCATAAGGTAGGCATATTACTTTTCAATTTATTAAATTTTAAACAAAAATTATAATATTACTATTATATTTCCAACGCGTAAATTGGGTTAATCTTTGCAATTAACCGAAAACTGTACTATGTACGAAATAAAATTGAAATTATTATACGTTATATACATAAAATCAATACGATTTCCACGTGAGAAATATCTGCAGCGTATTATTTTCTTTTATCCCACCGTAATATACTTTAAGCCGGGTGCTTGTAAAGGAAGGGATTGTAAGTATTCCTGCAACAGCAGCAACGCTGCGCGTATTACCGAATAAGCTCGCGTATAGTGACTTACCAGCCGCGTTATAACTTTCATAAAACTACGGATATTATAGGATATTATGTTATATATCTATAAACTTAATGCTTTTTGAAATAGCTTTAATGCGACTTAACGTAACCACCCTTTAATTTTAAGTAGGTAGGCGTATTATAAGACCTTTAACATAATAAAAAAAAAAAAAAGAAAGAAATCAATTGTATTTTCCCTTTGAATTAAATTTCAATAATAAAACATACCATTTCAGCTGCTTCCTTTCATCCTGTCCTTATCTCTAATATACATTCTTCCCAATCAATATTTAACATTTTTCCTACGGGTATTCTTTAATTTCTCAGCCAATCGCAGCTTTCCGTAGGCCTTTCCAATCAGCCTTTTACTTGTTGGTCTCCATTCTGTTCTGATTCAGTTATCCTTTTTACTACTCATCGCATGACAACCGTCGCAATCTCTGCCTTTTGATGCAATTCGTTATGTGTACGATTATTTGGTTATTTTCCGTCGTGGGACTCACACAGTTCCTTAATCTACCTCCTACGCCAATTTCTATTTTTTGAATCAAAAAATCGAACTGCATAATATATTAATCTAAATATTTTGTTTTCAATTGTAACTAACCTTATTAATATTGCTGTCGGGATTGCGAACCTACGTTTAATAAGAAGCTAATTGAAAACAAATCAATAACAAAATAAACGTATAAAATACAATATATTACAATTATACCATTGTAATCATCACAAAACTACGATAATGTTACAAATTAATGTAGGACGTAGGTATATAATATAAATCATTAATCGAATTTTAATAAATCGACCGATACCAATAAATAATAATAACCTATATTTACGTGCTGAACCATTTATATTAATTATTGTTATTTATAAAACATGATCCTAATATATAATAAATAATAAATATATATGTTTATAAGATAAAATATTGTAATCAATATTCCATGGTAAGTAGGTATCTATGTACCTTAGTTAATTAATGCAATTAATTGGTAACATATTATAATTTTATATTATCTGTATAATTTGAATATAAATATCTATTATAATATGCTTACAAAAAAAAAAAAGAAAAGAAAAACAAACAATTATAAAATAATATATATTAAATTAAATGTGGGGCGATATAATGAGATAGTGTTTACGAGTATTTATTTTATTTTTTTAGCGAAAACCAATTAATTTGTATTTATAGACGTCATTAATAGTATAGCAGTACACTGCTGTATAGTGCATAGCTGTGTAGTGATACAGCTATACTATATACTCTACAATGTATAGGTGAAGGGTTAAATAATAAGGTGACTTTATATATTAGCTATAGATAATAATAATTGGACGCAATATCACGATAGTTTTCAGTGATTAATAGACAAAAGCAAACCGTTTTAAATGATTTCGTTTAAGATAAAATATCGCTTTTTATACATTTTTTTTTTTGTGACCAACTTTTCTACCAGAAATCTTATTCCGTTCATCAAGAGTAGCATCTTTTCTAAATAAAAGTTTATCTAGTTTATGAATTGAGAAGCTAATTTTTTAATTCTCCTTGTAGTTTTTACACTAATTGGGAAAACTGACAGATTTACGCAATAACAGTTTTTGTTATTTTCGATTTTGGTTTTTCGATGTATTTCGGTTTGAAAATAATCGTTTAAAGACTTAAAATCTTAACAGAAAACTTATATAAGTAGCCCTTTTTAGATGTGCTAAAGTTCAAAAAAATTATAAAATACATAAGATAATATTATGAAAAAAATGCTAAACATTTACTGAAGCCTTATTTCTCTGAGAAAGGATATCAAATTTTGGAAAATCGCAAAGATGAACATCATAAATATGTATGTAGATATAGTTAAATGTAAAAATAACCATTTAATGAAATTAACATTACGATGATCATTTAGAACTATAAATAATAAAAGAATAAGATATAGAAATACTTAACACGATGAGTGGACCGCTGTTGTAGGTGAGAAGTTGGGAAGGTAGAGGGGAAATTCAATGTACATTTGTACGTAACGATTAACGAAAAATAATTCTGAGTAGAGTTCAGTTAATACTGTTGTTTTGTCAACAATATATTATTATAGTATTATAGATTGTATTTTCTTTAATAATATTTGTTTAATATTGTACCTATTTTCTCAATTTTCCTACGTTATTTCCCGGTTTTTCCCATGTTGTTTTTCGGTTTTTCTCATTTATAATGAAAACAGTTAGAAAAATCAAAAAAGAACCTACCTAAAGTGTCGCTTCAGTCAGATTTTTTTTTTTAGAAAAAGTGATATAATCGAAAATTGGAGCAAAATTGCTGGTATAAAAGTTGTTAACAGAAAAAAAAAAAACATCATTGTAAAACCAAAGTTCCGCTCGAAATCTCCATATAACAGAATAATTAAAAATTAAATATTTTTTTATTAAGAATATTTCAGGACTAGTAAGAACTATCATTTATAGACATTTAATATTTAGAACTTATGACTAAAAATTTGAAAGGAAACCAAATGCTTGACATTATTTGTTCAGAATAACTATTTATCGGAAAAACAAAACGATAAACGATAATTTGGTGGAATCATGGTTATAAATACTATTAAACAGTTATGTCATTATAATCATGACATGAAGACATTATAATATAACATTATATTTGTTCTACATAGAATACGACAACTATACACGCTGACGTTAACACAATGATTTGTTTATTGAATATTTTTTCAAACATAGACAACTTACCATGTTAGACTATACATTAGGTATGAAAATTAAATTAGAAAATAATTAAATTAAATTAAACACATTAAAATTATTTTTCAAAAACATTGAAAAAAACTTTGCGTTATCAAAAACCAATTTTTTTCGTAATTTCGAATTGAAAAAAACACGTTTTAAATTTTGACGAAAATCGTAAAAATTACAGCACTTCAAAATATGTTTAACCAAACATTGCTCCGATACGATTTTCGTTATTAATGGTTTACGCTTACGTTCAAATGAAAATTAAATAACTTTATGTATCCTACTTTCCCGACGTTTCATCTACATCAGTGGCCACACCCATCCCCAGTATTAGCTCTTTTTTAACATTTTTTTTTATCTGTAAATAACTTTTCGAAAAGAAATTTTGTTCCGATAAACAAAGTACAGTACTATTTCTTAAAGGAAACTGTATCTATAGTCGGTGCATTAAAGAAGTCAATTGCAAACAATTGAAAATCAAAATTTTCCAAGAGGTTTTCAAAATAATTGAGAAAAATCGGAAATAAAATTTTTAAGTAAAAAGGAAAATATTTACGACGCACCGCAGCGTTACCGATTTTATTGTTTTCAATTTTTACAAACTATGTTTTCCACCAGAAATATTGTTCCAATCGAAAAATGTAAAAAAAAAGGAACTAAGTCCGTCACAACGTTTCGGAGGTATTATATATAATGTTGGTGTATAAAAATATAAATAAGAAACAAAATATATTATGTAGGTATGAGGAAATTTTTTAAACGATTTTTATATTATTAAATATTATCTTTTTTTTGCTAGAATCGCCCATTTTTTTCTATATATAGGTATGATTATAATAACATAATGTAACCCATCGTAAAAAAACAGAGCGGGGTACGAGGTATGCGACAAACGAAAAAAAAAAAATAAAAAAAAATAAAAAAAAATATGAAACACAATATGAAAAGTTAACGCGCCGTTGTCCTCGTGACAAGTGACACGGCAAGTTCATACAGACGTATAATATAAAAATTTGGTGGGGGAAAACGATACGAGCTTGTCTATACGCTACATAATGTATACACTATACAGATATCCATCTTCCGTGATAAATGGACGGGCGATCGGATAATATTACACAATATGAAGAATGAACGAGACGCAGAGGGCGAGATTATATTTTAAACCGAGAGGAAACGTTATAAGGGACGGGGCTTTGTGTGCGGCGCAGCGGCCGTACACGCAGTGCCGGGCTACAGTGGCCGCCGTCGTTGGGCGCACCGGCGTTTAAAAACGGTTCGGCTATTCCGCGCGGGACCCCGAGTCAACGGTTCCGCCGACAATGCGATATATTGTTCGCAAAGGATACCGGCCGCACATGTTACACTATTATTATAATAATATTGCGCCGTAACCAATTATTTCCCGAATAAATAATAATATCTCCAGAACCTTTTTATCGCGTGCGGTACGGTCCGCGTCGTATATGCGTATGCGTATACAGTATGCGATATACGTACCGCAACAGTACGTACACGTGCGCTTGTGTACGGATAATAACGGACGGGGATTTATGTGCGACGCCGCCGGCGGCATGTTCATGTATATTTATACACGTACGCATAGAGCGATACAGTGCAGTGTACGCACGATATTGTATTCCCGGAGCTTTTGTGCAACGGAAAACGCGCGTTTCGGTCGGATCTTCTATTTATATAATATAATATTGATAATAATATTATTACTATTCACGATAATGTAATATGTAATATTATTATTATTATGGGCCACCACCACTCGCGAGGCTCGAATCAAGTTTTGACGAACGTTACGGCCACGTTATTATTGTACGCGAAAAGTTTATACAACAATAACAATAATAATAATAATAATAATAATAATAATATTCGCGTGCATCATTGATACGGGCACATATTGCGATGCGCCGTCGCGAGTGTTTCGTGACCCGCGTTCATTTAAAACGATTTCACAACGACGCCGATAGTAGCTGCGAGGTATAACTCCGTAATACACGCGTGTACCTGCATAAATAATAACGAAATTTCGCCAACCTAAGCGGCCCGAAAACAATACTTCGGGTACCTCGGTAATTAACTATGACTGTTTATTAAAATAATACATATCATAAAACTGAATAGGTAAGCCGGTAATACCATACGCGTTATAATATACGTATATATATATATATACTTTAGTAACCGGGCTTAACTGTTGAAGTTACGCTCGTATAGTTTTCAATGCATTCAAATTATACGCATCGGAGGTATTGCTGCAAGCGAACATTTATATTGTCGCCTTAAATATTTCTATAATTAAATTTTCATTGAAAACAAATGCACGGTAATACAATATTACGTGTAAATAATAAACAATTACAAGATACCTAGGTAGCTGTACTTTCGCAATTATTATTTGATAACTTTTGATTTACATTTTTTAGGGCTTATTTAATAGTGACGTCTTATAGATTCTATTTATATATGTCTTGGATTTCAATGCATCCATAATAAGGAACTAAAAAGCTTATAACCTTTTAATTTATGTTTGTACTTGTAGATCATCAGTGTTTAAATAAAACAATTTGAATATCATTAAACATCAAAGGCTTGATATAAGCCAAATATATTGGTTCTAATAATGCTTTAAATCGTGTAAATTATATGTTTTTGCCGTTTTTGTCAAACTAAAGATACGTAATAATATATTTAAATTTTTAATGTAAAATATGTTAGAATATAATATTATATATTATTGTACAATATATTATACACTCATATCGTTTAGACCAAAAATAAGGGGAAAATAATGGCATAAGACAAAATCGTAAAAAGAAAAATTATTTAAAATGTTTAACAGAACAGTTAATAATTTGAAATTATCTTATAATTCTATTATTTAGTTAATTTATTTATTACTTTTACGTTATACCTAAACTGTCAAAAATATAGATAGGGAATATTTTTTCTAAAGAGTACATTTTTTATTTCAAAAATTACATTTTATCCATAGCGAATTAATTATTAAGGTGCATATTTATATGTACTAATTAACTACCCAAAGATAAGTTAGTCATTGCAGGATATTACAGCGTCATAAATTTAAATTGAGTGTCACGACTCACGAGATTATATTATACATTTTAATATATATTTAAAATTTAATAACATTTTTGTTAAAAATTATTAAGAAAGCATATTTTGTTATGCGTAATACGATAAATTTATATTAAAGCGTAAAAATACGATTATAAAATAATCTCACTAAATTGTGAAAATGTATTAAAACAATTTCAATTATTATAATCTGTTTAAAATTTGACCACAATAAGTATTATGGTGTTAAAAATTGATTCAAAATAGATATATTAATTTGAAATTAAAAATCTTGTTTGTATTTTAAAATCTTCTTCTATATTAGTAGTCTATCGCAATTTCTGTATGGGTGAATTGTGTATAGTGTACACTATGTATAGTTTTAACAATTCAACGGGAAATAAAATAAAGATTTCAGATTCTAAAATCTACAGAGAACTTTGAACTTTTAATGGCATGCTCAGAAAACGAACATTAAGTTTAATATTATATACAGTTAAAATATATTGTTTGGAACGCAGACACGTAAAATAAAATAAAATCTCATAAAAAAAAAAAAAACCGAATGGTTATATTAACTAAAAGGCACTATATGAAAACTAAAGAGAAGAGCATTTAATATATTATTCATGATTGTTATTTTTCGCTTTAATGAAAAAATATTATAAGTAAACATTCACGCTACTTCTAAATAATTAGAAACGAGAAGTTTTTACCAAGTATAATACTATAATGTATAATATATTATTATAATAAAACAATTTCAGTTCACGATTACGTACCAAAAACAAAAACCACGTACTTATCGTAAATACCACATTTGAATAACTGTTATAATACAGATATAACGAATATCGTGTACTAGATATAACTTAATATAATGTATGGACAAAATGTTTATTTTTTTTAAGTAGTTAAGTAAAATTAAAAATTATAATATTTTTACTGCGGTATAAAAAAAAAAATTAAGTGAAAGTAAAAATTTAGCGAATTTCGCTATACAAGGTTTAATACAAAGATCTGACACCTAAATAACTTATAATAAATTCAATATTTAATTTTTTTTTTTTTATTAATTAATATGCCCCTGCACTATATTTAAAATAATACTACCTTTTTTTTTTTTTTTAAGTTGGAGGAACTTAAATTAAAATATTAAACCTATCTATTGTATTTAAAAAAAAAAATTCAAAATGGCCAATCTGTAAAATAGAAAATGGTTGGTGGTTAAAATTTGTATTTAACAAGAGTAATTTATTTTCGAAAAATTGTTCATCTTACTGAAAATGTGTTTATTATTTTTGTTAATAATCTATTATAATTATGTTTAGTCAGTATAGTCAGAGCATACCAAATAACAATGATTTTTTTTCCATGAGTTAATATCATATTATAATTATTAGGAAAATTATTCACATTTGCAATAACTTAAACAAACTATAGAAAATAAACGATTATTCCTAAATAAGTAAACACCTAAATAAATGGTTCAATCATTAAATATTTTCTACGCATTTATTTTACAAAATAAACATTTATTATTATTTTTTTTTTTTTTATGTATAATAAAATTAAAACATTTAATTTCCCCTCCGCCATTAAAAAAAAAAAACAACAAAAAATATTGAATAGAACAAACGTCATTTTTGATGTCTGATTTTGATCTTACAATATGTATATTATATATCATAGCTCCGTAGATCGTATATCAATATATATATGTATATACGTATATACGGTCATTGGTTAATTAATGAACTGAATTTATACAATATGATATAGTATTTATTACACATAAAATATTATATAATATTTATTATGATAATCAAATGTTTTAACAGTAGTTGGCAGATAAACTAGGATTTTCAAAACCAATATTATGCCCACCTACAGTAAATAAATGAATTGGTCAACCAATGATATTTAAATACGATAAAAATACAAATTCTAAAATGTTTCCGATTAGGTATCTATTTAACTATACGGACGTGTTATTTGAATATTCTCTATATATGAATAAATACACGTATAGGCAAGTATAAATTTAACGAAAAAAAAATATATAAAAACTAAAAATTATAATGCCCTACGATAATTCACTTGTTGAAACAAAAAAAGTCAATTTGTATAAAATACATATTTATACTAAAAAAAAATACTTAAGTACTATGTATAAAATAAAAAAAAACAAACGAACATGCTTTCCATAATGGTTGGTCCATATGTATATCAAATATAGGTACCTATATAACTTTTATATGTATCTAATTATAGGTTTTTGAAGTTCTGATGTTATGTGGATATTATATGTAACGTATACATATATCATATAATAATAAATAACTCAATAATGATAATTGTATGGCTTTCGTAGTGTAGTGGTGGTACTTGCCTGTTGTCATCCCAGAGATGGCAAGTTCAAAGCCCGAGTTACCCAAACAGAGAAAAAGAAATGCATTTTGGGACCCGAGCCATTGTTCGCTCGGACTATTTTAATCGAAAAACACACCGCGATTTGCAAACTTTTGCACCAGAAATCTTGCTCCGATGTATCAGGTTTAGCACCTTTTCTGAAAGGAATTTTTTCTAAATGGTAGTTAAAAGGGGTTATTTTTAGATTTTTCAAGTGGTTTTCATAATAATTGGGAAAAACCGTGATAATATATTGGAAAAACGGGAAAATTTACCAAAATAATATTTTTATAATTCAGTTAAAAATATTCGTAGTGACTTGAAATTTGGACAAAAAACTTACATTTGTTTTTTATAGATTTGATAAAACTGTAAAAACATTTGAGCCATATTTGAGCTATTTATAGACATTTTAATTTTGTGAGTAATTTGTATTTAGTAGGTTCTCTGTGGATAAAATTGTTAGACTGCTTGTTTTTGTTAGAATTGTTAGAAATACTTGAAAATAAAACAGAAGGTTAATTATAATAAGACGTACTTTGTGGTCAAAATAAAAAAAAATTGAATTTGATGTAGGATATAATTTTTTTTTATAAGAATTGTAGAATCAAATTTTAACGAAAATCGTTTTAGTAAAAAATTATGTGGAACAAATCTATTTACTTTTCCATACAAATTGTTTCAATACATTATATTTTTTTTCTAGTACACTTAACCGTTTAAATACGATTAAAATATTTTAATTATAAAAACCTCTCAAGCACGAGTGAATAGTAACCACACAAGTGCAGAATGTGCCCTTTCATAAAATGTCAACCCATATTTTACTACTAATGTACCCATTACCCTTATAGTTTTAAAGCAATTACAATTAAATGATTTAAAGAAAAAAGAGTAAACAGTACGATATCTCAAATTTCTGTACACGGACTATTTCAAATACTAAGTTTACCGACATCGATATTTTAACTGTTCTAAAACAATTACCAAATGGTTCATGTTTCCCGTTCTTACGTTTCAGTAGTCCCTTGGGACACATTTTAGATACCTACTCATATATCTACAATAAAGTCGTAAGACATTCCCAAACGGAAGGGTCAACAATAAAAATTGTTTGTGTGTGGCTTATAGTAAAAATTCTAAAATTTTAATAATAATTCTTGGAAAAACTATAAATAATCATATTTAGTATATATTAATTATACGTACGATTCTGTAACAATATTTTACCGTCGAGGTAATATAAAAGTTTAAAATTATGACATAAATTCCGTGAAATATAAATGATACGTGTACCTACTATAGAAGAAAATATGATTGTTAACAAAAATCATCAAGAAACAATATTAAAACACGAATAAATACAAAGATTATTTAAAAAAAATATTATTACGTTCAAAGCATCAGAAATCTCTGTATAAAAAAAAATATGTGTGTAATTTTACTCTGAAATGATTCAATATTTTGCAATATTAGCAGAAAAAACTCCGACTAAACTATACAATGTAAACAGAATCCCATATTTTTTGTTTACAATAACTTCTCGGGAATGATAAAGTTTATCTCCTCGGCGTGATGTGTATAATATAGTTTTTAATATGAACTGACTATACATTGCCACATACAATATATTATATACCAACGTTATACACAAAATGCAACAATGAAACTCCTACTCAAACTAAACACATTAAGTGTCTGGGGTTTCAAAAATATTGTACCAAAACAATCTGCAGCGTTAAATGAACTTGTATGTATAATGCACAATATCAGACATATCTTTTCAGTCATATTTAATCTTTTAATTATTTATAAAGATAATGCAAAGAAAACGTTCGAAATACGCCACAATTTTTGCAAAAATTATTTAATACACAAGCCTTTACATTTCTAACATAATAATACTTAACTTAATAATAGTTCTAATACAGGTATAATATATGCTACAGGGCGTGCAACTGACTGCTAAATATTTCACTGATTATAGTTGGCCGTTTTGAATAAATTAATAGTTTTTTTTTTTTATTTATACATATAATCCAGTTTTATCCCTAATAAAACTGCTTCTCTTAATGATATGAGCCATAGTTCCCAATAGTCTAGATCTGCTATTATCATAGTAATGCTCTTGCTTATAAAAAATTTAAGACTAGTTTTATACCTATAAATTCAAAATGTCTATCGAATACGAATACCTTTATTAAATATTAATATTTTAAAATTGTGAATAATACATAAAATGCGATCAAATTATTTAGAACTTGTTTGATGAGTTTCAACTGTATATATTGGTACGTAAGTATAGGTACGTACCTATAAATATATAATACCTCATAAAAAAAAAAAAACCCGTTTCCGATGTTTCCATCAAATTAGTTTAAATTTCACGTAACGCAGTATACTGTATTATAATTTATTTTCTATTTATTTTATGTCTATTTTCTATACATAAAGTATTGAAAAAAAAAGAGAAAAATTGACAAAATAAAAATAAAAATACCAGAAATGTTATACTATAGTTGAATTCTATCAAGTACTTCAATATTTATTAATTTTTTTTTTTTACTACTTTGTGTATACAGTTTTGGTCAAACTATTAACAGTTTAAGACTAAAACTACCTAGTGAATTATATGTCCGTTTTTTTTTTTTTGAATTATTATTATTTTAAATGCTTAAGTTCTATAAGTACTATATGAACTTTTATTGAATAAAATTAAATATGTTCAATTTTAATATTCCGTAATATAATATATACATATATTTTTTATTTTTTATGACACGAGAATTAAAAAAAATGTAATATTGTAAATAAATACTGATGCGCTGACAATCTCAATAAATACATGCCGGATGTTATTTTTTATATTATTGTTTTTAATATTTTGCCGTCTATGTTGATAGTTGTTTTGAAAATAAAAAAATGTTAAAAAGCAATAATAAAAAGGAGTAATTAAAAAAAAAAAAAATAATAATATTTCAATTTTCAAAGAAATTTAAACCAAAATCAAAAAATTGTGTAAACTCGACGAAAAATTCAAATTTGCATTGAGAATTCTTATCGCTTTGCTAGACCAATCAGTTCGTTGGAAGTAGAACACGTCTAAATTCCTATGTTGCACGTGTATAAGACAAAGACATAAAATCACCGCTTCAAATTCCCTTAATATTTAAAACAGACTGAAATTTAAGTTATAAATCATACGAATAAACATTGACTATTTTAGGTAATTGCAGTGTGTTACACTCGATGTGGACTTGTTTACGTACAATTTATTATAATACATTTCTTTTACAATAATTCTATACAAATTATAAACTAATAATAATAACACAGATTATAAAAAACTCATAAGCTATTTAAATTATTTGTATACTTATACAATTTTTTTTTTTCTAAAAGTAGTGCGTATAAAACAGTATAGTATTAATAGTAATAATAGTATTACGACCATACGCTCGTTGTGATCATCTGTAGTCTGTCGCAACTTTTGTTATCTTAGTTACCATTAAATACACCATTGTTACAAAAAAAAAAAAAACTACTGATTGTAATGTAAATTATCATAAAACTTAAATACCAGCTATGCATTTTATAGTAATAAAATAATACACCATTTATTTTATCATTTAATGCGTTTTAGGAGTAAGAAAAAAAAATAGCTAAATATGAATAATACAATTTTTTATTTATTTTTGTTGACATTGTTTCTCACAATATTTATTTAAACGATTAAAACAACGACGAAACGATAAATATTGAGTTAAAATTTGTGTTTATAATAATAATAATAGTATAATAGTGTAACCAATAATTTTGCTTTCATAATTGGTGTGTCCCATCTCAAATATCCTTAATATTAACAAATGTCAGTGTATTAATTTTTTTAAAAAAATTATTTTATTTTCAACAACTACAAGTTCTCTAACCAAAATTTATTTCTTCCTACCTAAATTAAAGGTCTTGAAGTAACCTTTGATTCAAAACTTTTATTTAATCTCCAAATATTAGCATTAAAAAAATAGCTCTTTCACTAATTAGCACGATTAAACGAAATCGATCCATTTACATTAAAATGCTTTTACACTTCTATTGTTCACTCTATATTAAAAATGCTCCAATGGTATGGGAAACATAATATCGGCCATAATAAAAAAATAGAAAAAATCCAAAATAATATGCTTCGTTTTATCTATTATAAAAGCAATTTATATAGACTCCCTCACTCTGGATATAAAAACATTCTTAACTTTTTAAATTTAAAACTTTTAAAAGATAGAAAAAAACTATTTTATATAACTTTCTTATTCAAACTAATTAATAAAATAATTAAATAGACGATTTTTTCCTTCTAAAAAATATTACTTTAAAAATAAATAAACATAACATTATTGTATTTATAATATAAACTGTTATATAATTATATACATCTATGTAAATTGCACTGATGTCTTTTGTATGAACAAATAAATAAACAAATTAGGTATTCGATATGATACAATTTTCAAATACTATACATCTTGTATGCATACTCATACATTTTCAATCTACTTATAAGTATTTTCATTTCACTAAACTAGTTAATGTACATCATAATTAGTTTGAATTAATAATATTATATTCGTGTGTCAAACAAAATGCTTGAGTTTACAGCTACCAGGTAGCTAGGTGACAGGTTCATACGAAATCGTTCTAAACGTATTATAATAGTTACGAAAAAAAATGATTTTTAACGTCGAAGCGTATAATTGTTTAAATGCATTGTTTTATTACTAAGATCGTTTGATCTTTGATTATGTCCAGCATCTATAGGGCACTAAGGTCAAATAAAAATTAGAGCCCCTCTTAAAAATGTAAAAAGGTCTGAATAATTCAAGGTACCCTACTTTCTTTTGAATTTTGCGTAGAAGTCAATAATAAATAACTACGAAAAAATATAAAATTTGAAAAATCATTAAAAAATATTCTAGGAACATTGGTTCGGATTACATAAAGGAGTGGTTAAGCGGGTAAGATATATTCCGCTATGATAATTTTCCTTCAACATTTATAATTACAATAATTTCAGTTCTTGGAAAATGAGTCTCATTCCCTCACGTCTACGACAAAATCATTTTACTACCACTATTGGATAATCATATTCTTTTTGACGGTCTTTAATTTCCGAGATACCAAAGTCTTACCTTGTCAACTAAACCGCTAATTGTGCCACTGATTATTTCATAAACCTACAAATTATATAATATCGTTTGCAATAATTATTTCTATTTATCATGTTTTTCATATTGTATTTGATGTAATTATAATATATAGGACATATAAGTACTATATAGACACTATTTTATCGAAAGGTTAACCCGTTTGATTTTACTATACAACATAAACATTAGCTATATTACTATTGGTCGCATTACGTTCGAGACTCAAATCACGTAGTTATAGAAATTTATTAGAAACCGCGTTAAACTCGATGTGCTCGTAGAGTTTGATTTTCATTATAATACTTCTTGTTATTAGTTTACACGATTTTCGGCTAAGATGATTATTCGCAGTTTGATGAAAATACAATATGGCTTTTGATTAAACAAGAAAGTTATATTATACAAATAGTTTAATTGATTCGGCGAGTACGGCCGTTTCATCCTCATCTAGTTATTTTTGACGCTGTCGATTATTCAGTAAAATATAATGTATCAGTCGTTAACATATTATAATGTACCTATACATCAATCAAATGTATCAATTATATTGTGCGCCATAAATTTTCCCAAGTTTTATTTTATAATCATTCAAGTGTAGTATGATGTTTTAAATGATTTATACCATTTAAATTGTATTAACACACCAGCTAACTCGTAAACCATCATTTTGACAGAACAATGATTATTATAACGATAAATATAATGAGCATTAATTTTGCTTTAAAATTATTTTCGTGATAGTGACGAATAATAAATTGTAATTGGACAATAATCTTTTATGACATAATTTAACCTAATCCAATCTGGTTTTCAAAGTCCTAAAATCATTTTTGCTATCATAACAAACAATGTTACAATATCAAATATCGTTTTTACTCGGAGTTTGGTGCTCGATCCAAAATATTATTTAGATGCTAAAGGTTAAAAATACAAGTTTCATAAATATTGACAATATTTGTTCCCGTGTATAGTGTCACTGTAAATATTACGTTCTACTCTTGGTATTTAAAAAATCGTTTTCAATAGCTTAATTATATTATAAAAGTGTTACATCATAATAGGTACTCATAATGATTTTGAGAAAACCATTGGAATATCGTTTTTTGTATCTCAATTGCCTATACTTTTCGCCGTGTTACAAAACTTGTTCCGGTACTTTAAAGTATTTATAACAATTCAAAAAACTGTTACTTAAAATACAAACGTACGTAAAATTCGAATAGTTATTTTTATTTATTTATTTAAAAACATATTATAATGTATTTACAATAACATCGGCTGGCTTACACATAATTTTCACGTTTAAAATTATTTAGTTTTATAACATTGTCTTTCTGAAGGTACTTGAATTTAAATTTAATTTAATTTAATTTCAATACAATTTTTATTTATAACACGAATGTCATTAATTATATGTAATAATATAATTTACACCTTTATTATGTTACAGATTCGTTATGATGTATTATGTTATACAACTTTTTTATTTTATTTTTACAACTATTGGTAATAAATTATAATCAATAGTTTGTACTTTGTTCACGCTCCGTTCTAAAATGATAATATTTAAAAAATCAAGAATACTTGTGAAAATAATAAGTCATATCAATGATAACCTAGATATTAGTATAATTTACGCATAATTGTTTGTTTGAAATTCTCAGATAAAAATCATGGAACTTGATTGTACCCCAAATAAAATATTTATTTAGAAATGTTTATGATTGTTTAGAAAATATTCCTTACACTTTTATTATTATTGTTAATTAATAATATTATATCAGTAGTTTCAAAGTTTATACTATAATATTTATCGATTTTCGGTCACATGATATAAATCATGTTCTTTTCACTCGAGTATTTTTTTTTAATTCAAAATTATATAATTGACGTATTACAAAAAAAAAAAAAACAAATTAAATTAAAAAATAGTTCCTTTAGTTTTTTTTTATATATAATTGTAACACTTATTTAGTCGCACGGATTTTTTTTTCTTTCTGTAATTAGACAAAAAAAATAAAGAAAAGTTAATTAAAAATCAAGAGTGTTGATAATTGAAAAACAAATCGCGGGAGACCAATTATTAATATTATTATAATTTCTCTGAGTTTCGTTTTGTTTGCAAATTAAAACGAAACTTGTCGACACTTTTTTGTTATTTAGCTTTTTCTTTGCAAATAGTGTGTTTAATAAATTATAGTGCACGGAACGTTTAATACAATAATGAATAAAGATTTTACATTTTCCGTTATTACTGTACGACGGCGGACTTATATTAGTTTGGAAAACCAGGACTGGTTATATGGCTGAACAAACCATAGACTTATAAACTAGTGGACAGGCAAAAATTATTTAGACAACGTCTGAAATTGTAATAAATCAATGTTTCCCATGGAAAGAATTTGAAAAGTATAATTATTTCCTACCCAATTTTTGCTTATCAGATGTTCACATTTTTTGTAATGACAACAGTTGTAAAAAGCGCAGACTACTATATATTTATCAGATAAATTTATTCGAAATTTTAAAAACATTTATTAGTATGTTTTTATATAATATTCAACCTGAGCTTTGTATATATTTATAGTTGTGCAACATTAAAGCGATATTCAGTTAGTTCGTAATAATTACGATTTTCTTCAAAAATTTTTCTTAAAACGCGTATGAAAAAAAAAACTAATGCATTAAACTTAAATTTATTTTTTACGTCACTAAATACAACTTATAATGTACTTTGTGTTGAATTTTTAAGTATCCCTCTTAGGTCATATGATTTTAATAACAAATACCTACCAAATAAAAATACGAAAATATCAAATACTTATTAAATAGCTTAAACATTTTTTTAACACGTCTACAAAAGGCCAATATAGGTATTTTGTAAAAAATATAGGTTTTCACTATAATTTTTAACCGAATAACAACAGAAAACCCAAGTGCTGTACACTTTTCCGTATTTCCTACGCTTTTTTTCAGTTTTTCGTAATCATTGGGAAAACTATACAGAAATTCAAAGAACGACTTTCTTACTGACAAACTTTCAGAAAATATTTTTATTTTAGAAATTTGGACACAGATTTAGGATAGAAAAATATCATCTGAAAAATTGTAAATAATGAAATTATTGTTTTGTAATTTGAAAAATCGTATTTTCGTCTCGTCTTTTTGAGATTTTCCCAATTATTATGAAAGCTACTTCAAGGTATCAAAAAAATGAATTTTTCTATCAGTGGCAATATGTTAAAAGGAATGAAATCGACCTTAAGTCATTTTTCGACTGAAGTTATATTTCTGTTAGAAAATATAAGTTGCAAAAATGAATAACAATGAAATCGATAACACCGTAGCGTGCCGTAAATATTTGCCATTTTCCTATAATTTTCTTTCCGTTATTTCTAAATTATTTTACAACTCCTTCTAAAATCAAAAAATTATCTCCCCAATGCACCAACTAGAGAAAGTGAGCTTTCAGAAAAGATGCTGCATTTGATTCTCTAGAACAAAATGTCTGAAAAAAAGTTGTTAACAGGCACACACACACACAAAAGAACATAATCTAAAAAGACTAGTCTTATATATCAACTTGACAAAATTAACTACCTAACATCCTTAGTTTTGATGATTGGAGTAAGATTTCTGACTGAAAAGTTGTTAAAAATTAAATTATTGATAATTTTGTTTTTATTTACCTATTTGCTTTTTATTATTATTTTATCTTTGTAAGAAGAAGATCTCAGGTGAAGAGGCTAATTGTCTCTAATGCTCTTTCAAACAAAAAGGACTTGTGTGACGTAATATGCCTTATGTTTCTGTCGTACTGTACTTCGTGAATGTCACGAAGTTTTACCCAAACTCGATTGTTATTCAACCGTCGACTGTATACGGCGCACGTATAATATAATGTTTTTAAGCACGTCTGTAGTGTCACACCAGACGAATACCGATTTTCAAAAAAAAGTTTCTACTTTTTCTTTTTCTCTTCTATTAAAAACTAAAAATCACCCTCCGTCAATATACCGTGACAGACGTCGACGGGAACGACGGTCTTCTATATTATTATACTGTTTATTTATAAACGCCCGGTGGGTATAAAGTACAGAAATATTACATACATATATTTTACTCGCATATAATTATCATATACATACATGCATTTCTCCATTTAGAGCAGTTTTAAACCGAATCCCACGATTATATAAAATACAGCATCATATGTAGAAATTCATATAAATTGCGCCCAGAATAGTTTTCTGATTTCAAAAAAACAAGAAGCTCCTAAACTCATAAGTTATAATATACGATTTGCATACAAGTAGAAATTAACTCAAACGTATTATTTAAAATAACTAATAAGAATGGTACCGGTTTTTGTTTAATTTATTTATTAGGTATATCTATATGTATAGGTATAATAATTCACTGCTGTGTCAATAAATCTTAATACCTACAGGATAAGTACTAATGTACTTAGTCAACACTTGAGTTTATAAATTGAACAGTTACTATAATTAAGACAAAAGTATTGTTTTTGCGACACTTTTTTTTTTTTCTGCTAGATTCTTGTTATTCGCGGGACTGTAAACTCGAATGGTGTAAACACATTATCATTAGTGAATCTCAGCAATGTGAATTTCTTATTCCTATTTAACAATATTGATAATGAGTTAATAATGATGGTACAAATGCCCCGTAAAACATTTCTATATCAATTTTGACGCGGTTCCCGAGGTAACGAAGCAATTCGCATTTTCACCGGGATTATTATCTGGAGCTCCTGGCCAAAAGGCCGAGAGGTATGTTATATACATTATGCATGGGTACTGTATTATTATTTCGGTATTATATATTACACGTCGTTCTTTCGACACTCGAGTCCGACCGACCGTACGGTTTTTAATCGACCTGTATACTGTGAATAGGTACCTGTGTGCGCAGCAACTTTACAAGCCACCGTCATTATAATATATACGATCATTATGCGAATCCCTCGATTTTCAAACCAAATCCGTGGTGTGCGGAAAATTGCAAATATATAATGGAACAGAATAATTGGTACTCCATAATTCGGTACTCGAACCAAATCAGAGAAATAAAAAATCGCAAATGCCGAAGAACTATAGTTATAATATATTATGTATAGTGGCTCCGAACCTACAGCCTAAGAGGGGCAGTCGCTCTCCTTTTTTTCGGTGGGTGGTGGTCAGTTGTCCATAAAGAAAGGGTGACTATTCAAATTCACAGAGTATACCTTTATGATAAAAATTTAATTTTAACCTTGATGATTGATATACACACAATTAAATACATTTAGGTACTGTGATATAGTCATTTTTAAAATAAGTATTTATTGTTTACATACATAATACATGTATTAATTTATAGTGATTCATAGTATTTTTTATATTGCAATTAGTAATGTCGTTTAAAACAAAAGTCACGAATTTTAAACGTTTTTGAAGAACTGTGGGGCATTTACCCTCTCCCCTTGGATCTTTCGTGGGTGGTGAGTTGACATATAATTTCCCCCCCACAAATTAATTTAAGTTCGGCGCCACTGATTATGTATAATATGTATGATACAAAATTCCGACGATATTTGTTTTTAGAACGTGCAACGACGTATACATATTATACAGCAAGTATTTAATTTTTCCACCAAATCATTTCGGGTATATTTTAAACCTTTTGCAGGTTTTGATATTTTTTTTTCCAAGGTCTGTTCGGGTTTTATCGGTTCGACATTATAACAATCAGAGTTCGTAACATCACTAATCACAAATTTATTACAATATATTGTGATGATGGCAACACACACTCACACACACACACACACACACACATGCCATTACACTTTACAATACGATTCGTTACTCACATTTATACAAATGCTCGCACTCGAGGCATAATACAATACGATCGTTACACATACACACACGACGCACATGTCCATTTTGCCACCGACGTTGAAAATTGAAATTCGCATTATTATAATATAATAATTATTATACGCACGATATTATGCACGACAAATCAACGAGCAATATTGTGGCAGCAGATGGTAGTATCACGACAATGCAATATACGGGTGAGTGCTCGTAATATTTATGGCACGCCACCGGATAGAGGAATACGTGCATAATAATATTATAATATGATATAATCCTGTAATGTTCTATAATAAAAGGAAGTGTTTGTGTGCGCAAGGCAAAAATCTGCAAATCTAATGGATAGTAGAGAATTTTGAACATATGCGTACCGAAAATCGAAGTCCGCGGCATGACCTCAAAGCTAAATGAATTGTATAGATTCTCAGCGATACTCAGTACATTTAACCTATTAGTACGCGTATTAAAAGTTACAAGAAAATGCCTGAAATTATAATTCAAACTATGTGACTTCTACGTATTACATATTAAATTATAAACAAATTTCAAATTTCAGTGAGAGATATAACCCTCAAACTCCCCTCCTCCAATGCATGTAGAGGATCTAGTTTAGTTGGTGTGTCGTCGTCGAGCTAAAATTTAATTTTATTGTGAATTATATTATTGCTATTTTTACGGTTCTAAAACTTATGCTCTTTTCTTTTTACTCGGGGCCGTGCCATATATTAGTTATTTGTAGCTTTTAGACATTTTCAAGTATTTTAGTATCTTCTTGTTTTATGTAAGTAACAATTTTCAGATCTATAAAAATATTTAACAATTTGATACATGTTTTATCATAAGTTGTATCTAATTATAAAAAAAGATTGAGCGCCGTCGTAATTTACACTACCCCTTAATTGCTATAGACTTCCGCCGAACTCCGGTCAGAATCGTTTTTTGTTTGCAACGATAATTAGAAGAACCGCTATGATACGGGCTTTTGGGAGCCGTGAATTCCTCATCATTATCCCCAAATACGTGCCTCCGTTCACCCTCCAGAGGGAATTCTTCGGCTTTTTGCATACCACCGTCGTCTGAGACAAATATTCTTTGTACGCGTTTCAACTTTTTAAGTAAAAAATGTGTAGACAATTAGGTATACATCGTATGACGACCGCGATAGGCTGCGTTTCCGCCTTCACTTGTGGTATACGATGACCGGACAAACAATATATGTTATATATGTTACATATATGTATATATACATAGTTAATCGGCGAATTTAATTTTCTGGGCCGTTTACTCGTATAACTGTCGGTCGCCGTTAAACTCGTAGCGCCACCGCAATTTTATTACCCCGAGCGAACTTTATTATCGCCGTAAAGATTTATTTTTAAATCAATTTTCTTTCCGCCTGTTAACGAAATTATTACATCCCCCTTGTGCATTTATTATAAATATTTATGTATACACGAATAAAAATCCGATTGATTAAAAAATAAATTGATAAGCATATTTCATAATAAAATATACCTATATATATATATATATATAGGTATACACAGTATACAGTTAGAAATCGTTTAACAAAAATAAGAAAGTAGTTAATATTTATAATATTCTTATAAAAGCCGCAGTTAGATTTTTTTAAATTAATTATCTTATATTAGCTTTTTATGATAAAACATATATTTATATAGTCAGTAGGCACTATATTTTTTGGTACGATCAGTAATTTATTTACAAAAATTATATTATACCCATACAAGTATGCATTTAGGCAGGAGTAAGTGCGATGGTAAATTAAAAATTTTGTACGTTCTTTTAGTTTCGATAAGTTACTACCGAATTCGCAAATATAAAAATATACATAATTAAAACGCGTTATCGTTATAACTAAAATAAAATGAAACGTGCAACAGCGGTATAATGGAAGGTATATGCAGTGTACCCACTTTTTATGTGTATACCCATTAAAAAGAAATGTAGCCCATGGCTACAAACATGATAATTTGTTTTTTTTACGAATACTCGGTAGTTCGACGTATACATTCGTGTATCTAGTTTAAAATAGAAAAAAATATTTATAAAATAAAAACAATCATAATTTATTTGACATTCTGTGTTTATTCAATAAATGAGTTTAAAAATGGAAAATACAATTTTTCCTAAAGTGAATGAAATCCTGTAATGTAAATAAAATGTAAAGAGATGTATAGTGAATCATAGAACTGCCAATCAGAAAAAAATCCAGAATGATTAACGCTACCACTACTTCTAATCCTCTAAAGACAAATGTGTGTAGTATTATTCAACTAAATTGAAACAAATTACTAAGCTACATAAATGTTTGTATATTTTAGACCCTTGTGTACTCAATAATTTATTTAACACTATACATCACTGTATGTATAAAATGTAGATTACAGTGTCTGGGTTAGGAACGTTTGTTTTAAAAAGAAATTCGTTCCCGTTTCATATTCTTACTGTAGTAAAAAAAACCATTTCCGTTCCTCGTTGTTTTTTTAAAAAACGAACTTGTCCTCGTTCTTCGTTCCTTAAAAAGGAACTCGTTTTATTAAGTATTTTTTTTTCCGTGCAACATGGCTTTACCGATTTCATTGTTTTAATTTTTGCAAACTATGTTTTCTACCAAAATATTGTTCCAATAGATAAACGACAAGAGACCTTTTTTGTTGAATTTTTAATCTTATTTGTGAATAAAAAAGTTTTTTATATATATCCTGTAGTTATTTAAATAATTGAGGACAACTGAAAAAAAAACGTGTAAAATAATACTTTTATTATTTTAAATTTTACTTTTTGTTGTAATTTTGACAAAAACTTATATTTGAGTTTTTTAGACGTGGTAAAATTTTCAAAATATTTAAACCATTTTTGATTTATTTATAGACATTTTAATTTAGTTTGTTATTATTATTATTAATGTAATTTTTATTTGGTAGATACTCTGTAGATAAATTGTCAAATTAAACAGAAATGTTTAAAAATTCATTATTAGTGATGGTGTACCCGATGTCATTCTAGGGATCATGGGTCGCTAATTCACACACGAATTCTGCAATCATTTTGTTTCAAGAAATAAAATTGAGTGTAATGGCAATGATTTTTTTTACATAAGAGTTTCAAAATCCAATTCTGACAAAAATCTTAAATATTATGGCCTTTCAAAACATGTATGATCGAATTTCGCTCCGAATCGTTTTTCGTTAACAATTTTTTATCGTTGATTACAGGTATAAATTAAATAACTTTATGTATCCTACCTTCCCCACTACCCACCAATAACAGTGGCCGCACCCGTCCTCAGTATCAACTTTTTTTTTAAATTTTTTTTTCTGCTTGTAAACAACCAAAAAATATTCGTAGAGATTTGAAATTATTATTATAATATAGAGTCACGCATATTTAAATTTGTAATAAAAAGTCTGAGTTGGTATGGTAATAATTTATATAACAATTTGTATTTATTTCTATACAAATATATTTACGTGTATATAAAATATAAATAATTCTAGTATTCATAATATTTTCTTCCACTCGCATCAATATCTGATTGCTGTTATCGATGTCTGCGAAAATAGTTATATTGCTGTTATTCAGCGCTCAGATGACCGTGATCACCGCAAGTATCGTGACTTACTTGACTCCGCGGTTAACACAGTGGGATGGTTCGTCGACCGTAAAGACGCTCTACCACAAGGATTTGGCAAATTTCCAAGGTTCACCAGCTACACATCGAGTGCCATGTGCTGCGCTCACCGGTACAAGCTTCGACATACTGATTCGCATATACTGCACAAAACGGACGTGGTCTCCTCGGTCACCGTGCACGAAAAAATGTACGGAAACTTCTCGACCGTTTCACACTACACGCTGCTTAGAGACTTTTCGACCACTCTGTACTACTCACCGTATAGAAGCTTCTCGGCTCCCGTGCACGACAAAATGTACGGAAACTTCTCGGCCGCCATGCACGAAAAAATATACGAAAACTTCTCGACCGCTCTACACAACACGCTGTATAGAGACTTCTGGTTCGCCATGCACAATGAAATGTACGGAGAGAACAACTGCTCGTGTGGAGACTTCTCGGACACCATATACGCCAACCTACAAGCATGACTACTATACCGGTACAAAAATGACTTCAACCGCGTCTACTTTTAAATTTAAGTCGACAATGTCATCGTTTTGGAGTAGTGACCGTACACGACCGGCGGTAGCAGCAACCGAGAGTACCGTCAATAAGAAGTCTAAGTGCGCATCCAAAATGTTGACTACCTTAATGTTTTCACTCACCACTTCTGCTACAAAACCACTGCCCATGTATTATATTAATTTCAAACACAGCTACAGGCATTATATTAAAGTGTAAGCTCATTAATAGAAACAGAGCGCTTCAATTACCTCAATAACATTTTATTAACCTAGTGCCATATTTATGGGAGGGGCGGGATTCGGGTCTTGCCCGAATTAAGTTAACCTTATTCTGTGTGAGTAAAAATTTTAAATTCAAAGTATGTTTTAAAAATTCTTAAAAAAAAATGAATTTATTTTTAGTATTATTTTAAACATTTTTAGCATTTTTAACAATTCATTAAATACAAAAACTTTAGTGATATTAAGTAAACACAATTTGAACAATATTAATATTTTTCTATTTTTAAGAGGGAGAGGGGCATTTATTTTATTTACACACGGGCCCAAATCAGTGTAATTACAGCACTGTTGTTGGTTAAAATTTTAAATCAATATTATCGAGACACCATTATTATAATATCATGATTATACAAATATACAACCGTGATTTATATTTATATTTATATTGTGTATGTTAATAAAAATTGAAAAGTTGGAATTGCAATATTATAATAATATATTATGGTAATTTATTAGTAACTGAAGAAATGATACCAACACATAATTTCTAGACTTTATATCATTAAAATAACGTGCGTTTCATTTTTTTTTTCTTTTTTATAGGTAATAGGAGAACATTTACATTATCTTTCCTCATTAATAGGAACTTTTCCCGTTCCTCGTTCCTATACTTGAAAAGAAATGTGTTTTAAGCTCGTTTCTATGAAAGAAACACGTTCCTTCCAAATTCTGGTAGATAATGAATCGTTCGGCTATATTTCGGTTATTTTATTGTTAATATAATGTTGATAAATATAAGAAAATATAAATTTAGACGTGGGACACAGACCTGATTTTTCAGCTGTAAAATACACTAAAAATTAATAATTATGATTAATATGTTAGTCAGACAACGATTATTAACAGTAGCTTAGTAGTATAAGTAGTTATACCTATATAATTGTACAACGCATCCATCAGGCATTCGCGATTCATCAGCCGTACAAAAGATTTTTCCGGGACTAGTGGAGATTAAAATAATAATAAAGTCGGCTAAATTATTCGCTAGGTAGGTATTTGAAGAGAGAAAATTAGGAAAAAAATATATTATACATCACGCGGAGATAGAACAAAAAAAACACAGGGTTTAACACGTTTTTTTGTCTCACGCGTATACAGTTCGACCGTTGTTTTTTTTAATTTCATAATGCAGAAACCTCCTAAAGATTAGAGACAGGTACTATTTTAACGGCATTACCGCTACTACTCTATACAAATACCTCTGCTTTTGAAACACTGTATTTTTTTTATAATTACCCAAACGCGTTGGTAGGTTTTTAAAAAATACTTTACGTGATGCTGTTCACGTGTAGTTGTTATGTGCGAGTATTATTTTAAACAACGCAATAATTATAACATTAATAAAAATATAATAGGTCTTTACGTAGGTATAATATTATTGTTATGTCTACACGTGTTTCATGGGAATAATAACGACATATATAGGTAAAAAAAATAAAGGATGTTTTTAATTTTTAAAAAATAACAAAAACTTCGTTAAAATAGATAGAATACATGCGATATAATAATATTATAAAATGCGAAAACGACATACTTCAAATATCTTGTATATATATATTATATTATATAGTAATGATGATTAATATACGTAAATATGTTACACACGAGACATTATTGCAGCGCAAATATTGCTCACAACCATGATAATACTGTACCTATAACGTACACATTAAACTTTCTTTTCCAAAAATAAACAAATCAACATATTATCAGTGGCGTATTTACGGAAAGAAATTGCGAAAATATGTTGTGTCCTCCTTTGCCCTTTATTTAGTATTTATTATTTATATGATAATCTCTTTTTAAATTTAAATTTCCATCAACAATTTAGTGCGTTGGCAGTTTGGTAAGTATTCAAACAATTTGAACATAAACAATTTGTTTATTTAAAACGAATCCTATATTTAAACTACTAAAATATGAAGGAAGTTAAATTAGTATCGTAGTAATAATAAATAGTAATCCAATTAAAAAAAGTTACTTATAGGTTATATACCTAGTTATTTTATTCCAGTTATCATTTTAGGGCAGATTGAGTTATAAATTACTTATAAAAATACATAAATCAATAATTTATGTTTTTTTCAGTTAGGCCAAGGAAGACACATTATGCAATATGGCACAATTTCCAAATTCAGTATTTTCTTTCTTAGAAAAATCATAAATACGCCACTGTGGGACGTATCCGTATTACCGCACCACGACGGAAAACAGTATAATAACTATAGGTATAGGTATATATGCAAATTACGTGTTTATATAGAACTATCATCGTCGTTATGACGCGTGTGTGTGTGTGCTGCAGTCATTATATAAAATAATAACATTAATTTAGCGTAAAATTTATTGCGTAATATTATATAATTATTAATAATTACGCGGGTATATACCGCCGGAAGAGAAACAATATAATATGCAAAAACGTGCTTAGTTTGTGTTACGTATTATTAATTATTATCCCTGGATACATTATAGGTAAAGGGCGTAACGAGTAATAAATAAGTTACTTATTATAAAAGCATCAGTCAAAGCTGCTAAGGTACTTTCATCGGTTCAACTATACATAACAGTTATTTAATCATTTGACAAAACAATATTAATCTCGTCTATATAGGCTGTGAAATTATTATCAAGAAAATAGAAATGATCACTAAACAAAAAACCATTTATATTGTGAATGTAAAAAAAAAATTTAATATTATTGGAAATATTTACGAGAGAGGTGTATTTATTGAAGTTTGAGAAATCCAAACCCGGACCGTAAGAAAAACAAGATATCAAATTGCTAATACTACAGAGATTGCCTTTGCTGAACTTCATCTTGGTAATATATAATAAAGACTGTACGGAAAAAAAAATTGGTAGGTTTCCAAAGCCGAACAAAAGCAATAACTTTGGATTACAACACGTACAGCTGTACAAGAAAGAACGTCAATTGCTGGATTTATCGAGAACAATAGCTCACAACGTTTTATTAGAATTTATACACATGTTATATTGTATATAATATATATTCTTTGAAATTTTTTTTTAAAATTTTTAAATGCTCGCTTTTAAACGAACAAGAGTTCATTTGTTAAGAATACTATTCGTGTAAAAAGTAATTCGCTTTTATACGGTTTCAAAATAATGCTGGGTGTCGAAATAATATAATTTTAAAAATACCACTAAATAAAATAATAATTGAATTATTAAAACTAATTTTCTTTTAAATTATAAACTATACATAGTACATATACGATGATTTTGTTTCTTTAAATCACTTAACTTACGAGACTTACCACATTAAATATAGTATGTAACACAGTGTTAAATTCAGTTTCGTAACTACAAACATTAACCATTACACTTTAAATGACTTTCAGTTAACTAAAACTGATATATTTAAAAATATTTGGTTTTTCTTAATGACTAAAATAATACTATAAGCAACTTTCTTACTTAATAGAAATCTGTTGGAATCTGTTGTAGCCTGCACAATCACTATTTACTCAATCTACCCAATTCTTGGATCGATTTTTCCGCCTCCCAGACGAACACTTAGCAGTTATTGGTGTCAATTTTGCTTCCCGCATTCATACCAGTAGGTACTCTTTCAGATTACTTAGCATCATAGTACAAATTTTCCATCATGTCATTTAAATAGTTTTGAACAATTTCACCCTATAGTGGTACAAATATTCTGTGCATGAAACTTGTATATTTAGCAAAAACTCACAAGTTCGAACGTCATGAATTATGCTATAATGACATTTTCTTGGTCAGAATCGGTTGATTCTGTAAAAATTTAAAATACCAGCTCCCAAAACCAACTAAATAATAAAAAAACCACTTATATCTATTCATATAATAAGTTATAAAAAATAGTGTCTTTCATTTAATAATTGAGTCAATTGAGTTGTGTAATACATTAAAATATTTCAAAAATCAATTTGCCTAATGGTAAATCAATTAACTGTTAAAGTGTTTAATGTTATTTATGTTTTAATTGGAACAAAAAGACAAACTAAATAATAATTTAAAAAAAATTCAGACAGATTTTAATTAACCTAACCTTTAGTAGAAATACCAATAGCAATGGTATGGTAAAATACTCATTCATTTTTCCTTCGTACTTTTCAGCTAGGTTTCCTTTCAATAGTTAATTGCTAATTATAATAGTATAACATTTCATTATTTTTATCTTTCTACCGATATTCTAAATTTGACCTTGGCTTTCATCAGGAAGTGTTCTGAGAGTGCACTGTTCCCTCTTATGCTTCTTACATACTTTACGGCTGATCTTACTTGATAGTCCATTATTACATGGTCTATTCGGTTGAATTTCGTTTCCTCACTTTCCACTTTTTAACGCCTAAATCTGTTTTAGAATATTTTATGTGAGGTTATTATGTTACTTATTAAAATATTTTTAACCTTTGCAAATCCAATCAGTTTATTCCTATTGTTATTAATTATATCGTTGTGTAAGCTATCCTTCCCTATTATTGAATCTCCCTTTCTTATTTTTGTATTGAAATCACCAATAACGACTTTAGATTTTCTTACTGGTAGTCCAGTACCTTTCAACTCTGTATAACATATATCATTTATCGGTTCAAATCTCATAGTAGTCGGCAGAATGTTATTCTTAACTATAAAACCTACTAGGTTAACTGTAGGTACACATTATATAATACACCTCTCATTTTTTTTTTTGCCGTAAGTACCGAAAATTAATTATATTTCTTTACATTATATGATTATCCATACCTATACCTAGATCCAAAGTATATAACAATTTTTTATGTGATGATAATGATAACAATATATCAAGATACGCGTTATTCGCAGGCTAGAAATAAAAGAGACGACTATTTTTGTATTTTTTTCGCAGGCGTATATGTAATACGTAATGTGTAAGTCCATATAGGAAAAATAACAAAAGGTTCGGCTCCGTCATATTATACTCGTATATAATACAAATGGAAACCCTATATCCGAGTGTTTGCGTTTGTATGTATGGCTATAAAAATGAAATAGTGATTTATTATTTCGAGCTGGTATATTCACAAGAAATAATATTATTGAGTATTGAACACATACACATATACGTACACCCCCACCGTATCTTCTAAAACACGCAAGGGGTAGCCAAAACTCACAAACTTGTATACCGACAAGGATACTAATAACGTCAAACATAACCATTTATTTGACGATCACTTTACGTCAAAAATAATGCCGTTTTAAAAATATATTAGCCAGCCACTTTTATTACATCCATATCGTCATCCGTAACTTATAGAAAGAAAATACTCAATCCGAAATCGAGAAAGTTAAACCGTAAATTATTGACTTGTTTTTATTTAGGTCATCGTTATATATGAACTATAGCCGCTATCAGTAAAAATACTTCTCTCTCGACCCGAAGAGGGATGGCCCGATGTAGAAAAACGATATATTGCATGTGGTTAGGGGACGTTTAAAAAAAAACAAAATCATTAATAACTGTTGGATATATAACATTGAGAAACCGTCAAATTATAAAGTCGACTGGGAACTTAAACTATAATGTAATACAATTTATATTTGACGGGAAAATGCCATTGCTGGTGCAGCCATATAATAATTTAATAGAGCGTTTTAGACCGTGTATGCGTGCGTGTGGTCCTTATATAGAAATTAATTGATAATGCAAATGAGAGTATAATAATAATAATTTAGAGAACCGTATATTATAATATTAAACAGTAAATTATTGTGTTGACCGTAGATTATATTATTATACAATTGAACCACGTTGTACAGTGAATTCAGTTATTATTAATGTGATCACATCAGAATATAATATAATAATGGTGCAGGTCGTTTTGATTCAATTGGGGCATAACTTTTGTGTGGGGAAAGAAAGGAGGGGGGGGACTGCGGCAAAAAATATTTCTGCGAGGAATTTTTTCTTGAATCTACATAAAATTGTTTACATTATTTATACTAGTTGTCCCGTGCCTAGCGTTGCTCGTGGCAATTTTCTATTCTTATTACCTTTATTCCCGTTTTGCTTTGTCCGTATCAGTATATCGAGCGGAAAAAAATTGGTGAAAAGTGAGTAGTCCAACGGCGCACTAAAATTATTCTAGTGTGTCGTACCATTTTTACTTCCATGTTACCATAGATATCCACAACACAAGGATCAAGCTATATATTATTCACTATAATAACGCTAAAATTGAAATGAAGACATAATATAATAGTACTGTAGTGTTGTTACTGTACAAAAAAATACAAAGATTCAAAGACGACGTTTTACGTGTTTTCACTTTTCACTTAACCATCCAGTACAGCGCATAGTTTTATGTTTGTTTTTTTCTATCGGTGTTACCATGGTAGCCCATCCTATTTCAAGCCAATAACAGACCGGCAACAACAGACTCTTTATTTTAAATTTTTATAGTTGCTATGGCATTTTTATTTGTTTTTATTATTTATTATTTTTATTTTTCAATTTTTCTTCATTTCATCCAAAATTGGGCCATAATTCAACAAAAACAATTTAATTTTCCTACCGAAAAATACCTAAAACCTCCCATTCCCTACTAGTTTTGTTTTCGCTACAAAAAGTAGTTTATGTTTTTTTTCCGAAGTCCCATCTATCTTTATACCAAAATTCATCGAAATTAGTTCAGCGGTTTAGACGTGAAAACGTAACAGACAAACTTACTTGCACATTTATAATATTAGTACGAATATATTTGTATTTTTTTTTTATTTACGGCTTTACGAACTATTGAGGTTCTTTATCACCAAAAATATCTCCTCCAATTTCACTTTATCATATGCTGTTTGACAATCTATCCTAAGTTCTTGGGACACTGTATTCCGTGTACCGTTAACAATGTCTATTCGTCTTTTCCGTGATATATATATAAATATATGTATACATAAAAGACAATGTAGGGATTTTGACCCCCACAATCCCCCGTGTATACGTCTCTATTTGATTCTATTAACGTATACCTATACTGTTTTTTTTTTTAAACTGTAGTTGCAATACGATAATTTAACACGAATTGGTTATTATATTTTGAATGTTTAATAAAATAGATACAATATAATAAAATGGCATTCAATTTAATATAATTTTTTTTGTATAGGATTTTGCTAAACGTAACCCAATAAACTGCAGTGGGTTTTATTAAAATCTGCCGCAGCAGTGATCACATATTATAATATTATAACTTGATAGTATATATTGGTATAGGTATGTATGTCGAACAGATGATACTACGTGATTATATTACAAAACATATTCATTTGATTTAAAAACTGCATATTATTAAATTTCTGGTTTAAAATAAATATTTAAAATGGATTATACACTTCACTTAATATTCCCGAATTTATTTGTTTACTTTTTTTTTTTTATTGCTATATTGTTAAAAAAAAAAAAAAACACTTACGCATCAGAGCGCATATTTTAATAGACTCTAAATTTCTAATGTTAACTATATAATATTATCGTACATAGGAACCCAATAAAATAACGCATAATATTTATTCCACCAGTGCGAATAATATCACAATATTGATCGGCATATATTTGCCATGCATAGCGAGACTGTATACCTACCTAATATTGTTTCTCCGCATATAAATGTTACGCCCCATCTGCAGTGAAATTGCACAATTCATGAAATTACGTTATATTTGTACTTCTCGTTCATTTTATGCTGTTAGTTTTGACATTAGGGTGTATTCGCCTATTATCGAACCTAAAAGTAAAAACATTGTCTGTGTTTGTACATTTGAATTTAATTTAATTTTTTTTTTTATATTTTTATTTTTAAGCGAGCTAATTAAAAATAGAAAATTAAAGCTTAAAAATTAAAACATCGAAAAAACCAGCACACAAATATAGGCAGAATAATGTTCTTATCATTTGGTTTGATAATAGGCAAATTTACCCTATAATGTTAAAACTAACAGCACAAAATGAACGAAAAATATAAAGAACATCACAAATTGGGCAATTTCACCGAGTTACACCGGGTGTAACATATATTATTATAATAATTATGGGTTACCGGATCGATACGATAAGATATGATGTAATGTGATTGCAAAATCAGTGTTATTTATTTTTTGACGTTTCAGATGTAACGTGAGTGAAAACAGAACAATTTAAAAAAAAAAAAAAAAACTCACCAAAAAATAATTCAAAATGACGGTAATCAAACGTTTCCAAACCCGTTTGCGTCGTCGGCGATCGTTGCAGTTCCACGTTGGCATCGCAATACATTTCATCTGTATACTGCAGTGGATATCCGTCAACTTTGCTTCAGCAGGTTCGTGTTTCCAACAGTATTAATACGTCTTAACGCTACATTGTTTTCCTATATAAATAAAAAAATAAATAATTAAAAGGGGAAATAAAATACACAATTATAGGGGAGGTTAAATTTTTTAGACCTAACACCCTCCACCCATATTAAAAATGTAAAATAAGAAAATAAAAAAAAACTTGGTTACGTTGGACATATTATTGAATATAATTAATTTAATTTTTATCTTTACACAACAATAAATCTTTGCCAACGAAAACCGATTCTAAGCAAACTTCGACTAACCATGCCGTGACTTTTACAATTTTCATTAAAATTTGAACTTAAAACGTCTATAAAAATATGACTACATAGATACTTTTTTATTTCGACCTTCAAGTATAACGAATAATGCATTTTGTGTTCGATTTTCGAATATTTTTGCAGGAGAAACATAATTTTATTGAAATAAAAACTAAAGAACTCAACATTTTGAATAAATATATAAATATTATCTCAAAAACGGCTAAAATTTTACAATATCAAAAAACTAAAATAAATATTTAATTTTTTTTTTAAAAATGTTAGGTTTCTATATGATTATTTTTAAGTGAATTACAACAAAAAAACAAATACGGACATATTTCGCACAATGCGCGGGCCACTGTTGTAGGTGAGAAGTTGAAAGTTAAGATATAGAGGAGAATTTAATGTAGGTATATTTGTGCTCAACGAATAATCTTTGCTACCAAAAAAGCAATTCTGAGTGGAGTTTGACTATACATGTTTTAAAAGGCCGTAATATTCACGATTTTAAAATAATACATTTGGTACATTTTCCCGTTTTTCCTACGTTTTTTTCCTGTTATCCTTATTTTTTCAATTTTCCCTATTGCTTCTAAGAAAATCAAAAATGACCTCCATAAACTACCACCCCAGGAAAATTTCTTTTTTCGAAAAGTACTATACTTGATACTTTGAAGAATGATTTCAGGTTTAATTTGTTTATACGGTATATAAAAAAATAAAAAACAATAAACATCATTGTAAAACCAATAAATTTGTCACTCTGCTCAGAATCTAAAATAGAAAATAATAGATACCGTTATGCGGTGTTTACCAATAATTAATAAAAATAACAAAATGTTTAAAAGAACACATCACATCATATAGTAAATATAACAGTAGTATATAATATATAATATAAGTATAAAACTATAATATAATTTGCTACACAAATGCACAGCCCTAATAATAAAACAGAAGTTATTTTTAGTTTTAATTTTCTAAGTGCAATTTTTGGTATTTGTTTAGCGCAATACGATCGATTTTACTAGTTTTTTTTTACTGTACCCAACAACATCCGAGCTTTAAAATATACTAATGAAATACAGTAATAACTTGGCAAATTCTCTATAGACACGCAATTATTTAAATAATAACATTAGTAAAAAATGGACGTTTCGTCAGTAAAATAAAATAAAATGTTTTTTTTAAAGCGCATACAATATTTATACACTCGCTGCAGATATTATATAATATAGAAGGGCGGACCTCTTTGATATAATTGAAACAACTTTTTGTTTTCTGAATGAATACCGCGTCACATAGTATTAAGAGTCTTTGTATAAACTTTTGTAAAAGTAGTACGAGCGAAACTTTCGAGAACACGTCTTTTAAAGAAAATCCTTTTTTTTCCCTTTTTTTTTTTCTTTAATATTCACTAATGCTTTAAAAAGTGTCGTTAATATTCTGAAAATGAACAGAAGTTCTATAAAAGTTCGGTTATTTAAAGTGCCCGGAAAACTGCAAAAAGAAATATAAACGGCACTTAATTTTCAAAAATACCCAACGTATACTTACTTATAGGTATACTTCTACATTATTTGCGTATATACAATATATACTAGAGGTGGAATTAAGAATTAAAATAATTCCAAACTATTATGTCGGGACGATAAAGATATTCCCCTAAACGATAGTATCTCATAAATAGTATAGAAGAAAGCTATACAAAGGAGCAAAAATCGAATTTAAACGTTTATAACAACGTGCGACGTCGCGTAGACTATATTGCAATTGTCAACAACAATAATAATATGAAACTCGTTCACGCGAATATAAATAAAATATTTCGATTTAAATTTAAGATCCGACAAAATAAGAAAAATAATATAATATCCGTTCGACAAAACGAACCAAAAAAAAATTGTTCCCTAAGAATGTGTTTCCGTTAAAGTGTTTATCTTAATGGCGTTTTTTTAGCATACCGAACTATACAGTTACGCTTAAATGGTTATACTGTAATAAAAACACAATATATACGAAATATCGTTACAATACTTACACTACCACCGTCAGATGACCAACACCAGTAGATTTACTGAGGGGGAGGGGGAGAGAGTTAGTGGTTCTGAACCTCATTCCAAATACCAATTTCGACTAAAAATGCATCTAACACTGAAATACATATGATTTTTCAGCCCCCCACTCTCAAAAAAATGATGAAAATCCACTAGTGCAAGCTAATTTATACATATATAGATACTAATGTAGACGCTAGTACAAAAACCTTTCAAAAAAGTTTATAATTCAATAGTATTATATAATAATATATGATAATAAGAAAACTAGGATATTCGGACATTATTGTTATAAAATGTTCGGACATTTTGGCCAATGTAAATAAAATTATCGTTTTAAATAGTCCAATTGGCCGATAAAACGAGAATAACAGGGCAAATTTCAGAACTCGACCTGGATTCGTGTGGACAAATTGAATTAAACAAAAATTAATGTTTTTTACCGGAGATAATAGTATAAATTCCTCAATTGTAACAATGAGTCAACGGAGAATGCATTTTAAAAACTACGAATATTAAATAATTGCTAGTACATTGAGCTATTTTACAATGTACATACATTTATATTCAGTATAGTTATAAATTAACAGTTGTAAAATAAAATTAAAATAAAAGTTAATTTAGATTAATACAAACGGGAATTTAATGTATATCTAAAAGTAACGATAAACCATTGCTAAAGAAAAACGATTCTGAGCGGAGTACAGTTGATAGTGTTGCTTTGACAACAATATATATGCCATATTATGGTAAAATGATTATATCAATATGCGTTTCCATGACAACAATGATTGTCTAAAAAAGATGTATATAAAATAATAAAAACTTAATAATAACAAAAAATAAATAAAAACGGTTGCCTATCACAATCTTATTTTTAATATTTAAATCTTTTTTAACCTAAAGAATTAGGTTTTCCTCGTTATCTTGAATATTAATGAGAATTTCAAAAAATTACCGTTCTAAAGTGCCACCCAGAGAACGTTTCCATTCAGAACAGGTGCAATACTTGATAATCGGAATAAGTTTTCTGGTAAAAAAAATGTTCATATAAAAAAAAAATAATAATAATAAACATCATTGTAAAACCAATACATCCCTCGTTCCGCTCAGAATCTAAAAAAATGGATAAATATACATATTATTTTATTTTTAACAATAATATAGGCCCAAAAGACATAGAGGTAGAGTTAAAACATCAAAAATTACTAACTAATTACAATAAGTAATTATATTGCCTATATATAATGTACAGGTTTGTATAATGGGTAAAACAAATAAATAAATATATACAGAAACAAAGCGTGGAGTATTACAAAGGTTGTGTGTAAATATGACCGGTTTCGACTTAAAAAAATCATCAGTTAATAGAAGAAGATGAAAAAATAAGACATGACAGAATATAAAATCAAAATGAGGAAACCAAGCAAAAACACCTCACTTCGCTTAGAATCTAAAAAAATCGAAACATTCATAATAATGAAATCGTTGAAACGCCGTAAATGCATTCCTTGCTACGCTCAGAATCTAAAATATCATATAATTTCTGTTTAAATTATTATTTATAAAATTCTATCAAAACGTCATGATTAATTTGTAACGATAGCAAAGTAATATTTGATAAAATGTATTTACCCGATTAACGTTAAAGAAATCTATCTAAATTTTATGTTCTGAATAGACCGATCGTGTTTATTTTTTATTTTTTTTTTATTTTGTAGTTGTATGTCGAAGAATATCCGTTTGTTTTTACATAGCTATAACGCCAAATATAATTTTATATTCTTCTTCTATTTAACTTGACCCATCGTTGAGTGAAATCTTATCTGATGTTATAATGGACGAAATTGAAAAAAAAAAAAAACACAAAGGATGCTTTTATCCGTTGATTTACCCCTGAAACGTCTGACACGAAACATAAAATTCGTTAATATTGATTTTTTTTTTTTAAAGCAAACATAGCAGTCGCCGGAGTTGCCGTCGAGGACAAAGTGACGCTGCCGTCGAGAAACGAAGCAACTAATCCGTTAAAGGAACCGACCCCGGCCACATTGCAGGGAGCGTTTTTGAGCAATAACCTGACGGACTCCAACAACGGTAGCATCAGCACGCCACCGGCCGACGCACCGCGGCGGCATGGCGAGGCGTCCCCGGTCACGTCTACGACCGCTGCGGCCGCGGCCGCCGAGACAGTTTGGAACGTCCGGACTGCCGCTGCCGCCACGCTACCGGTCGACAGTCGCAACGAATCGACAGCGACCGCCACCGGGCCCGTGGGCCCGTCCACAACAGACAGGCCATTGGAGTCGTGGGAAAACGTCATCCACACGAGCACACAACAACTTCAGTCGTCGCCACCGCCGACGCAGTCCACGGTCGATCCGACCACGAAGGATATGGTCAGTGGCGGTGATTACGGTGCATCGGCGGTCCTCAACAACAAAAATCTTATGGCCAACATGTTAAAGAGTTGGTTCAACCAAAAAGACGATTCGGATTATAAACAAGCGACCAAATTTCATGAAAACAACGTAGTCCTGGTCAGAGGACGAGGTAGCCAGCCTTCGAATACAGTGTCTTCGTCGTCTAAAATCGTGACGGCCGCGGCCGTCAGCAGCAACAAGAGCCTGTTTGAGCGGTGGGACGAGGCGAGCGAGGAGCAGGAACGAGTGCTGGAAGACGCCATGCGGTCCGAACGACCCTTTTACGAAGGCGGGGGCGATTCTTCGTCGTCGCCATCATCTTCGTCATCGTCGTCCGTGTTGGCCGCCGACCAGAATACGCCCAGTCGATGGTTCGTGTTGCTGTTGTCCGGCAACTCGACCGTGGCGCAGATGCGGCGCACCGACTTCGCCAAGTACCTAAAGCTGAACCTTGCCGCCAGGCTGTCGTTGGAGTACGACGAAGTGAAAATCAACCGCGTGCTGGTCGTCCCACCCCGTCTCATGGTCAACGTCAGCGTGGTACCCGTATCCGAACGGGCTTCGACGGCCGCGGCCGCAGTAGCAGCAGCCGCCACCGCCGCCGCCGCCGCCGCCGCCGCGTCCTCTTCGTCATCGTCCTGGCCGTCATCGTTGTCGTCGGCTGCCGACCCGAGTATTTCCGACCGGGTGATCGAGGACGACGACCCTCTACACAATTTGGTCGAGACGAACGCAACGCTTATGGAACTGTCGGGAGAAGAATATCGGGTCAGTAAATTATAATAATATTGTTCTGTACGCTCGCGCACACTTTGGACAGTCGAAACCGGCCCCCTGCTCAGCGCGGTCCAGACAACAGTTAAATTTACAATCGAACCTAACTGAATTCGCAAAAAAAAAAAAATTGTGTTATTTTTAATCACAATTTTAAACGTGAATTTATTACCTGTACTTTTTACCGCGGATTCCGTTCACCTATACTTGAATACTTTCAAACAGTTTTACGCGCACGAAAAATTTCGATAACAGAATCGTAATAATAATAATATAATATAAAACAACCGGACTATTTCTGCGTAAAATACCGGAAAAAAATTTTCCCGTTTAGTTTTTTTTTTTTACTAATAACCAGTCAGGCATGTGCATAAAAAAAATTCAGGGAGGTATCATAAAAATGTACTATAATCGATATTTATAAAAAAAAATATTAAATTGATATCAATAAATTACACAACTATTAATTTTCGGGGGGTGGGTGGACCCCAACCTTCTCCCACTCCCTGTATACGTGCCTGACCGAAGTATCAGTATCTCATTATCCATATCCGGCTCGAAAAGTATAGTAATATTTACACCAGTAGGTAACGTATAATATGGGGGCAGTCGATAACCGATCCGTGGTACAGCGAATCTGATCAATACTTCTCGTTTAAGCGCGCTTCCCTCCCCCTCCCTCACGACATAGTCGTGGTTCGAGAATCGCACGCGACAATCAAAAATAATTAAAATCCAACGAAAATGATATTCTCTTCCGCCGCCACATTTCGACGATTTCAGCCGAGCCGATATATTTTTATATTTACCGAAACCCAATATAATTAAAATCACACATTAAATTCTTATATCCTGTATCTATGAACCTATTCTTGAGCTTAAATTTTAAAAATAAAACTGATACCACTGATTAATGTGCCATTGTTGTAAGTGGGAAGTTGGGGAAAGTAAGATACATAAAGTAATTCAATTGATATCTGTAAGCATAACCATATAATCTAGCGATAAACCATTGTTAACGAAAAACGAGTATACGCCATGATTTGAAAGGTCTTAGAGAATTTAATATTTAAGACTTCCATCAAAATTTGATTTTAAAATAATTTAAAAAAAAAAAACAAATTGAGTGTTATGTAGAAGTTTTTTTTACCACTATCTACAACTTGAAAAAACGAAAATTATGAAAATTGCACAATTTATACGATATTTGTGACAAAAAATTACATATTTAACATAATAGTGATAGTTTTACCAACTGATTTCCAGATTTTTAGACATCAAATGAATAGTTTTTCAGTTATCGCTAAAAAAAGGTCCTATGTTGAAAATTAAATGTTCATCGGTTTCGCCAGTACCACAATTTTGCGGACTAATTTTAAAATGTTGTAAATTTTCAACATTTTATCAATAGTTTTTTACCGATAGCTAAAAAATTAAGTTTTACAACATTTGGAAATCAATCCTCAAAATTATGGCACAGACGAGACCACGGTGCAATATGAATTTTAAATAGATTCTTAATAAATGTGTATAGGTTTTTTAGCTGGTGAAATGGTACTATATGTTACTAGATTTGCGTACTAATGAATAATATCACAAAGAAAACTTCAAAAAAAAGTTAATATGTTCCCAGATAATAATATAATGATGGTGGTTTACGGGTAAAAAACTTCACAGAGATGGTTCTTGATAAGCCCCGAGAATGAAGGAATGAAAATATTTTGCGTATACATACACAATACAGTTTTTTTCTTATTGATCTCTTCTTTTTCTTTTTTTTTTTCTCGGTTATCAATTCTATAAGGTTTGTGTTATAGCTTTTACCCATACTTTTACATTCATCCCTGTTACCAAACAATCTCTTTTTAGTCTATACGTAGAAGCACTATAGTATCTTAAAAGATTTTTGTCAGTTGTACTTGCTTTGAATTTGATTAACGTTCACTGAAATATTCAGCAATAAATCTCTTTTTATTTTTATTTCTGGTTTACCTTGGCTACAAGGGAAAAAACAGAACCGATAACATTTCGATCAGAATCGTTTTTTATTTTCAATGGTTTATCAATTTATCATAGCATATTATACTGTTGATATACAAACTAAATTACACTTAAAGAATATCCTACCTTAGCACCTGCAACAGTGGCTTAACCTTATCTGTAAATCACTTTTCTACAGAAATCTTGCTCCAATTTTGAGGTGTAGTACCTGTTTTTTCTGAAAGGAAATTTTATCTAGGTGATACTTTAAGCAGGTCGTTTTATGATTTTCGAAGCGGTTTCCATAATAATTGGGAAAACCCGGGAAAATACGTAGAAAAACGGGAAAATTTCCAATTTTGTTTTTTGTTGTGGTTCAATTATTTGCGAATATTTTGACACGCAAATTGAATACACATTTGGACATGAAACATATATTTGCCCTTTCTAAAAGTGGTAAAAACATTTGTTTCAAAGTTGAGCTATTTATGGACATTTTAATTCTGTGACTTTTGTACGTAATTTGTATTCGGTAGGTACTGCAATGTGGATATAATTGTTAGACAAAACAGAAATGCCTAAAAGATTAACAGGAGGTTCATTGTAAGTCGTACTTTGTAGTCGAAAAAGAAACTGAGCGGTATGTAGAATTTCTTTTTTTAATAAGAATTTTAATATCATATTTCGACGAAAATCGTAAGTATATCAAAACGTGTATAACCGAACTCCGTTCAGAATCGTTTTCCGCTGGCAATGATTAATCGTTGCGTACAGACGTACGTTAAATTCCCATCCATGTCCCATACCTTCCTAATCTCTCGCCGCCTACAACAGTGTCCGTCTATTTTTGTTTGTTTTAATATGCAGTAATATAAATCACTATGGATATTGAAGGGAAACATATCCCGGGGAATATGATGTTCTCCCTCCGTTTGACCATCCTCAGCGTTATTACCTATGTATTATAATATCGTTCGAAATTATCGGCCTGCGCTCCCGGCACTCCATATATTATTCTCCCGCCGCGATATCCTTTGTAAAATATGCATAATTTGTCTCCGGGGTTATTATCAATTTAAACGGAAATCAAAGGCCTTTGAATAATGCACGGCGTTCGCATAATATAATTCGTTTCGTGTATACGATATTATGGCGCGCACACCATGCGTAATTCGTATACATAATAAAACATAACAATATATGTATGTATGTATATTGTATATATACGAAATATATATACCGCCCGGTACATTAATATAATAACCGTGCGTACACGACGACGATTTAAAGAGACTAGAATTTGTCAAGCGCTGTTCGCCCGCCCCGCGGCGCACCCCTCCCCCCCACCCCACCCCCCGAACGACGACGAATTTATTAATGCTTTCGCGCCAGAGCCTGCAGAAATCAACCGACGCCGACCTACTTTACAAAACGGTCTATTTCTCCCCTTAATGCGGAAACGCATTATTTCGCCGTGTCACTTCCGCAGCTTTTGCCCGGGATCATACTTCACGTCACCGGCATTATACTATCATACATACATACATACGTACGTACATACATTTATATATACATACATATATATATATATATATATAAATACGCCGACACACGCGATGTCGCTGACAAAAACAAGAAAGCAAATTGATAGAAGAGTAGAAGACCCGAGTGCGCTGCTGCTGCTGCTAATGCTAATGCGTCTTTACGCGTCTGAAATCAAATATCAAGCGCGCAGGGCGGCGGGAATAACGCCGCGACAAAAACACCGCGATGACGGAATAATAAAATACTTTCTTTTTTTCGTCTTCTTTTCTGTTTTCGGAGGTAGTGGTCTTTCGTGTAACATTGTTGCGTGTATGATACAGGGTGATTTCCGTTCATCATACGGACCGGCCGTTTTCTCGGAGAATTTCAAGTAAATTCCGTTTTTTTTTTTTTTTTTTTTATTTTTGTTTCGATCGATTCGATCGTTACGCAATATTGAAATCGGGGACGCCACGCCCGAATCTACTGCCCCGTTCTAACTACGCGCACAGCACTGTCCGGGACAAATTTTCGGGGGGAGAGAGGAGGAGGGAGTTGAACCCCTAAAACGCATCGTTTAGTTTTGCAGTCAAACGATACACAATCAAAAGCTACCTGTACGAAAAGTTAGTTAACAAATTATCTTTTTTCGAAAAATAATTCATATTAAAAAAAAAAAAAAAAAACAACTTCAAACAAAACACTATAACAGCCAATGAATTGATAAATACTTTCAAAATATTAAATAAATAATATGGATGCAACAAATATAGTTAATGATTTATCACTGATTTTAAGAACACTAATACCCATTGTATATAAATGTATGATTTGGATAGCATAAATCGTACAGTTTAAGAAAATAATAATACTTTCAAATATAAAAATTAAGTTCCGTGACAAAATAATAAATGATTGTTATGTTTTAAATAAAGAAAGTAATAACTTGCGTCTTGCTTGTTAATAGTTTAGGTTTCTATAGAACGAATTTAAAATAGAAAAATTAACGATATAAATAATGTATACCAGGTGATCCATTTAAGTGGGTATACTCATTATTTCGGCAAATATTAACTTTTTCCGGAATTTGTTTTCTAGAACATTTAGGAAACAAGCTGCTCTACAATTTTATGTTTATGTTGCTTTTGTCGCCCTTATTTATGTGGCGGTACGGCGTGTTTTTATTTGAGCGGCGTGTTATGATGCACCACTGCTCTCTTCCAACCCAAATTTAAAAGTGGAATATCTCGTCAACGGATTGACGAGAATCAAAAATGTCACCACTAAAATGTATTTTAACCAAAACTCCATCTATTTGTGGAATTTTTAATATAGGTCGCTATTGAAAATCAAAAGTAGGTAGTGGTTATACCTCCAAAAATAAGGGCGAAAAAAGTAACATAAACATAAAATTGTAGAGCAGCTTGTTTCCTAAATGTTCTAAAAAACAAATTCCGGAAAATGTTAATATTTTCCGAAATAATGAGTGTACCCACTTAAATGGATCACCTGGTAATATTGATTACCTATTTAAAAAACAAAAATGTACTAATGTAGTATCTGCTTAAAAATTATTTAGTTTTAACATAAAATTATAGATAATAAACATTATTAATACAGATTATAACAGATGTTTATGAATTTCGTTTAATGTTTTTTTTTCTTTCGATCAATTAGAAGCTCCCAATTGTTCGGCCATTTTAAGCAGAAATCGTACACACAATTCACATTTAAGCTAAAGTTTTTACTCAAGTACACAAATTACAACAACATTAAACTGAAAATTATAATAATTAATAACTGACACAACAGTTAACACTCGGATAACTATTATCTACATATCTAACTACCTATTGAGTAGCCGGCGTATTCTATTCATTTAAAAGTAGATATTAGGTTTATTTGCTCTAAGTGTACACGATATGAAGATTAGGAGCAAATATTTGAAAATAATGTGAAAGAAAGCTTAAACAATAAATCCATAATAATAAACGAATCGCAGTAAAAACATCATCATAGAAACCCAATCCCGTTTACGTCTTCGGTTTCAAACGATGCGTACGTTGTCACGTTACTGTTGTTATTATTTTTCGTGCCATAAACCTAATAATAAACATACACACGATTATCGGATTTCAGTCGATTTCATTTGATTAAAAATAATAATAATATTTCTAAAAACGATAATGTCGCTAAGTTGTCGTCGTCGGTTGATATTAGATTGCCTGCGTGTTGGGTGTTTGGACCGCGTCTTCGACGAGAAATTTATTTGATCATAATGTGGGGGCGCGTATATCAGGATAATACATAAAATAAAAAAAAATAATACAGGTACGCGTGCACATAAAATCATTCAAACTACAAAATTAAAGTAATGTGTAATAAGAAAAAAAAATAAAATAAAATGGAGCGTAATTTACAGAGTTTTCCGATATTCCGATAAAATACGTTTACACGAACATAAGGTATATGTGGTACTTGTGTATCGTATACATGAGTATAACTTTCAAAGATCCGGGGCTAATATTTTAATATTCAACATTGCCTCTCCGTGTGAAAAACATTGTAGGTGCCTTTTTTGTAGTTGTAAAAACGCGCGTAGCGCATTCCCCGTAAATAAATATTGTGAATTTTGTTCGTGAAATATTATTGCGTCGTCGTCATCCGCATAGAAAATAATATCGTTTGAACTGTGCAGCATACCGTAAAAATTGTTACGGTCTTAATCATTATTGTTTTTTTGGGAAAAAAATGCGAGTACGACACCGGATATTAAAACGCACGTACCTATACAAGACAATATACTAGGTATATTTTTATCCACAATGTAAGTACCTATCCATTGGAAACTCGTCGATTTACATAAACACTATATTATTGTGTTTTACATTCAACACGATTGAAAAAAAAAAGGCTGATATTGCCGATGGGAGTGTACCACAGTTTAAAGAGGGAAGTTGGGACGGGGGACAGGTAATTTAATTTACACCCGTAGTCAACGATAAATCATTGCTGACGAAAAAAGATTCTGAAGAGAATATTTTTAGTCTTACATAGAAATTTCCCTTGCTACTCCGAAATCAACCAAAATTATACAGAGAAAACTACAAGGAAAATTAAAAAATTACCGGTTTTCGTAAAAGGACGAAATATTTGAATAAGTATGTTCTGTTTATGATAGTGACGTGAAATTAACTAAAGAAACCGATAGAAGCTTCGAATCCGGCATAAATGAGAAATGTTTTTCAGTTTTAAAAACCCGACAGGTAGATGAACAAATTAATATTCTAAATAATTAAAACATGCTTTTCTTAAAAAAAAAAAATATATCTTACTAAAAAGTAAAAGTCAATTTTTCGAAAATAAAAATATTGACAATATAAGATGGACAAAAAGCAAAGCATACCTAGCATGTGCGCTTTTAAATAAATTTACATTAAAAACACATGACATCTAGACATGTAAACTACAATGTTTGACATAAACAATCCAGAGCTCAGGAGGCCCTTGAACAATAATTCTGAAATTACTACGTAGATACTACTTCAGTTATCTTAAGCTAATTGAAAGTATTAATAAATTGAATAGTGAATGTTCCAAACCATAGTGGTAAATCTAATCGCGATCAGTTCTACTTCAATCCACTGTCTCAGTCCAACTACCGGGTAACATGCAATAATATACATGCATAAGTATCGAGCTATATACTTTGAATAATACAAAAACCCTATGACATTCCCACCAAATATCGTTCTCTATAAAGTCCGTAATGTGTATTATTACTTTAAAATCGGAATTAAGCTGGTTTTACTTATTCTGCGTAAGCATTGTTTTTGCGTGTCACCCGGTAGATGGACTGAGACAGTAGATGCGGATAAACCGGCCTCTTAATTCGTACACGAATTATCACGCACATACGTTTGGTCGTTTTTTCCGGAAATGTTATGCCGAAATTGACGGAGTTACGAAGTTTGTTTTATACGAGTTCACGTGCCATGCTTTTCTTTTAGTGTCCATAATAAATTGTCAACATTTTTATTTTCGAAAGATTATTTTTCACTTTTTAGTACTATTATTTTTTAAGAAAAGCGTGTTTTAAAAAAAAAAAAAAAAAAAAATGCGTGCTTAAATTTATTTTTAACTTTTCAATCGTAATCTAAACAAGTTGTCACGAAATATTTCTTATCTCATAACATTCGTTATCTTTGCCAGCCCTCTGATTATTCGCATTATTCTTAGCGTCGCTGTCAGTCCAATAGGTAATGCATGAAAAATATACCTAATAACGTGCTGAAACCCCCTATGGCCTTATCAACTCTGAAAACGGAAAATCTGATTGCTGATTATCATATTGTCATCGTAAATATGTGTGGCAATGTGCATGCGAAATTGCAAATTGATTGGACCACGAAAAGTGGATCGAAAATGAATTGCAAGATTCCGTGGAACGACTCGGGGGGGGGGGGGAGGAGCAAGTTAAAGAAAACCGTTTAAATATTGCCACGTTTTGAATTGTGCTTTTCGGAAATTTTGTTTTTCGAGTCGCCGCTGCGCACCCACCTTCCGAGCTATAAATATAAATACCCATATGTCATATTATTATTATTACCGAAATATTGTATTGCATTAAATATATTTACATGACTAATAATAATCCGTTTGTTTTCGGTACGCTCGCGGTACACCACACCAGGTGGAACGGTTTATGTCGTTGAAGTCGCAAAAACCGCAAACGATGGAAGAAGCGGCGGCCGTGGTGAGCAACCGTCACGCGGACATCGACTTTTTCATATACGCTACGGTGGGCCCGCTGTGCTTTATCGTCGTACTTGGATTTCTGTTGCGGACGTTGTACAAGTACGTGCGCAAGCACTCGGTCCAGTGGCCGTGGAAGCGCAAGTTCAGGCAGCCGTCCTTTTGGCCGGGCGGCCGCGTCGACCAACGTCACCACCGGATGACGGACGAATGTAGCGGCGACTGTGGTGACAGCCGCGGCGACTGCGGGGCATCACTGTCGCTGGCCGAAGAGATTGGCGGCTGCGGTTCGTCGGTGAACGTCATCTACTCGGGCGAGTTCGAACAGAGCCAACAGCAGCAGCTGTCCGGTTCGTGGTTAGACGACGCCAACTTCGTGCCCGACGACAGCTTAGACAGGATACGCACGCCGACGCTGTTGCGGACAGCGGCGCCGCAACCAACCACGGCAGCGGCAATCATGAACAACAACACCTTCACGGATATTTTAGGCGACGGGGGAGGTCATCATCATCATCATCATCATCGCCATCATCATCACCAACACTCGTCGCGCAACGGACAGTGTGCCGCCGTCGCCGCAGCAGCCGCCGCCGCCGCGGTGGCCACGACCGCTGTCCACGCGCAGAGTCCCCGCCTCAGCCGGGACAATAAGCTGCGCATATTGGGATGCAAACAATCGTGTTTGCTGTTGCCCGCCGTACAACCGATCGCCGCCGCCGCCGCCGCAGCCGCCGTCACATCCGCCGCCGACGATAACGAAGACGACAAAACGACACCGACATCCCAATCGTCGTCGACAGCGGTCGGTCAAACCGACTGCGACCAACTCTAAGCCCCCGTATTCCGTTGTACACGGTGTATACAGCGTATCTAGAAATGTACAGTTTGAAAACTTTTTATACTTTTGAATGTTTAAAAAGTGTTCGGACTTTCTAGACGCGACCGGTATACGAACACGCGTGTACACCCGTCACGTTAACACCATACGCAAAGATATCGATACAAACAAAAAAAAGGATTAGACAAATTTTTGATTCTTCGCATATAAATACGCACGCACACACACATGCACACACACACACAAACCACACTCATCACAAGGGCGCCCGTGTCGGAGAAAATCCAGAGGCTAGACAATTATCCGTTACCTATGCATAATTATTATATGTGCCTATAGTGTATATTTTTAAAAGTAAGTATACGGAAGTTGGCGGGGACTGTGGTATGTATCTCGTTTACCGTCCCACTCCAATATGGACACCAACACGCGCACGCACACGCACACACACACACTTTATCATCTGCAGTGGCGTATTTACCGGAGGAAGGGATCGAAGGATTTAAACTTCCTTGCCGCAGATCCCGAGCCGTCGGATAAACAAATTAAGAAATGGGTTCAAACCATAGATAATATATAATATCCATGGTTCATACGCATTTGAAATTCCATCATATACGTACCAATGAACAATCTCATATACGTTACCGCCAAACGCTCCCAATATAAACCAACCCAAACCACACTTACACACACACACACACACACACATCAACGATAGTTTTCTGATCGTAAGACAAGGATCGCCTGCGTTATTATGATTAGCTATTGCTTTTTGTTAATCGCGTACACAGGGGCACACTAAAATAGCGCAATATTATTATTGATATTGTTAAGTAACATACCCAGTTGACCATCAGGAGTATAAAAATCGCACAAACCCGTAATATTATTAATACTAGATAGGTATTTATCAATACGCACGTAGAATGGAGGTATAGGTAGGTGGGTAGGAGATCCAAGAACGCAGAAGACACTGCACGAACAATTTGAACAAAAACTGTACAATAGTAAATACTATTTACCTAACCTAACCTAACCTACCTATAGGTATTAGGAATTTACTACTAGTCCACCTAAACCTAGAAATTGTTTAGGATGCTGGAGTGTGGGAGGGTTTATAATTATGTCATTATGCAAGACGCAAGTATAATGCACGAATTCCCTTATTGATTCCTGAATAGGTACCGTATTTAATTCGTCCTGTTGTCGAAAAACTCCTTTCGGCATTTACAGTTAAAATAGATATTTAAAATCAATAATAATATAATAACTAACGGGTATATAGACTATTCGATTTTGCTCTTTGTAAACTAACATCGCAAGATATGTAGGTGTCCATCGAAAAATACCCGAAGCTGGGCAAATTAATACATTTTAGTTGGTACCTAACTGTGTCTAATATATGGGTATATTTATATTAACACTTAATATTATTTTCAATAAAATACCTACCTATAACTTGAGTTAAGTTATTAATGGAAAAAACTACCTAATGAACTAGGTATCTCATAAACCTAACTTATAAAATAAATTAGTACCTACTTACCAAGTTGCTTGCTATACCTACTATTAGTTACTTTTAGTGTTCATTAAAAAAAATTGACTTCAAAGTAATAAAGTAAGTAATTTTTGTAGCATATGTATCCTAAGTGTAAACTTAGCCCAGCTTTACTCTATCTGTAGTAAAATATTCATATAAAAAAAAAAATTTGAACGAAATAAAAAAGGCCAAGGAACTAAATACCTAGATATTAAAATATTTTATTACCTAGCTAATATAATGGGTAAATTATAACTATGTATAAAAATGTTTTCTGATTTGTATAAAACAAGTTTTTATTTGTCGGCGCATAACATTGTAACGAAATGAGTACCTAGGTACCTATATTATACTGCATAAAAAACATTAAGAATAACAATATTAAGATGTACCTGCCTACAACTGTTAAATGATGTTAAATACAGACCACGGTTAATTTGGCCATGACGTAGTTACCTATTTTAGGTAATAGACATGGCTATAAAGGGTGATACCCATAACATTGAATATACCTATACTTAATATTTACTTGACGAGAATTTAATTTGGGGGAGGGTTTAGCTAAATTTTGAGAGCTTAACCTCCAAAAGCTCCACCGCTTATTTGAAACAATACTTAAATAAGTACAACAAACATTCACGATAATAATTATTAACAAAATTTTATTAGATTTTATTTATTGTCTCATCATTCGTAGGTATACCTATAGTTGAAATATAAAACTACATGTACCTATATAGTAGGCGATAGCACATTACCAATATTATAGATTGTCATAATATTACAATTATACCCTACTATTGAATAATCAAATTTTTTTCTTTCTTTTTCGAATTTCTATTATTTGTGTAAAAACAATTTTTTCTTTTTTATTAACTGCCTATAATATACCTATTTACCTAATTCATATTTTAATTATTACACTTATATTGATGTAATTTTATCTATACCTATTGTAATAAAAATAATATTATATTATATTGATCGCTGCTAAATATAAGAAAATAATATTATTAGTCAATAATATTGTATGTTAAATAAAAACAATATGCATGTGTTAAAATATTTTTTTGTCTGTAGTTCAAAGTTTAAAAACTTCTAAACAACTTTTATCGGCTATGTCCAAAAAAAAAATGCGCATTTTCAAGGATATAAAAAAATATTTTAATTTTACAATTACCTACCTAAATTATAATATTGTATTGCTATAGATCAGTAGATGATTTCTGTCATACAATAATGTAAATGTCTTCCTTTTTTTCTTTTTGTTATATTAATAAGATGGTCTGTATGACTTCATAATTTATATTCGTATATAGTTTAAATAGTATACTACTGTTTTCCTGAACTATGTGTTATATTTGTAGTTTACATAATATTGTTAATTATTAAAATTATGTAGAAATAATATAAATCCAGTTGATGGAAACAAATATTGCCTAAAGTTTTCATTAATTGAATGGTTTTTTTTTTTTTAAATTATATACCTATTAGTATAAATACTATTAATATGTTTCAATTTATACATTTTATGTATACCTTATTCAAATATTATATAATATAGTGGTTTTTATTTTCCGCAGGAAGTTATTATAATTTGATAAATGTAATAAAATTATTATAAATATTAATAAAAACAAAATTGGACTTATTATATTATATTAATTAACTAAACTTGTGTTAACTTACTTATGTTGTGTAATGAATTGAACTCAGTGTAAGTAGGAATTAATTTAGATATTTTAATGTTTTGAAATAAGAATTTGTCAGCTGCATACATTATTCTAACTAATAAGTTCTAACTAACTTATTCTGTTTTGTATTTTTATTCACAGAAATCAATAATAAAAAAATACAGTATTATTAACATTTATGATTCTCGCTCATAGAATATTGTAAATAAATCACTAACTTGCAATAACTGCCTGATTGGTACTTAATTGTTATGATTAAGGTTCGGATGTTTATGCACTTAAAATAATTGTAACATGTATGTGCAAAAAAATTGCCAAATATGCAATCAAAACATTCACTAAAAAATATAAAATATAAATTTTTGATTAATAAAAACACCAAAATATGTAAAAAATTTATTTTACCTTAAATATTTAATTTTTATTAGTAACTTTTTAGTGGTTATTTTTATTTATTAATTTTTTAATATTACATAATCATTTATAATAAAAGCATTAGAGTGTGATACAATAGTGTTTTTAGTTTGTTCAAATTGTATGCTTTATATTTCTCTATTAATTGAAATTATTTTTAAAAAAATTTGAAATTGTATTTAAATATGCATTTATATTATTAAAATTTCGAAATATGAATTAAAATATAAAACCATAAAATATGCAAAATAAAAATAGTATTATTGATTCAGTAGAACATGAATTAAATTTGTATTCAGATTATCCAGGTATTGAATTGGATAAATTTCCTAACCATCCGAACCCTAGTTATGATACTATTTTAACGCTCTTTAAAAATCAGTTTTCAAAAATGTGTGCAACTAAAAGTATATTAAAAAAAAAATATACCCAATGAAAATAAATACTGACTAATTTAAAGTATAAACACACATATATAGGTACATATAAAGTAATAACTGACTTAAAATGCAGCAAAAAAGAATTTATAAATATAATATAATTTATACTAAAAAAAGAAAAAAATAATTTAGTTTTATTGTAAATCAAACTAAAAGAAAATAATCCTTTTGGAGTGTAGGATAAAATAAATTAAATAAAGAAAAGTTTTTGAGTCACTTTTGAGAACCTTTACATTTTTTTATGGGACTCATATAATATTTAACAAATTATTAAATTTCAGGATAAGGACATCAGATATTCTTCTGATCTTCTTGGCCCTAAACCCTTCTAAGTTTTACAGGAGTCGTGTATACCAATAAAAAACACAAATACCATTTAGATTAAAGGATTTTATTTTAAACCCATATAAAAAATGTTTAGAAGTTTAAGTAATAATATTTAAACATCCAAATTACTTTAAATTACATTATACAAAATATTTTTAAAAAAAAACTTATCATATTACAAAAGTATAATATCTATTGTTATTATACATACTTTTTTAAACTAAATATTTATGTTAATATTTTTAGTGTAATAATTTCATATCTTTTTCATACACAACTGAAACGCCACTAAAAAAAAATTACATGTAGATAAATAATTGTATCTTAAATTTATAAATATTTAAAATTTATATAAATAATCTACTTACTTGTTGTTTCTTTGAACTTCATAATATGTATCAACCATGTCTCTAGCAGACAATTTACTTAAGAAACTAGGATCATGAGTAATGATGATTAACTGGAAAGATTTTTGAGAACTCCGCCGTGTTATAATTCTTAAAAAAAAAAATACAAATAACATAAATATACAAATTAATACCTGAATATATATATCTAACATACTCAGATAAAGATTCAGCTAAACTTTGTATATTAGCTTCATCTAAATTTGTTGTAGGTTCATCTAATGCAAGTATACCACAATTTTTACTGAATGTTTCTGCTAACGCCATTCTTACAATTAAACATGCCAATACCTTAAAATGTTCAAAACTTATTTAGATAAAACAATATTTAAAAATTATAATATTATTTATTAGTTATTTACTATTACCTTTTGCCCTGCACTGCATCTACCTCTCATGTCTAATTCAACATCATTTTTAATTTGTACGATTCTGTAGTTGAATACTCTTCTTTTGCCTAGTCAGTGACAATAATAATACATTTTTAAAACACTAGTTAATCTATTAGTTTGTGTATTATTCAAAATGTTTAATTACTTGAATCTGTTGAAATGGGTTTATTATCATCTGATGTTTTTATTTGAATATAATCAATGTCATTGCCAGTATAAATGTCTCTCCATAAATTTTTTATAATAGTATTTATACTTTGCATGTGATCTGAATGAAATCGATTCAATGCCCATTCAAGAGCTTTAATATACTTATTTAAATCATTATCGACACAATGTAAAACCTCTAACTGTACTTTTTGATCCAAGTAATTTTTTTCAGCATTTCTATAATGACTAACTGCAAGTTCTTTTTTTGTAATCTCTATCACATTTTCCAATTCTAGTTTTCTACCTAAAGCTTTATTTTTCTTAAAAAAAGAAAAAACTTTAATTTTTAAAGTCATTAGAACAAAGAATAAAAATAAAAAAATTACTTCTTGAACTAAATGCTCCGATTTTTCTCTATTATCTTTTTTTTCGCGAATCAAACTGTTTACATCCAGATTTCCAACTTTATCTTTAAGTTCATGAATTTCAGACAAACATTCAATTTCAGCTGTTGATTTCTGTCTTAGCTTTTTGTTATTTTCCAAGTCTATTTTTTGTATCTATTTTTGTATTTGTAAAAATATATATATATTACAAAGATGTATAATTAAAAAGAGCCAATACTTTTTTTTTAACTACTAATTACGGCTAATAATGAATTCCTATTTAATTTTTAAAAATGTGTGTTAAGTCTAAACATTTATCTACAGAGGTGCCTACCAAATAAAGATTGTGTAAAATCTTGCAAAATTAAAAGTTATACTACATCTAGGAAAAGTAACTAAAAGTTTTTTGTTGAAATTTTAAGTCTACAAATATTTTAAACTGAATTACATTAAAAAGTTAAAATAATTAAAGAATTATTTTTGTATAAATGTTCCAGTTTTCTTTCTGCATATTTTTCAGTTTTACTCAATTATTAAAAAAAACTACAAAGAAAATTTAAACTTGAAAATTTGATTAAAAATGCAACAAAAAAGGGCTCTTGTAATTTATCTATTGGAGTAATATTTTTGGTAGAAAACATAAGTCGTACAAATTTAAATAATGAAATCGTTGTGCCATAATTTGGAAAAAATCATATATTTTAACTTTATTGATTTTTCCCAATTATTATGAAAAATACTTTAGATATAAAAAAAACACTTTCTCTGTTAGTGGCTATGTGATAAAACAGAACAAAATGAATCTCTTGTCATTTTTGGATTTTAACAACATTTTTGATAAAAAACCTTATATAAACATAATAAAAGTAATGAAAACAGTAACGCCACGGCGCGCCGTAAATATTTGCCATTTTACCAATAATTTTCTTTCAGGTTTTTTTTTAAATGCTTCAATAACCCTTTGAAAAATCAAAAAATGACTTGACAATGACCCAATACACCAGCTAGAGAAAATTAACTTTAGGAAAAGGTGCTTAAGTCTATACTTTAGAACAAGTTTTCTAATAGAAAAGTTTTTCACCAACACAAAAAAAATACATCAATAAACATACATCATAAATACACTAATAGATTCCTCCTTACATTCCAAATCTAAATTAAAGTTCAATTAATCTATTTATTAGATTAATTGTAAAAAAAAATATATATATTGTTTAATACTATAAAAATTATGCATTTATATCAGTAACTATAGTCCACACATTAGGTAAAGTAAACATAAAAACTTTCTAAGGTTAAATCTGAAAAATAAAGAAGTAAATTCTACACATTCTAACTTACCTCTTGATTGGCATTATATTCATTTATAGAATCAATTTCTCTTTGAATGTTAATCTGAGTTTCGGCAATTTTAATTTTTTGCTTTTTTAAATCTTCCAATGAATTATTTATTTCATTGATACGTAATGACCATCCTTTTTTTTTATAATCATCAATAGAAGTCTGCAAGTTATTTATTTCTAAAAATTTTTTTTCTAGTAACATAATCTGAAATTAATTTGCAAATTATTACAATTAAATATTGATAAATTTATGACAAGAACAAGAATTAAGATGGTACTTCTTTTAAATTATTTGTGATTTTTTCATTTTGAAATTTTTTGGTTTCCTCCAATTTTTTAATATGTTCTTCCAATTTTTTTTGGATTGGTTCTACTGTATTTTTAGCTTCATCTAATTCTACGCGCAACACTGTTTCAATAATATTTAGTTCATTCAACTTGTCAAGTGCACTTTTTTCATCTTGGATTTTACACTTTATAGTTAATTCCTCATTTATGATTTTATTTCTTTTTACTTGTAATTTAAATGATGTTTCATTGTATTCAGTTATCTCATGCTGTTTTTTTTCCAATACATTACAGATATCATTTAAAATACTTCTTAATGAATTTTGTTCATTGATTGCTTCTTGAAGATTTCTAGTAGAACCAGATTCAACAATTGTTTTTATTAAACGCTGTTCATCTTTTGTGTATCGGCTAATATCATTATAATAACTATCAATCATTATTACATCAGATTGGATATTCTTGGCATTTGTTTCATTAGTTTCTAACTTTCCATTACTATCTAATAATTTTGTAAGTTCATCACGACACTTTTTTAAGTTATTACCAATAGTCTCTAATTCAGCTCTTAAAAAAAAATAAAAAAATGTCATTTAAAATAAAAGAATTAGAAAAATTACACTATTTTTACTTGAGTTTAGGTATTTCTGAATTATTCAAAATTGATATTCTAGTGTAAGTATGTTTTAATTGGTGAAGTTTTGATTGTTTTTCTAAATATATTTCTAATTGAGTTATTGTGGTGTCCAATTCAATTGGAATTTTTTGTACTCTTATATTCAACTATAATAAATAATAATATTATTATAATAATACTATTAATAAATAAAAACAACAGAGGTTTCATTTGGACTATATAAATTAATCTTACGTCATTAATAAGTTCTGTCACTTCATCAATTGAAGTAAACCCTCTATGACATAATGGACAACTAGGATCTTGAGCTTCTAGATTTTTTATGTATCGCTTAAAAAGATGACCAGAAGTTGACACGGAACCTTTTTGATCCTATACAAAATAATTGTTATATATATATATATATATATATTAATTGCAGTAAATATTAATTATAACATAAAATTGACAAATATTAGTAAAACTTGAAATATCATACTAATGGTTTCTACTTAATTAATTCTTATAATAGTACAAACTATAGAAAAATTTTAGTTTTATTTTTAATTTATAGATTCAAATATAAAGTTTAGCACCTAAATATAATTAAGTTTGATTTTTATAAAAGTTGTTATTATAATTTACTAGTAGAATACGTGCACAATAATTTGAAAGACTTTAATTTTTTAAGCAATTACACAATTAAATTTGAATTCCTTTTAATGAAACTTATTTGTATACTTATAGTTTTATATTAATTACATTTAAGATTACAACTTTTTATAAATAGCACCTGTATACATTTTAACCTCAATGATTTGTTTTTTCATTATGATATTAGTTTCTTCTGGGTTAAAAATAGGCCGCATAATAACAATTTTGACTATTTATTATTTGTCAAAGTAATTTATGATATTGTTGCTATTACTTGGTAATTTTCAAATTTATTTAGATTTCTCAAAAAAAGTTAAAAAATTCAATTATATATGTTTTACAACAGCCTTTGACATTTTATTGAACTACTTACTTGTAATTCTTCTACTTTTTCGTTGACTTCTTTTAGTAATGTTTCATACTCTTGACCTTGGCACATATCACTCAGGGCATTTTCATCATCAGATAAATCTTTTTGTTTTACACGTAATTTTTCTTTGGTGTGATTAAAATTTGCTTCTAGTATAGTATATTGTTTTTGCTTATCCTCAATACTATTTCGATTAGTCCTGATTTCATTAGACTAAAATATAAATTTTATTTTTTGATTTATAAAAGTATAAATAATATTATATTTAAAAATACACACCAATTTATCCAAAAAAGTTGTAAACTCATATTTTAGTTTTTCTTGTGGTATAAATCCAAGTAAATCATTTAATACATTATTCACTTTGTTTTTACTTAAAACAAAAAAAAAATAAAATTATTCAAATTAATATTTAAATTTGAGTAAATAAATACTATTATTCTTACAGTATTTTAAGTTTATTTTCAACTCCAGATTTATTTGTTTTGATAGTATCAAGTTCTGCTTGTTCAACACTTAACAATTGTAGTTTTTGTACTTCTTTTTCTACAACTTCCAATTTAAGGTTTATACTATAAACAGGTAAGAGTGATAAATAAACTTTATAGATAATTCCACTTGAATAACTGTCAACATTTTAAAAAAACTACTATATTTACTCAATTTTTTCTTGTTTTTTTTTATTTATTTCAGTTTTAATTTCATCAAAATTAATTGATTCATTCAATGTTTTTGATTTAGTGTTATTATCATCTTTAAGTTTTTTTAGAATTTCCAACCTTTGTGCTGATTGTTTTATCTTAAAATAATACATAATTTATTAAGAACATAGTATTCAAAACTTATAAAATGATTTGAATTACTTGTTCAACTACTTCTTTCAGTTTTTTAATTTCAAAAGTATTATCTACAATTTGTTTTTCTTTGATTTTAATATCTTGATCCAACTTGGCTTTTTCTACTCTTGTTGTATCAATATGGATTTGCATTTGATCCTCAATTTGTTTATGTTCTTTTTTTGTAGATTCTAATTTATTATTCTTAGAATTTATTTCATTTGATAAATCAGTTATTACCTCTCTACGATTGTGTTCAAATAAATCTGGCACTGAAGAAACAAACATTAATATAAATAAACCATTTTAAATTAATATTATATTATTAAATACTCACAATTAATATCCATAAGACGTGACAATTCCGTTATTCTTGAATTTTGTTTTTGTATATTATTTTGATTTTGTTTTTCCTCATTTTGATACCGGCCTAAATTTACTTGTTCTTTGCTAATATTTTCCTGAATTTCCATTTCTTTACTAACTTCAATGCTTTTCTCTTGACTTAATCGGTTTTTTTCTTGTTCTTTTTGTCTTTAAACAATAATTATATTACAATTTAAATAAATTAATAGAAAATAATTGCTTTATATGAACATGTTTTGATTTTCATATGCAACACAGTAAATCAATGTAAAAATAATTAATTTCAGATTAATAATATTAGATAATATAGATTTATTTAAGTCAGCCAATACAGTTATAAAGTAAATATTTTGTTCAATTAAATGGATTATTTTTTAGTTTTCATTTATAATATTAATAATTAATTTCTAAATTATTTGATTATGTTTTTAAAAATTTACAATTATTCATAAATATTTTAAATAGCCAGTTTAAAACTTGAAATATCAGTTGAAACCTATAAATAGTCTGTGGTTTGTTTTGGAATTCTAATATTATATGTACCAAAAACAAAAATAACTAACAAGAAAATATTCTTTTTCAATATTATTAATATTATAAATTGGTCAATAATAATTAATATCAATTTAAATATTTAGCGCTATACAAGAAAGCTGTAGTGCTAATCAAATATTATATGGAAGTTAATAAATTTGATATGTTATAAGAAAAAACAAAAAAGTATCTATGTGATATAGATGTACAATAAATATGGGGTAAAGAATGGTCACAAAAGAGACGTAATTAAGGGTAATTTAATACAAAAATAGTTAGTGTATGAAACAGATTATTGTAGTGATGGTTGCGGACAAAAGTGACTGAACACTAATAGTAGAGAGGAAAGGTAACAAGAAAGAACAGATTTACAAGAAACTTACAATAAATTATTATTAAAATTCTTTAGTGCTTCTTCAAGTTCTGAGTCATTTCCAATAAACTCTAGTTTAATTACTGATTTCAATTCTTTTTGAGCTAATCTAATAGATTTTAGATTTCCTTCTGAAGTTAATAGTTTGTCTCTTAAAGAAGACAAATTTTCTTCAATAAACAGTATTGCATTGTAACGCTCTTCTAATGGCTTCAATTTATTTTCAACTTCATTCATTTTTTCTTTTAGTTCATCCAATTTAAAGATTCTATCATCTAATGTAGCTCTTTTGGTGCGTGCTTCTTCACGATAAGTTTTACAATAAGTTAAATTATTGTTTGCCATCTTTTTGTCTAAAAATATATATATTAAATATTTATTTTAAATAAACATTGTTCAATTAATAAAAATTAATACATTTTAAAATTATTTTAGAACTAATAAAGTTTATATTAAAAACAAATTATTATTTTTGTCAAAACTAATATAATTGTTTAGGTTATTCTGTTACTCTTTATTATAAATTATGTAAAATATTAGTGCTTTATAGTTTACATACAATTTTAAATTTTAAATGGTCTTTTTTTTTATGTTAAATTGAAAAGATTTTAAAGAAAAGAAACCATAAAATATACTTAATAAATGCCACCGATGAAAATAATAATACTTATATTGATTCAAAATATTTAAATTTGCCTGGAAATTGTTTATAAATTAAATAGTAATATATAATATATTATTATCAAATATTTAAGTAATAAAATACATTTTAGAGAGGTTTTAATTTATTTTTCAGTTTAAAAATGATATATACCACACCTGTATTTAATGTTTCAGTAGATAAAAACATAGTATAATTATTTTACTTAGAATTTAAATTAAGGTGTTGAAATTTTAATTTAAAAATATTAAAAAAAATATTTTCTTTTTCAATTCAAATGCTTAATGTAATTTTAGCATATTGCTTGTTAGTTGAACTTGGACAAAAGAAGACTAATCTATTGGTATTTCTTACCATCACGAATCCTTTTTATCTCTTTACGTATTTGATCAATACATTTGTCATATTTTCCAACATCAAAAATAGAATCAAATTTTTCTTTTACTTTTTTATCTTCATCTAAAGGCCTGTAAAAAACGATTAAAAATTAAATTCTGTTTTACTTAATTATACTTTTAAATATAACCAGCCAGAATCTTCTTGGTGACAAAAAACCACATCTTTCAAAATTGCTTTTGAAACTCCTAAATAAGTACTCATGACATCATCAACATCAGCACATTTGTGTGAAGCACTTTCACCCTATATTAGATTTATATATTAAAATGGATAATTAATAATGAAATTAATTATTTAATCTTGGATAAACTAACTTTTCTAGAAACTGTTTGATCGATTGACTTGGTAGTAACTGTTTTTAATTTCTGAGTAGATTCTAAAGTCTTTGAAACCACCACATGAATATCACGAGTATCACGAAATGTTAGTTTCACGTTGCCTTTCACCTAAGATATTAAATAAATTTAAGTTACTAGAATAACTATGAATACACCTAGGTATTACAGTTGAATGATCTGATAGTTTAGGATCCCAAACAAAACCTCCATTTTTTGTATTCTTTGGTTGATCTGAACATGTGATATATTTAAGACACTCGATTATTGTTGTTTTTCCACAACCATTTTGACCCAAGATTAATGTAAGTGGTTTTTTAAATTTTACTATCTGTTTTTCTTGTGGATGATAACTCCTAATACCTTGAATTGATATTTCTTCCAATGTGGACATGTTCTAAACATTAATAGAGATTAATAAATTTTATAATAATATAAAATTAAACATAAAATTTAATGTTATTATTATTAATTATTACATTTATATTTATTATTAATAACAATATTTGTAAGCCTTACTTTAATTATTAATTATTTAAGATTAGGTACAAGATTATTAGCATGTTTCAGTAGGAAACAGATAAGACGAAATTTAACATTTTCAAAATAATCAATGATATGAAATCAATTTTTTCTCCAGTTCAAAATATTAAAAATGTGTATACTATTACCATAAGGCCAAAAATTACCAAATGATTAAAACTTAAATTTTATTTTTACCTGAATTGATTTAACCGAGAATTAAGTTTAAAGTAAGTACATTATTTGCACTTATATAAAGTATAAATTAAATAAAGCATTTAAAACATGGTTATAGAACTTTAAAGATGATATGGGGTATTGTCCCTAAGGTGTGTACATTTTACAAACAAAGTAAACAACCTATAATATATATAATATATTCAGTTATATTCGGTGTCCCACAAGGAGACCACCTCACCCTGTAATTATTCAATTTATTCATTAATGATATTATTTTTTCAATTAAACATTATAATATTCTTCTATTCGCTCGAATATAACTACTTCAACATGATTTAACTAGCTTTCAAAATTGGTGCATCTGAAATCATATGTCCCTTAATATTAATAAATGTCAATACATTACTTTTTCTAAAAAAAAAATAATTTTATTTCCAATGACTATAAGTTCTTTAACCAAAATGTATTTTGTTCTATCAAAGTTAATGATTTTGGAGTAATCTCTGACTAAAAACATTAATTTAATCTCCAGATATTAGCAATAAAAAAAAAGCTTTCATTAATTGGCATGGTTAAATGAAATTGCTCCAACTTTAACGATCCATTTACATTAAAATGTCTTTACACTTCAATCATTCACCCTATATTGAAATATGCTCCAATCATATGGGAATCATATAACATCAGCTATAGTGAAGAAATAGAGAAAATTCAAAATAATATGCTTCGTTTTATCTGTTTTAAAAGCAATTTATATAGATCTCTTTACTTTGGATATGATGCCATTCTTAATTTTTTAAATTTAATACCATTAAAAGATCGAAAAACTAAACTTTATATACTTTCTTATTCAAACTACTTAATAATAAAATAGGCAAAAAGTTTCTTATAAACTATATTACTCTAAAAGTAAATAAACATAACATTTGTAATAGAGAATTATTTTATATAAAACATTGTTTTCAGAACTATATGTCGTGTACACCTGTAAATATTGTGTTACCTACAGGGAATTCTGTAAATCATTTAGATTTCTTTTACTCTATTAATCAAACTTAATAGCACTTATTATTATATACTTATTTGTATTTTACCTTTCATTTTTTATTATTGTAACATATTTTAGCATCTATGATATGTAATTATATATTGTATTTATAATCTACACTATTATATAATTATATGTTTCGATGTAAATTGAACTGATGTTGGTTAATAAATATATAAGGCCTCAAGACCACAAGAATAAGAATAGTTCCTATTTAGTAGTAAGATGTTTTTTTTAAACAAACATATATGAACAGAATTGCAATCATTAATTAACATTATACAATGAAATGTAGATAACTCAAATTGGTTAAGTATAAAAAAAAATTTGAGTTTATCAAAAATTTTAATATTAGTTAATATTTTATTAGATAATACACAGACTTTGACTTTTACTTTTGGTTTTGTTTTATTTACTTACACTATCATAAATATGTATACACATTACATATACGCATTGAAATTTTTAAGTGTTTTTCCATTTTGATATCACAAAACTACAAGGTAAACTGAATAATGACTGTTTCAACAATATTGTTATTAAATATTAATTATAATTCGACCAAAATAAAAATTTACTAATAGTGTACAAGTAAACAAACATTAATTAAATATCGGTCAAACTATTTAATTCATATAATGTGCCTTTAAAGCATTAAATTAAGACTAGATTGGTAATAAGTTAATTAAAATTGTTATATTTATATACATACAGATTGTTATAAATAACCATTAAATGTATTTCAGTAATTTTCAGTAATATACTAATATATAAAGAATAATTCAAGTTATAAGCCAAAAGTCAACTCAAATAAATTTGACTTATTGAGAAATTTGAATTATCAAGAAAATGTGGGATACAAGATCTATATTAAGATGCAAGGAATAAGGAATTCATTCGAGTTATCAAGGTTCCACAATACAAATGTGTCATGATTTAACTACCTACCAAGAACAAGTTTTAAAAATTATGAGATAAATAATACATAATATTTAGACTTACGTATAGTTTTATTAAAGAATGATTGACTAATTTCAGTTGAATATTACTAACTTATGACTCGTTTGTACCCTGTATCCCTGTTACACCTTACAAATAAAATTTTTAATTTACCAAAAAATATCCAAATAATCTTAATCAACAGTCATACTGGTTACTGCAACATAACAATGGTGGTGTTATCATGGTCGAGAAATTTGGACGCAGTACCACACTAGTAACTATAACACAGAATGCAGGTTAAAATAATAATACTTTACTAAAATCAAGATTTACAACGAAAATATTAGTAAATACCCGGGAATAAAAAAATACCGGCTAGAATGATTGTGTATGTTATCATGATTAAAATACTGTGATAATAATATGCATTTTGTAGTGGTGCCAGTTGTAGAGAGCAGGTTTTATGAGTCGAATTGGCCGCAAAATATATGCTTGATAAAGTTAATATTACTTGTTTAAAAAAAAAAAACAAAAATCAACTTCAAGAGTATACCTACATATTGTACAAACTTAAAACTAAAAAGGGAAAAAAATATATTAATTATTTTAAAGCAAAGAACATTAAAGGGAAATCAACATTATTGATACTAATATACCTTTTTACAGTTTATAATTAGTTATTTTTAAAGTCATTGCCAGCCAAACAGACAGTTTAATCCAACACAATATTATATTTTCTACCCGAAATTTTGATCTAATTTTCAAGTGTAGCGCCCTTTCTGGAAGAAAATTATTGTAAAGTAGTAATTTTTTAAATTTTTCAGGGGTTTTCATATTAAATATGAAAAACTGAGGAAAAAAACGGTAAAATTAAAATTTATTATACTCAAATCATAAATATTACGACTTCAAATATGTAATCAGATTACACTCAGAATCGTTTTTTGTTAGGAATGACATTGTTGCATACAAATATACATGCAATTTCCACTCTACTTTCCTAAATCCACACCTACAATAATGGCCCATATATTGTGCGAAGTACGTTTGTTTGTTTTTTTTTTCAAACACATTTTGTATTTTGAAATATTCTCAAAATATTTTCCTCCTATGACTTGCTAAGTTAGTATTACTTTGTTTTTAATGTTCTCTTTTTTAAAAGAGAAAAAACTCCTTTGGAAAAAAATTAAAAAGTATAAAGTAGATGCATGTTAAATTCAAAAGAATGATAAAATATTCATATACTTGAAAAGATAAATTTTTTATGTTTTTACTTGTAATATTATCAAGCAGTATAATACAATTTTAAATTTACAAAGAAAAAACCATTAAATAAAATAAAATAACATAACAAATTCTTCAATATGAAAATAAATAATAATCTTTTTATATGACTTAATTTTTAACTATTTTTCAATTTCCGTAAGTTTCATTTGTAGGTGTGGTGATTGGAACAGGAGAGTTTGGCTTAGGCATATCATTTTTTCGCATTAATGTAGACTTCATTTTGTCCTGGAAACATATAATATTCAATAAATTTAAGTATTCGTCTTTAAACTACAAGTTTACCTGAGCTGGCCTAAGTTCAACAGGTATTTTAAATAATTTTTTAACAGAAACATTTGAACTAGTATTTGTAGTAACTTGATTTTTTTTACTTTCATTTTCCATATAACTTTCTTTTTCAGGACTCAAAACCTAAACAAATTATATTTGCTTTGTATAAATTATGTTTTAAATTATTGCTGCACTCAATATTTTCCTATTGATAAATAAAACATAATTTTTTTAAACAATAGTAAATAATTGTTGCCTTGTTCAATTAAACAACATATTTTAACGTATATTTATATAAAATAATATTCTATTTAAATCTTTAACTTTATTGAGAAATACTATTTTAATGTTATACATCTATTTCATTTAAATTGTATCAATTAAAATATGTACCTAAATAAAAATATATTTCATTACATAATATTAAATTTATTTCAAATTATAACTTAACTAATATCATGAAATAAAAACTAAATTACAACATACAATAATTTCCATAAGTGTAAAAAAGTCAATAGTCTCCCCAAACTTGTTCTGTTTTTTTTTTCATTAATTGAATTGAATATTTCTAAAAACATATTATAAATTAATAAATAATAATACTGAGGTGTTTAAATGTGTGAAATATGCATAATGTATTTTGAATTTATAATAAATAGTTAGATTGTACCTAACCATTATAGACTAGATGAAAAAAGTATATTTGTAAATATTTTTAGTAAGTTTTATTGTATTGTAAATAGGCAAAAGTGTAATATTTGAAATGAGTGTGGGGGTAAAAATTATTTGAAAGTGTATAATTTTGTAAACATCTCAGTTCTTTCTTTTTTCTCAGTTGAAGTCAGGTTTTTGGTTCCTTTAAATCCCAAATACTATTTATGTCAACGACAATTTCTAACATTAAATTAAATTAATACATTCCATTAAAAAAAAACAAGTTGTTTTAAATAAATCTAAAACAAATAAATATATATATATATTTAGAAAAATATATACATATAGAAAAAGAACAAAACAGTCTTGAGTATTATTATGCTTGTGTGTTACAATTTAAACAATCATCAGGTAATAAAACAGCAAAGACAAAAAATAATACAAAAATAAAAATATATAGAAAAAATTATTAATTTTTTTACACCTCCCAGTTGTAATTAAATTTACACACAACTTTTTTAATACTTATATTCGATTTTTTTGTTTTTATTAAATAATGTAGTTAATATAAGAAATTACTTGATATAATGTATGTTTCGATATAACTTACTTGACAGAAACCCATGTCATTAGATGTTTTATGTTTTTTCAAACTAGTATTATCAATATAAAGAGAATTTCTTTTACTCGAACAATTTAAAGAACTTTGATTTGTATTGTAGGAAACAGACAATACATGCTTATTTGATATATCTTCACCAACAAATTCGGTATTACTTACATCATCCTTAATTTTCAAATAATTCATTAATAATCAAATTAATTTTAATTTTTGTAATAACACAGAATAACATACCTCCTCAATGGTTTCTGTTAAATGGTGTTCAGAGGATTTTTTTTGCTCAAATAATAAACATTTCTGACGTAGTCTCAAGACTTCTGAGTACAATGGCATGACCTTTGATTTATATTTAATCTAAAATAAAATAATTATTATATTGTACAAAAATTATCTGTAAATTATCTGTATATTTCAAATTCTGAGCAAACTGAAGAATAGTATTCATTTTAATTAAGGTGTGCTTTTCCATGAATAACCATGTGATCAGAAATCTTACTTCAACATCTGGGGTGGTTTCTCATAGCAAATTTGATTTAGTTGTAGATTAGAGAGGTCACTGATTTTATAATTTTAATTCAATGTAAAATAGTTGTAGGATTGAAATTTTCAAAATATATTGGCCGTTTTTGAATTAACTGTTTATTTAGTCTTAAACACACCTACCTACAATTTTAGACTTCTTAATTTTTTTTAAATGTTTAAACATTTGTCAGTGAAAAAAAGTTGAGTGTAATGTTTTTTTTTTTTTTTTATGAACACCAAGAAATAACACCATAAAAATTTTACTTCTTCTCCTTCACACATTTTTTACATTTTGTATTTCAAACTTCATATATTTCCTCTATCAAACTAATATACAATCATAGAACTCCTTTTCTTATTAACATCCACATCAGAACCTCTATTCACATTCTGTCCTAAGTCTACATCTATAAGGCTATACATTAATTTGTCTAGTTCTCTCTGTATTTTTCTACTATCAGTTTTACACAAACACCAGCTCAATCATCAATTTTCCTGGCATAAAACCAAACTGGTTCTTAAATATTTATTTCTCACTTCTAATTTTCTTTTCTGTGATTTTTTTCTACATCTTCATACTATACTATGACTCATCAATTGTATTCCTTTATAATGTCCACAATCACATTTGTACATCTCCCTTCACTTTAAAGATAGGTATTAGAAAATTCTTCTATCACTCGTTTGGCATTTTCCCTTTTAGTAACAACTTATTGAAAATTTCTTTTAAATAAGCCTATGCCTAGCTTCCCTGATATTTTCCACACTTCCATTAATACACTATCTAGACCTACCAATTTGTATTTTTCATTCCCCTCACAGCCCACCACACTTTCGAAATACTAAAACACTTCTACCCTCTCTCTTGCATATTGTTTATTCAGTAATTTCTCAAAATACTTTTCCATCTCTTTTATATCCTCAACATTCGTTATTACGCTTTTATCATTACTATTTATACCTACATCATACATTATAGAATTCACTTAACCAATTTATACATTTATTGTCACCTTCATTTGTATAATATGAAAAAAAAGTTATCACTATTTTACAGAATTATTATTAAATTTTGAATAATTTAAGATTTTTGAAAAATATTAAAAATTACAACATTTAACAATAAAAACTAAGATAATGAGAGAAATCCTATAAATATTATTTTAATTAGTACAAGATTCAATATTTAATAATTACATAATTAGCAGTTGTTTCAGTGAGTTTTAAATTTTGTTCTTTGAATTGATTTTCCAGTTCATTTTTTTCTTTTTCTAATTTATTTTTTTCTGTTTCAAGTTCTGTACTACAATCTTGCAATTTTTTATAACTAAGAGTTAAATCATTATTTAAGTTCTAAAATCATAAATTAATAATTAAATAATAACTATGAAGTATAATACAACTTTAAAGTAATTATAAACCAACTTTATTTAATTAAATCAAAATCAAATACTTACATCAATTTTGTTTTGCAATTGAGGTATTAAAGTTAAATTGAGTTTTAACTCGTCTTGTAAATTAGTTATTGTATTATTAGAATTTTGAACTTCCTGTTTCAAATCAATAACTTCATTTTTAACTGTAAATTCATTTTCCTTTTGTAATTTTAATTCTTTATTTAATTGTAAAATTTTTTCTTCGTAATCTTTTAATGTCTTAAAAGTAAATAAATAAAACAAATATTTAGTGAAATATGATATTGCATACAATTTTTAGTGATGTATGTATCTAATCATTTTTTAAAAATTTAAAAAGTACTACTAATTTGAAAAAAAATATTTTATAGTAAGTTTTTATTATAAAATGATTATAATTAATAGTGATTTTTTTTTATAATGAAAAAGTTTATCTCAGATTTTGAGTAAATTTGATGTTGAAATATCATGACCTAAGGATAATTCAACATGCCTGAAAAAATCAAAATCAAATTTATTTTATATTTTTTAGTTATGAAAACATTTTCAACTAGAAGTTTAAGATATGCGCATCAATGTCATCAGAAATACCATAATAACATACTATGCAGATAATATTACAGTGAGTATACAAAACATAAATATTTTATTTTTAGCATTCAAAATGAAGTGCTGTATTAAAAATACTAAAAGTATGTCCTAAATAGGATAACCCAGAATATTTATTAACATATTTAGAATATTGAAAATATAAATAAAAATATTTATTTTCCATTAAATAATGTATACAAAAGACTAACATTATCATAATTTGTACATACATGTTTATATTTGTTCTCATTTTCTTCTTGAATGGTATTTTGATACACTATATTATTACTAATATCATCCATTAATTCATTATTAATTTTTTCAAGATATTCAATGCGTTCTTTTAAAGTAAAATTATTTTTTTTTAACATATCATTAAGTTCTTCAGATTGTTTTAGATTATCAAATAATTTTGATTGATCTTCAATTGTTTTAAGTTTTAAATCAAGTTGCTTTTCATTTTCATTTCTAAAACATTCAAATTTAATATAATAGATTATGTCTAAGGAGTAAATAATTTAATAATTACAGAGACATCTTCATTTTGGTAATCTCATCTTTCAGATACTGATTTTCAGTTAAAATTACATCATAATTATCAGTAATAACTTTAATATCATTTATAAGTAATACATTCTGATCTGTTGTATCTTTAATTTTTTTTTCAAAATATTGACTAAAATGGAAATAAAAATAATTTCTATTATCGTATTTAGTAATTAACATTATTTTAGTTTACATTTTTTTTAATACAGATTCTTTTTCTTCATTTAATTCAATGTTTGTTGCATTCAATTTTCTATTTAGTGTATCATTCTGAAAAAATTATAATTTTGTAAATTTATAAAAAAAATTTTATGCTATAACATTCAACTTTTAACTGACAATAAGAAATATTTCAACCTTATAAATTATAATTTTTAATTTTAGTTGTTCATTACCTACTAGATATAATTTGTTTTATTTATTAATTTATCAGTAATATATTATAGTACTAAAATTACCTCAGATTTCATGTTTTCTATTTTATTCACACATTCTTCTAAGTTGGTTTTATAAGTAATACACTCAAGAGAATGCTTATTTAGTAAATCATCAAGTTCTTCTTTAGCTTTTATTTTATCTATGTTCACTAAAAAAAAAAAAAATACAAGAATAGCATAGATCCTATTATCACCAGAAGTTTCTGTAGATAATAAATTACATAAATCACAAAAAAGGATTACTGTAAGAAGTCTGGCCTAAGAGTGAGATAGAGTCCTAGAAGTATTCGCGGTTAGGTTCTAAATTCCTCACTATAAAGTGAGGTGATTTTTTTATTAAACATTCATTATTTCAAAAAGTATTGACTTTTTTTAATTTTTTTTTTAAAAATTAAAAAATAAATAGTTTTAAAATGTTATGTTATCATTATTTTTTTGTACACCTTATTTTTGGGTGTGTAATGACTGCCTATTTTTGATTTGGCAACCTATATTGAAAATGCCTTGAATAGATGTAGTATTATTTAAAATAAATTTTGGTGTTGACATTTTTGATATAGGTTGCCATATGAAAATCAAAAGAAAGCAGTCATCAGATAATCTAATCAATGTAAAATATGAAATCTGAAATACTTACTTAAATTTATATTTTTGAAAAGTTCATAGGTTATTAATACTTAAACTAATAATGGTTCAATTTTCATTTTCATATGAAATAAATTATTATAAGATTTAAATTATATAACTTAACTCAAAATGTTTCAATATATGTAATAACATACTTTTATATGAAGATTCATTTTTACCCTAATGGGGAAAATGTAACCTCTTAAGATTTTTTGTTTTAATTTTTCTAATCAATTAAATATTAATCTATTGGACCCTTTAAATATACATATGGGTTCTATGAAAATGTTTACATAGAACCTGATAAATAATACAGTTAATTTAACTGTCATTATATTAAAAAAAAAGTCGCACACTAACCCCACCTTACCTCACCACAAAACATAAAAATAAATTAAAATTTTGAAAAGAACAAGTTATTACATTATTCAGATTTCTGTGGAATATCAAGTAATTAGTATATTAATAATACTGTACTGACCTTGATTAAATAAACTATCAATATTTGATGACACCCGTATAACTTTATCTTGAAATGTATTATTAGTTATTAATACTTCTTTTTGTCTTTTTGTCACATTATCTAATGTATCTTCAAGTCTATTTAAACGTTCAGAAATATTTTTGAAACATGTATTTAGTCCCATTCCAGTAGCATTTAAAGATTTTGTACTGAAAAAAAAAAATACATTAATAATTTGGTTTTTAAAGACAAATTTCTCAGAGTAGTTTTAATGTCTATTTTAAAAATAATGTTTGACCCATTAAAACGTCAGTACAATATGATCACCATAAACCACAGTACCTAAGCATAAAAGGGGAAAATTCAAATATTCAAATTTCAAAAAACCTACCACGAATATGATTTATGATACTTAAAAACAATATATATACTAATAACTAATAAGTCAGACTTATTCAAATCAATACAATAATTGATTACTAACTACCTAGTTTCATCTATCCAAACCAAAAATTAAAACTCCTATACCTTTACAAGACCCATTATTTAAAAAAACAAAGGTGGCCCCGCCACCCTAATAGATAAGTTTGGCGCAACTATTTATACATGAAAGAAAACATAGTTTTTTTACTACTTAAACAAAAATGTATCATATCAATATTCAGTTTTCATTGAACTTATGATAATAAAAAACAATTTTAAAAGACCTTTTTAAAATTTACTTTTTAGTCATATAATCAAAATGTACTTATTAAAGAAAATAAAAATGTAAACAAAATGCTATACAAGAATGATATTTTAAGGTACATTTAAATATACTACTTAGTAGCCACGTTGCTTTTTAATATGCAAAATGTTTAAGCTTATTAAGCTTTCAATAATAATATAATTTTTGTAATAAACTACTAAAATTGAGTTATGGTAATTAGGAAAAAAGGATATGTCTTAAGGATGAAATAAAAAAGTATGTTCTTAAAAACTTCTATTAATACCTACATAATATATTATTAACTTTTTAAAAATACTAAAATTATTACATTTTGACAAGGATAAAGGGTCCCAATAATGGGTCAATATACTTTTATTGTTGAATTATGAGATGTTAAACTGATTGCCAAGAATATATACAAGAATATATATTACCTTTCCATTAAACTTTTATACTGATTTGTAAGAATGTAGTTGTTATTTTGATAATTGATCATATCTGTATGTAAGGATTCAATAGACAAGTCTTTCTCAGCTAATGCATTTTCGTATTCTGACACTTTTAAAGCCATCATAGCATTTTCTTGTTCCATAAGCATACGATGCTGATCTAAATATCTCACAGGATCACTCAAACTTCGATCCAAGCCACCATTTTCCAAAATATTCTATAAAAAAAAAAAAATTATTTTATAAGTTAGGTACATTACAGTTAAATTAGAAATAAATTTTACCAAACACAAATTACTAATTTTGATTTTTTTTTATAAAAATAAGTATTTAAATGAGTTGAGAATGATGTTGTATTTGTCCTTTAATTAAGTCAATTTTTTTTTTTGCTACATGCATTTACAAATATTGTGTTAATAATACACAATACATACTCATCTTACTATGTGACAATATTCTTAAGTCAAAATTGTAGCTTACAAATCATTAAATTTTATTGATTATCTAATGATTCAAATGGTAAACAAGATATCTATTAGATACACTATTAACATTACAGTAGATAAAAAAATTATAATTTCATGAAAAAAACCGCAATGGTGAGAGGAGAAGGTTTTATGTGCTCAATTCAAATGTGATCTAAAAGATACATAGATTAACTACACAGTGATTGCAGGTGGCACATTTTTTTGATACCTGGGCAGTATATATGAAGATTGCACTTTGTACCATAACAATAGTTAGTGCCAGGGATGTAGAATAGCTTAACTATTTAATGGCCTATGTATCTTAATAAAATTATATCTTTTAAAAGTTACAATAAGTAACTATACATAATAGATGGTGAATTATACTAAAAAGAATTACTATGTTAATAGAAAAATTTACAACAATACACACGACCATACATCCAGGACACACCTGAAATTCTTATTTTATTGTAACTAATTAAAAAAGTGATATTAAAAATATTTAAATTAATTCTTCATCATTCAAATTCCAAGCTAATCATTACTTAAATCATAATAACAATGATTCAGAAACTTTAATAATGAAGAAAGTCTCCTGATACATTGAATATATACTTTAAAATTGAATTTTAACAATATTATGTTAATTATTAATGTTAATAATATTATGTGAACATTATTATTAAATATGAGTTTACCTACACATTATAATTTATTGTTTATTAATTCTACTTAGAGATCAAAGGTCATTAGATGAATTGCAAGACTTATTTGAAAATGATAACAACTCAACAAAGTATAACCAATTGGCTGAAGTACTCAAAAACAGAGGATTTAAGGGAATGGGGTAATGAGGTAATAAACCTCTCCCAGCTTAATATATTAAAATATTAATAGGCACTGAACTATAGAATAATACTAAATTTGGTATTGAGTACATTTTAATGTAGGCAATAATGCCTAGCCTCTACCCAAAAACCTAAATTAAAAATCACTACAAAATAGAAACTAATAAAACTTTGATTAAAGGGATAAATTGTGACCAATGGAGTATTATTATAATAAATATAAAAATTAATAATCGACTAGATATTGCTGAATACAAATTACAAAAATAATTATAATAATTACATCAATGTTTTTTTTTTTTTTTTTGTAAATGTGTACACAACTTGTCTACAAAAACTATTGCACCAATTAAAAACGTTTTAGGATTTGTAGCATTTTTGACATAATGCATAGGGGAAGTTATTTTTTTATTTTTTTAGTTTAGCTGTCAAATTTTGTAAAATTGGTTAAATTCACTTACCAGAATTTTGTTGAGTGTTAGGTAGCCGACAATACTACATGCTATATGTGAATTTAAATGAATGTAGGACAATTTATCAATTCACCCCCTCATCAGCTATTTTCAGTGTAGTAGAAAATTTTGCATGGGTACATATATTAATGCTGACATTCTCCAAATATTTAAAATGATTCTATTTGAATATGTTATAAAATGTGATAAAATCCTGGGAAAATCAAAAAATGACAAATTTCCAATCATATAAAAGCAACTATACTTGAAATCACAATTTCTGATAGAAAAGTTTCTCACAGAAAAATAAATTAAATATCATTATAAAATCAATAGTTACATTCCTTGCTCCACTCAGAATCAAAAATTACCAATAATGGCATAGGTAACAAAAAAAATTTGATACAGGTAAACTAAGTATGCAGCACTACAGCCATATAAGCACAGGTACAAAGAAGATAGAAGTATAGAACCAGTGTTTATTTCAATGAGACCTAACTATAACCTCCTCGCAAAAAAATGTATACCATCCCCTGAAAATGTATAACACTATGACATTACTACGTAACTACTTACATATTGTATAAAATGAGTTATGGACCAATTATGAGTTATTTTGTTGATAATATAAAAAAAATAAAATATTTGGCTCTGTGTATAATATGGAAACGAGAAAGTACGAAATAAAACATAGAAGACTTTAGAGAAGAGAATGTCTTTTATAAAATAATAATGACTAGCTAAATATGTATGGAAGACCAAATATATTATCGTACAGTAGAAGTAAGAGGATAGAATGGGATGAACACGTTTGGAGGGCAGATGGGAAAACTATGAAACGAGTCATAGAAGGTAGAATTGTGGAGAAAAGACCTATTGGAAGGCCTCGAACAAGGTAGAAAGATGTAGTAGAGAAACATCTAGTAATGATCCATGAAAATATGCAATTAGAGAATACGAATGATAGGGACTGATGGAATGATATAGTGGTGGCAGAATGGGTCTACATGGCCCGCTAAGCTGTTAAAAAGACGTTATATAAATAACTTTAATAATAATAATTTAAAAATAATTTCGATGAGCTACAAAAAAAAGTCAATATTGAACATATTTTTTTAATTGTTTTCCCAAAGTTTAAAAATTCCTAGATCCAGCTCTGCCTGCTTTAGCGTACCCCTAGGAAATTTATGATACCCCCTAGGAATGAAAGTCTAAAATAAACTAAATATAACTATTTACTACCTACATAATATTATTTAAAATACCTACCTATATAATTTCATGAAATTACCTATTCAAAACAAAAATTAACTTACATTAATACCGTGGTCAGTTGTGTTTGTAGGAGAATTATTAGTTTCTTCAGATTCACCACCAACCTCCTGCAATATACCATGATGTGCTTGTTCGTTCATTTGAAGGCGATTGAACAGATGGAACACAAAAGTCACAAAATTCGTGTATCGTGTCAAACGACCTAATGTTTAGTTGAGACTAGTAGTCTTGATAGATGGTAGTCTCTAATGTTTAATATTCGGATTTAAGTATCTACAAAAAATGTATGGCCATTCATACAATACATTAGCATTTAACAACCTAAGTCACCAAGCAATCACTGAAAAAAGAAACACTGCATAAATGCCTGAATACCTGATGACCGATGAGTTCGCTCTGTTGCTAATACTACCCTATGCTATATTGACAGTATATTGACATAGATAAGAATATACCGCGGATGATCTATTTTAGTACTCATTATCTCATTAACTTTTTTAATTTTTTTTTGGTAATTCAATTTTAGTAGCTTTTCATTATTTTTGGTAATAAACGACTGCTAAATGTTGACTTTCAGTTGTAGCCCATGTTAAAAATGCTGTCAATGGTGGAGTATTAATTTAAATCAATTTTGGTATTGAAATTTTTAATTTAATAGCCTGCTTGTGGTATTTAAAAAGGGGCAAAATTTAAGCAATTTATACTGCCTTACCGCATTGTCGAATCGTTATCGCAAAGTTAGTTTTGTATCCAAATTTTGTTCCATAATAGATTAATAACGTATTTTATCAATGAAAGTCTAACAGCTAATAATCGCGGGGGTAAGAAACTTAAAACTTTGATAATATGTACTTTTTAAACTATAGGTATCCACTCAGAAAGAATTTTTGAAAAATTCATCCTTAAGGGCGTAAAAAAAGAGAAGAAAGTTTAAGTATATGAAAATCCGCCTTTGAAATTGTTTGAATTCAGTTTGTTCGTCCAACATTTCAAATGTCAATATATACAGAGTGATTCACTAAGCGTGCTCATCTAATGTTTTGGTCAAATTTTGCATCTATTTAAATTCTGATTTTCGGAAATTTTAAGTGTAGATAAAGTTGACATTTTCAAATACATAGATTTTTCACAACATTTAAGGAGTACCTATCCTGTGTCGATATATCAACTTTGGTTTTTCAAATAAGAACCTGTATTTAAAATTCCATAAATAAATGGTGTATTACTTTAAATACATTTTGGTGTTAAAATTATTAATTAAGTAGTGGAACACTAATAAATCGTGTCATGTTGTCACACAAATGATACTCTACGACTTTCCTCCTGCTTAAAAGTAAAAAAGTAAAATATCTTGTCAAAAGGTTGACGGAAATCAAACATTTTAACACAAAAATACTCCATCTAACAATTTATGGAATTTTGTGGAATTAATATTGATTCCACATGACTATGAACGTATATGTAAAATATTTGATTTATCCAGCCTTGTTCACAGATATATTGCAAACATTTGATTTTTAACTAAGCTTTTATGCAACTTCATACTATCCTACCCTTCATTCAACAAATTAATTTTAAAGTTAAAGGCCTTACTTTCAGTTATCTTTAAACCATTAATCAACTAGTTCTTTGGTACCATTATTATTTATGCCAAGATATCAAATGTTTATTTTTACTTGGCTTTGAACCTTGACTGGTGTTATAATAAAATAAAATAAATACAAGAACATAATAATTTTATGTATTATAGAGAAAGTGATACAAAACAAGCAAATCTGTCCCTGAATATTCACAAGTACATTACCTGCACAGATGTTAATTTTATTAACTATATATATCTATGTATATTCAATACAATTCATAATCTGCATATCTAGTTTATATAAATATTGATTTAATTAAGAGGATGCATATTATAATAATAATAATTATGAGATCACAATTGTACACAAATTTGTGATTATTAAATAACCATACAAACAATTACTACATGAGACAATTCTTTAAAAATGTTATATGTATATAGAAAAATAAGTTGTTTAAAGAAAAATAAATCCTCATGAGTATTTTAAATGTTTTATTACAATTGGTTCTGACAAAAAAATAAAAAATCCAAATTGGTAAAGAAAAATATTATATGTATTCATTTTATGTACTAATTAGTAACATTAATCAATTTATTTATAAATACTAAACATTATAAAACAAATTAAATATATTAACACTAATTCAAAATATGCAGTATGTTAAAATATTATTTTTTTCCATCCAAGTTTATTTTTTAGGTTTTGTCTGTTTAGTTGAAAGTTCTTCTAAATGGATGATCTCAGCTTGGTTAAGAACAGTCATGTTTTGCATATTACTTTTAGTCATCAATTTTTTCTGAAAATGTAAAGCATTAAATAAAGTATCTAGTCATCAATTTCAAAACTATAAGTTTACCGGAGGTGGCATAAGATCTTTTAATCCAGATTCCTTTAATGACTTTTTAAGAACATTTAATCTAATATTTGAAAAAGAATTAACTTGGTATTTATTGTCAGTTTCCTTATAATTTTGAAGATTCAAAATACTATTATTAATAATCTGTGTACAATTTTGTTTCAACTTATTACTACAATCAGTGCTCTATTGACAAATGAAACATTATTTTTTAAATATTAATAGTATACAAATTACTCACTACTTTAGACAATGGACAATATATTTATTATAATAATAAATAATAATAGATAATATATTATCTATAAAATCCTGGTTTCAAGATTTATAAGTTCCACATTTTTACAAGTAGGTACCCATTTATAAGTCTAGAGAAGATGTAAAGAACACCTCTGCATTGTGGGGATGGCCTAACGCCTACCCATTCTTTATTAGGTTAGGTTAGATTGGATATTTCAGTTCTCTTAACGTGATAAGATTTTCAAGTTCATAATTGTCATCTTCTTAAAGTAAATATCCCACTAATGATGTCAAAAAAATTACACCACAAACATGCAAAACAATATTAATCATTGTGAGATAAACAGTTAATACTATTTATCTTTTGAGAAGTAAAAATAGTTAACAATAAAAAAACTATATACAATTTGTACAAAAGACCAACTCCAAACTCGGTTAGACTTTATTATGAAAAACAATGCAAACAATTAATATTGTATTAAAATAATGGTATTTAAAATGCGTAAATAATATTATATTAATATCTAATGTGCGATGCCAATAACGCCAATTATTTATTTGGTACAGCCTTACAGAGTGGTAAATATATGAACACAATACAAATAGAAGTTAGTCATTTTTCAATTTTTGTTTTGTTTATGTTATCACACATATAATCACTAGTAGAACTAGTAGGATCCCACTGATTGACCACACCACCGATCATAAACATCTCACGTAGATGTTATGACGTTTTATCTATTGGTATACTATAATAATCATGATAAAATAAATTTATTTTATCATGATAATATTATTAGATCTGTACGTTTTTCTAGTCTATTAGGCTTTAAAACATTTTATCTCTAACTAAAAATTAAATAAGAGCATATCAGATTTATGTTTTAAGTCTAATCTCCAAGAAAGGAAGGAAAATGTTTTGAATAATTATTGAATGATTAAAAAAAAAAAAATTAATACTAAATAAAAATAAAAGATAAAAGCAAAATCAAAATTATTAATTATAAATTATAATAGAAAAATGATTGTTTTTACAATTTTAATTTTGTTTTTTATTCATATTATTTGGTAAATAGTAAATATGTATTATATTATTATTTAAAACAGATATATTTTATTTTTTTTGGAAATGTTTGATCTCTATTTTAAGAAAAAATGTTTAATAATAATAACCATATTTTATATAAAAACAAAATGTTCTGGGAAAACGGAAACAAAAATTTGAAAGTTTTCTATCATTGCTAATCCCAGTATAAGTAGATACATACAATTTTCGACATTACAGAAAGATATTTTAACACTCTTAATTTGTTTCACCATTTGACTGCTTGAAAATATTACATAAATCCTAATTCTTACAGTAAATTACTATATTTCTTTTAATAAATAATGCAATTTGTTAATTTTTTTTTTCTTGTATAGAAAATCTAAAATGGTTTGATGTAACTCACTTGAGGAACATCCGTGTTATTAATTGTTTTCTGTCTTTTCAAAGTATTATTACCAACAGACATAGAAAATAAATTTCTTTTGCTCAAATAATTTGAAAACCTTTGATTCGTTTTATAGGAAACTTTTGAATATTTTTTGTTTGATACATCTTCATCAACAAATTCTTCAATACTTACATCAATCTAATTTTATTTTCAAACAATTCATTCAAAATTAAATTATTTTTGAACAAATAATTTAAAAATTAACTTACATTTTCTTCTCCGTCACTTATCTAAATATAATAAAGTAATAAACAGCAATATTTAACAAGCTAAAATCTCTTTTAACATACCTCGATGGTTTCTATTATTTTGCATTCAGGAGATATTTTCTGTTCTAATTGATAATAATGCTGTTGAATTTTTGTTATTTCTGAATACAATAACTTGGCCTTTGATTTATACTCCATCTAAAAAAAAATAAATAGAAAATTTTAATTAAAAATAAAGGGTACTCAGAGGGAACATTTTCAAAATTCTCTGATAGATAATTTGAAAGGTATAATGATCATGAATCTACCTACGCTAACCCCAAAATCTTTTGATACTCATATTTGAATCATTATGCATATCTATCAAACGAATAGTTTCAAATTTCTTTTTTTTAACACCAGAATACAATATATTTTAAATATTTTAAGGCTTATTATTAAACTTGTTGAAAAATGTAAAATAAATTAAAAATTAAAACATTATCTTATAAATATGTATTATATATTAATCAGTAAATAATTGAATATTTAATAATTACATAATTAGAAGTTGTTTCATTGAGTTTTAAAAGTTGTTCTTTAAATTGATTTTCCAGTTCATTTTTATCTTTTTCCAATTTAGATTTCTCTATTGCAAATTCTGTAATACAATCTTGCAATTTTTTATAACTAAGAGTTAAATCATTATTTAAGTTCTAAAATCATACAATTTTAATTCATATGGAATACAATATAACTTTAAAGTTTAAAGAAATTATTAACTAAGTTAAAATTAAACTAAAATCACTTTTATACTTGCATAAATTTTGTTTTGTAATTCGGGTATTAAAGTTAAATTGACTTTTAATTCCTCTTGTAAATTAGTTATTTTATTATTAGAGCTTTGAACTTCTTGTTTTAAATTAATAACTTCATTTTGAATTGTATATTCATTTTCTTTTTGTAATTTTAATTCTTTATTTAATTGTAAAATGTTTTCTTCGTAATTTTTTAACGTCTTAAAAGTAAATAAACAAAACAAATATTTAGTAAAATATAATAAAAATATATTATTATAATATTGTAGATAATTGTAGGTTTATGTACCTAATTAATGTATCGACATTTAAAAAGTACTATTAGTTTGAATAAAAATAATTTAAAAATAAGTGATTATTACTTTCAAAAAGTTATAATCACATATCAATAATACTAAACTACACAAATTTGGTAATACCCAATGATTTTTTTTTTCGATTAAGTAAGGAAATTTTGAATAAATAAATTTTATTTTGGATAAGATCATGGCATGATTTTATAATGTCTGAAAAAACTAATATTTCAATATATCAAATTAATATAAAGTCTCTTTGTGTTATGATAAACATAATAATTAGAATATTTTATAAAATTCTAATATGTCAATAAAAATAAAAATATTTGTATACCATTAAATATTGCATACAAAATACTAACATGATCATAATTTTTATAGTTGTTCTCCTTCTCTTCTTGAATGGTTTTTTGATACACTACATTCTGACTAATATCATCCATTAAACCATCATTGGTTTTTTCAAGATGTTGAATACGTTCTTTTAAAGTACAATTATCTTTTTTTAATATATCAGATTGTTTTAAATTATCAATTATTACTTCTGTTTGGTCCTCAATTGTTTTTAACTTTAAATCGAGTTGATTTTTGTTTTCATTTCTAATAAACATAAATTTAATATAATAAACTATTTCTTGAGAATATAATAATATAGTAGATAATTTAATAATTACAGAGACATTTTTATCTTGGCAAGCTCATCTTTCAAAGATTGATTTTCAGCTAGAATTTCATCATACTTATCTGCTTTATATTTTATCACTTTTTCAAAATATTGGCTGAAATTAAAATAAAATTTGTTTTTTGATCTATTATTATATTTAGTCTTCAATACAATTTAAGTTTACTTATTTTTGAATACAGATTCTTTTTCTTCATTTAATTTAATGTTTGCCACATTCAGTTTTGCGTTCAATATTTCATTCTGAAAAAATTATAATTCATTATATTTATTTACTTGTTAATTTATAATATTTAACTGTTAACCCATCATTATTCACGCTAGGGTGGAAACAACCTCACATTTTTTTTTCTCAAATAATTTTTTCCTTATTTATATTGTTCATACTCAATATGAAGATTATTAAAATTCTATATATGAAATACATTTATCAGGAAAAATTATTTAGGCAAAAAATTTAATTAAATCATAATGTTCATTAAATCGCGGTCATATAGACCACTCTATAATTTAACTAAACATTTTTGAATATATTTGATAAACAGATAATGTACTTTCAAATATTATGCCAATTTTGCTATCTACTTTATGGATACTTTTATGTTTTTTTAATTTTTTCTATTTAATATTTGATATAAGTTTATATAAATTTGAAAAAAAAATTCATAAATTCCTATTATTTTATTTAATATTATTCATTTGACATAGAAAAATATATATATCTAAGTTGTAAGAATTGATTTGTTTTAATAATATTAAAAAAAAATACCTTAAGAACATGGTTTTACTTGAAAATTATAATGCATAATAAACACTAATATGACTAACGGGGATTAAGTAATAATTGAAACTCTTTTAACGTTGCAAATGATTTTTAATTTTAGTTGTTCATATACTGAGTGCCTTTCCATCCTTAATTAGTTATAATTAATACTTAATATACCTATTTCATAGGTTGTAATACTTAATTCAGTTTAAAAAAATAAATATATTTCATTAGCAGGGTTCAGTACTTTAAGCACTTAAAATCCACCAAAAATGGCTTTAAAACTTTCAAAAATTAAAAATGGGTTTTAAAATTCCTCCTTCTAACAGCTCTAACTTTTAAATTTGTATGTATTATATAAAAATAAAAATGTTGTTTATAATTTTTGTAGTGTTAGAAAATGTTTAAAAATTAAAGCTGATGGAATCTTTTAGACCCCCACCATTTTTTGGTTTTTTGTTGATTTTTAGTGCATTTAACTCATAGACTCAGTTTATTACCTATAAAATATACATATTTTTGAATATTAATTGTAATAGTATGATAAGTATACCTCAGATTTTAAGTATTCTAGTTCATTGGAACATAGCACATTTTCCAAGTCTTGTTTTAATCTTTCTTTTTCTATTTTCACTATAAATATACAAAAATATTATACAAACACATACTTTTCATATGCATATGTTATTTATAATTAGGTATTAAATGTTTATTTAATTCAATTGCATATAATAATAAAAATTAATAAAATTCTACATAATACATTCCTGACCTTGTTTTAAAGTATTGTCAATAATACATGACATATGTATTATTTTTTCTTGAAATGTATTTGTAGTTGCCACTACATCATTTTGCCTTATTCTTAAAAAATCTACAGCATTTCCAAGGCCATTTATTCGTTCAGACATATCTTGCAAATTTGTATTGAAAAGCATACTAGTCTTACTTTAATCAAATTAAATATTGAGTTATTGACAAAATTGAGTAACAAAAATCCACGATAACATGGAATATAGTGAAATTCATGCATAAAGAAAAACAATAGTTTACAATAGGTAATTATAAAAAGTTTTAAGCTTAAAGCAATGTAATAATTATAATTATAATAAATAAATATAAATAATTATAATTTTGCTACTAAGCCATTTAATATTTTTTCTTATTTTATCATAAAAGTGTGAATAAATAATATTTTAACTTATAAATTATAATCCAGAGTTCTTTATACTGATTCTTTTTTTCCAGACCTCTTTTTACCTAATTTAACCTAAGTTTAAATCTTCACTTAATGTAGTTTCCTACATCAACTATATAGGGGTACTCCATATCATTTTAAAACTCTAAACTATGTCTCACTATCTCCTTTTCAGTATTTCTTCCCCTTCAATAAACATTTATTTAAATATACTAATCTTGTCCATTTTCTTCCATTTTATCAACTATTAAAAAAATGATTATGCTATCCCTTATTAATGCATTTTTTTTTTTTATTCTCTCTATACTTTACTCCACTTAAGAATGTCCAAATTGAAAAAAAAACCCATTTGAGTAAAAACATTTGTAATGTTGTGGTGCTGTGTTTGTTAACACTAGTGCTCACTGGTGCCAGAAAACATGAACATTTTTTTTTCTACAGTTTTGGCATTCATAATCAACAGAATAGAGAACAGTGACTCCACATGGACTATGAACAAATATAAAACAATAAACTGGAAGTCATGGAAATATGGATGTGGAGAAGGTTAGGTAGATAAAAGATGTAATGAAACAGTTTTACAATAATTAAACAAAATCAAAATCGTTTAAAGTGCATCATTAGAGGAAGACAAAACTAGTAGATCACATACAACACAACATGTTTCTGGAGATAATTAACCTTTATAAATTAACATTCCATTAAACTCTGATACCTTTTATTAAGATTGTAGAAATTTTGTTGATAATTTCTTATATCTGTTTGTAAAGATTCGATAGTAAAATCCTTTTCGGTTAATGTTTTTTTATATTCTGGCACTTTTAAGGCCATAATAACATTGTCTCGTTCAGTATACAAATGACTCTGATCTAAATATCTTGTAGAATCCTTAAAACTTTGGTTCAAGTCAATATTTTCCAAAATATTTGAATTAATATTCTAAAAAAATAAAATCATTTATTTTAGTACCAATATATAATCCAATTTTTACATAAACCTTAGGGTATAAATCTTGTTTAACAACCACCCGATTTTTCATTTTCTTTAGAATCCCATACACATTTTCGTGATAAACAATGATATATAAACTATACTTTATGGAAATTATTATTTTAGTTTTACCCCTTCTGCAAAAAGTACCTTATAGCAATACCCGTGATACTGAGCAAAGCCGCCAAGCATAGGGACCGATACGACCCGTACTCTTGTAAACTGGATAAGGGTTATATTATGTATATATATACATGTTATTTTACGTACATTTACTTATTTTACTCAAAATAATAATTATAAACAATTAGATAGGTATATCGTTTAAAAAAAAAAATAAATTTATTACATTGAAAAATAAAGTGTGGATGCACAACGAAATGGAATGTACCAATTTTAAATGAAACCATAGCGGAATTAGAAATTAATCTTGTTTGAGTACTACAACATTTAACACCAAACATAATAAATGCAAATTGAACTATTAGTATCACCAATCAGTTGTCCAAAAATTTACTTGTATATCAAAGAAATTTTATATTAATACCTCAGTCCTCCGATAAGACTGGAGGGCGGAATTTTGTAATAAATGAAAACAATGGCACGATACGTCAATAAAAAGTAGAGATGCTTGACAAAATACTTAAAACTTAAAAGGTACTATGTTGAATAATTTCATGGCGACATTTTTTTGAATAATTAAATCATAAATTTCAGGTAAGTATTCTAAAAAAAAATTGACTTACATTAAAATTAGGATCAGAAGTGTTGGCTAACGGGGAAATATCATTAGATACGCCACCAGCATCTTGCATTATCTCATTTTCCGCTTCGTTTTCATTCATTTTGTGACGACAAAGTACCGTATGAAACGATAATAGGTACCTACAATAATTGAAAATAAAATACATAATAAGAAAGACGAACAGTTGCAGCATGGCTAAAGAAATTATTTAGCCATTAGCTGCAGTTTGAGCGCAATGCAATACCTATTGCGTCTTGCAATGTCTAATGTATCCAACCACCAACAGTAGAATATTAAATTGGCGGTCATAAGTCAAGAGATCAGAAAGTAATCGAAGACTTTCAGTGAATACACCCGACTGCCAGAGAAGATTTGGAATTTTGGCACAGTCTGGCGCTCACCATTTATGATTTCTATGGACGTTCATTTTAATATACCTTTAGTGACCTAGTCATCAACTAGTTACCCGACAGTATGTGGTTCATACCAAACAGTGAAGTACTAAAACCATGGAACTTTAGCTACCGCCATTGACAGATTAGTTATTAATTAGTAATATGTCGATGGATAGGATAGCTATGCAATTTATTACACATCCTACTCCTCCAGTCTAAACTTTAAACTGATTTTAGTTCGTTTTTACACCGATTTTGTCTTAGAGTGCTAGCTGTCTAGCCAAACAGTGAGAACCGGGCGGACTCAGAAAAACATTGATAAGATATTTCCGTTTGGTATCCTGTATAATATATCCTATATATAATATCCTTATTCGTAGTTTAAATAAATTTTGGTGTTAAAATGGTAAATTTCCATCAACTTTCAAGTATAGGCAGGGGGAGAGTAATGAAGTACTAATAAAACGCGCAGTCTGTTCAATTAAATATGAGTAAAGCATATTTTTAGGTGTAAAGATAGATAGCGCCACATAACTATCCTCCCCGGATTGTTTACATTATATAACGACACATTTGGCGATTATATTATACTATTTTTATAGTACAGTTGCCACTTGCCAGACTTATCTTTATGACCGTGGTTAAACAGAATAATTTGTAAACACCGAACTGTATTTATTTGTTTAAATTATCTAATTGAATTAATCTCAATCAACAAATGAAAGAAACTAGCCATAGTAAACAGTTAAAAGGTAATATTAAAAAAATTGGATTTTAGTCCGGGTATATTTTTTATTAAAAAGTAAATATGAAACAATAAAAAACAAATAAGTGTTTACTTACTTTAAAATAAATAACAATTAAAACGAATAATAATATTACAACATATTTTCTTATTTACATTGAATAATAATTTGAAATATTTTCTAGGTTTATATTTGAATATTAATTTAGAACAAATGCACGTGTTAGAGTATGTTTCTTTGATTCCAATCTATATTTTGACAAAGTCCATTTGTCAGATTGTGGATTATAAATTGCAGATGAATCACTGTCTTCACCATCGATTACATAAATTAATCCATTTACTACAATAGCACCTACAAAATAAATTTATGATTACTTTTAGGCCCTCTTCACACGGGCATACTTAAAAGAATCTGTAATCGCCTGGATACCAGGAGACTGGGCAACTGCACGTGTGTATTTTAATAGTATCATTTAGAGTTTAGTCGGTGCTACTAAAATCGCTACGACTGATAAACTAACAATAATAACCTACAACAGTGGCCACCCATGGTGTGAAGTATGTCCTTTTGTTTTTTTAATAATAACATGTTTATATAGTATTAAATTTAGTTTACAGATACTATTATTTTTTAATTTCATACATATAATATAGGTGTATACTTTAAGATATTTAAATATAATAATTTAAATTAAGTTAAGTACTGAAATGTTAATTGCTATACAAAATTTAAGACTTCAAATGAGTTAAATAAAGAGTGTATAGGAAGTTTTATTTTTCTCTGTTTACATGGTTACTGTACACAAATAATTTGGAATATTTAAAATAAAGTAAATCGCTTAATTTGGTGGTTAGACTAGACTGTTTAGAGGATGAAGTCCTATAGAAGTGAATAATGAGACAATATAATTTCATAGATTTATGAATGTACACAAGTGTAATAAATAATATATTATTAAAAAATTTGTTTACCTCACATAATAAATAAATCCTTTCTCAACAGTCAACCCAGTTCGTACATAATTGTTTCTATCATTTTCCTTAAGATCAAGACATTCTTTTTTTTTTAAGATTTTAAGATCCAAAATAACCCATTTTTGACAACTAATTAAATAAAAATTAGTAAATATTTTTATTTTATAAGTCACAATTTTTATACTCTATCTTAGTTCATCTAAGTAAATTGAATTATTCAAATTTGATTAGAAAAAAATTATGATTTTGTCAAAAGTATTTTACTTTATAAGACTGATATAAAGTAAATTAATATATTACAATAAATTTAACTCAAATTTCACTAATTTTAAATTCTAAAAATTAAATTTTAGGTTACTCGCAATATAAATACAGTTATTCAGTTCTACTAGATTCAACAAGGATTTTTAGTATGTTCATTCAATTTAAAATCACCTGTACTATTGATTTATATTTCCATCAAAAATACTTGGTAACCTAAAGTAATTTTTATAATATTAAAAATGATTTCGAAAACTATTATAGACAAAAAAATAAAGAGCTGTATTAGGATAATGGGGACGGCCGAATGAGTGCAGCTACTATTTTAGATGGAAAGTTGGGAAGATAGGATATAGATGGTAATTTAATATATATCTGTATGCAATGATTAACCATTCGAAAATACAGAAAAAAGAATCAGAGCAGATTTTGGTTGATAGTGTTGCTTTGTAATATTATGATAAATAATAAAATATGCATTAAACATTTTCTTTAATAATATTTTTTTAATGTACCTATTTTCCCAGTTTTTCTATGTTCTTTTTCCGGTTTTATTTGGAAAAATTCTGGGAAAATCAAAAAAGGACCTTCCTAAAGTACTAACCCAGTCAAATTTCCTTTCAGAAAAAGTGCTATCATTGTAAATCAGAGCAAAATTGCTGGTAGAAAAGTTGCTGCGAAAAAAAACAAATTAACAATCATTGTAAAAACAATACATTCCTCTTTCCACTGAGAAGTAACCAACACAAAAAATTCTTCAGTCATTTAGTATAATACTTAAGTTTGACGAATTCCAAGTGAATTGGTTTTTTAAGAATTTTTCATTTCCACATGTAATCCATTATAATTTGCATTTATCATTTTTAAAAACATCTTGTGAATATGTTAATATTAACTAAAGTGAATATATGTACAATAAATTAAACAATTATTTAATATTAAATTTAAATGATTACTTCATGAGTTCTACTTCGTCACTAATATACATTAAAAAAAAAACCCAATCAGTTATTTAGTTTTTATTGAAAACAACAAATAATCTATAGTGCATACATTTGTTGCAAGTGATTTAATAAATCTATTAACCTTTTATAACCTATTATAAACCATTAAGTTTAAGTAAAAAATTATGTGGAAGGATGGTAAAGTCAGAATAGTCAGAAAAACGGTCAGAATCGTTTTTTCATTAGCAATGGTTTATCGTTGCTTACAGTCACACGTCTGCATTATCTTAGGACTTTTTTTTAAAACCATATTTAGAATATTTCCACTTTATTTTACTCTTTGGATTTATTTGTATTTTCTTAAGTTTAATGTAGATAATAAGTATCTATTGAAAAATAAATTCAATTTAGGAATTTAAAAGTTAAAAGTTGATACCACTTGTGATAATTAATATTGATCGTTAATGTTTACATCACCTACCTATAAAATTAATACATGGAATTATTAACATAATAAATAGATAGACATACCTTCTGAATAGGCCAAAAATTGTTTCCTGAAAATAAAAAAACCGTCAATTTTATGAAATTAATATACGTACCTACTTACTTCCTTTTTTTTAATTGCATCTATCTGAAATTCGTTAGTTTTACAAAACTCAAGAATCATAATCAAATAATATTTTACTCAAGCCTACTTACCCTATACCTATAAAAATATAAAAAATAGACATTGATTAAATATTATTGCAAATATATTTATAGTAATTGATTATAGTCATACAAATTAAATTATAATTATTTTAAGAACCTTATATTGATCGGTTTTTCAATGTTAAAAATGTTAGTTGCAATTTAAACCATATTATTACAGTTCATAATATTAAAGCAATACAAATTTAGATATTCAAACTTACCTACAACTCTAAATTACTTTCTTAAAATGTTTTGTGAAAGTAATTACAAAACATAAATATTCTTCAATAATAATTTATAGTTTTCAAATTTAAATATTTTTTTTTACTCCCACGGTGTCAATTAAATGTTCGGGCGTAGGTATACATTTTCAATGCATGTTATTATAATATCAAATACTTCATATTAAATACGATCCATAACATGATGACAGCATACAGTCGTAGATATATTATATGTGTTAGCAATGTGTAAAAAATTAGAAAGTTACTTAGAGTTGTAGGTAATAGATCTATTTTCATTTTGGTATAAATGTAGTTTAGCTCCCAAATGATTTTTCGGAATTTGAAAATATGTATTTTTGTGTTCTTAATTTGATGATACTTTCAAAAAAATCAATTAACTGGAAGTTATGGTTAAAAAACTTTAAAATGTTCGTTTTACAAAAATCATGTTTTTAAGTTTAAAAAAACCAAACATTTAAATGTTTGGACATTTGCTTTGTTAATGTTAGTATTCTTAAGCTCAGCATATTGGTGAAATCAGAATTATCTCGCTTGCCTCATAATGTTTTAATTTATTCAATAACATACTTTTATATGCCGATTTACAGTTGTCCCAAATAATTTATACACTCAGTCCGATCAAATTAAAAAACTTAATAAACTCCAAAGACCTTTTATACATATGTTTAGTTATAAAATGGAATTTTTAAATATGTCTTCTACAGATATTGTTAACCGTATTGGTCTCGTACCATTAGCTATTCGTCAAAAGTCTTATGACAGTGTTTGTGTACAAGTTAATAAATGGTATAATTGATTGTCCGGAGTTCTTATTTAAAATTGGTCTAAAAGTCTCTGCTTTTAAGTCTAGAAATATATTATGTTTTTATGTTCCCCCAGTAATCGAAATTACGTTATAAACAGTCCGTTATACCGTATTACCATTTGCCTAAGACATGTAATGAACTCGTTAATTTTGACTTAAATTTTGATTCTGCTTCTAAATTAAAATGACTTGTATTTACTTAATTGTATCTTATCATATAAAGTTATTTTTTAGTATTGTAATAAGTATGTAAACATATAAAACTATTATTTTTAGATTTTGAGTGAAGCGAAGAATTTATGGTTTTACTATGATGTTTTTTTTTTTTGTTTTTTTCTTTGGACAATTTTTCTACCAGAAGACTTGCTCCAATTTTTACGTGTAGCAACTTTTCTGAAAGAAAATCGGTATGGAGAGGTACCTTAAACAGGCCATTTTTCGATTTTCTTCGGAGTTTTTTCAGCAAATTTGAAAAACTGGGAAAAAACATGGGAAATCGGTACAATATTAAAAAAATATTATTAAAGAAAATATATAGAGCCTATTTAATTATTTTACTATACTATTGCATATATATTGTTGAAAAAATATCACTATTAATTGAACTCAGTAATTATATAAATTATATTTTCTTCTGTATCCTACCTTCTCAACTTTCCACCTACAACAGTGGCTAAACCTATTCCCATTATCCTAGGACAGCTTATTTAATTGTTTAATGTTAATATAGTAATTATTAATACATATTTAAATTAAACGCTCTATTATTGAATTTTTATTTTTTTAATTTGTTTTAAAAAATCATTTTTGTTGTGGAAACGCCCATTGTTATAATCATTTTACCATAATATGACATATATTGTTGACAAAGCATCACTATCAACTGAACTCCGCTCAGAATCGTTTTTCGTTACCAATGGTTTATTGTTGCTTATAGATATACACTAAATTCCCGTCAGTATCCTACCTTTATTTTTTTTAAGTTTTCTAATATCGCTATACCTCACCCCATGCGGGTGTTTGTAGATATTATTATTATATGATGTTTTTTTAATGTATCATGTTATACTCGTACATAATTAAATTAGAAATCCAAGTATATCCAATAGTTTATATACATCAATAATGTATAGATTCTCAATAAAATTATCCTTACACTATATTATTCTATACTATTATTAACTGTTTTGTTTTGGTTATAAAATAAAAAACAACCAAACAAATAATGTTGAATAATTGTAACAATAATCTATACCTAATTACCTGTGTTTATTTTTTTTTTTAACTTAAAATAATATTTATAGGTATTTGTTTTATTTAAACCTTTTTGCGTTATCTATTACTGTTATTAAAATGTATTTAATATTTATTAATTTCAACGCTGCATTTTTTTCCTAGTATGTTTTTTGATCCGGGGATTGTTTTCCCTATTTCCCTAACGTTCCGATACGTGTACGCGGCCTACTAATTTAACCGAAAAATGCGTAAAATATTTTCGTGTATTTATAATATAGCATTATATTAGGACAGCTGCACCTAGCGTCCTTGAAATATTGCCCACGCAAAACCCGAAAGAATAGCGTTTTATTGTACGCGCATGTGTCGGCTGTGGACAAACGTAAACGTCTCTCTAGGTTCATCCGATTTATACTGTTCACAGTCGATTTGCTACGCCACTGCCGGAAATTGTGTCGAGGTTTATTGTTTATTCGTTTGTAGTTTACATTACGTTTTGCGAATTCGTAGCTGGTCGGTTAAGTTATAGATGATCCCAGAATCTAGATCCGTAATATTATTTCATATAATTTTTCAATAACAAAACGATAATATTATCACGGAATACAGTGGTAAACCACTTTGTCCGCGCTCGATTGTCATTCTTTATCAAAGCGCACCGTTAATACGTGATAACAGAAAATAAAATCATTGTTATACAACACTCAACCGAAAATGTTACGCTGCTGCTGCTTCTGTGAAACCAGCTTTTTGTTTTGTTTTCGTTAACGGTATGACTACAATTTATTTTCGTTAATCGTTTTTCTTAAATTGTCTCCAGTGTCCTTATATCTACTTGTGAATTATATTTTTTTTTTAAATTGTCTACAATTTTTTACTCTATCGCTTTCCCATTTTAGACTGATTTTGCGCCAACCTGAGACTAAAAATGACCATTTTCTTTCTCGTTCCATATAATTGAATTAGATTTTGAACAGTAATCAATTTACAATGGACGTTGGAATGCACACTACTATTGGAAATAGAATGAGGATGTGGCCGAATCGTCAGAGAATAGGTTTGCGCACACGATCAGCTTCGGCTGGTCGAGACAAACGATCTGGTGAGTTTAATTCTATATTCTATTTTTTTATTATACATTTTATTTATTACAAAGATTATATTTCCATTAAAATTATTTTTATAATTTGTAGAACTACGAAATCGGTCATGGGCGTTTTTGTTTGACAATTTACGACGCAACATTGATGAAATATATCAGATATGTGAGACTGATGAAAATGTTTATGAATGCAAAGTCAGTAGTTATCTACTAATATTGTTATTATTTCATATTGATTTAATTCATACAACCATTATAGTATGTTCTTATGAAAATATTCATTTTTTAGGAAGCAATAATGGTTTTACAGAATTATATACACGATTTTCATAGTCTGGTTGAATGGTTCAGACTCAAGTGGGAATATGAACATACTGATCCACCACAAAGGCCAAATTTCCTTGCTTGGGAGATCCGAGGTGCTTCTCCAAGGAAGGTTAGTTTTCATGTTATTTTTGTTTACATTTTATTATTGATTTTTGACAAATTATTTAGATGCTCCAAAAGCCGCCAAGTATTTCACCTGGGTTAACCAAAAGAAAATTGGAACTTCTCTCTGAATCAATAACTAGTGATATAAGTACATTAAATTCTACTCAATTAGAAAATGATGAAAATGTTAAAGAAAATATTTTAATTGAAAAGTTTTATACTAATCAATGTTGTCAAACTGACTTTGATTCCTCTGTGAAAGATATAGGTTTAGATACTTCAAAAAAAGTGTTTAAACCTATAACAAAACCAGTTACCAAGTCTTTAGTTCCAGATTGCAACCAAAGGAAAAAAATCCCGGTTCTTGTTCCTAAACCCGTGAAAGTAGATGTAAAAGAAAAAGCAAAAACTGATCTGGTTAAAAAACCATCTACACCAACAACTCGCTTAACAAAAATAACTACAACCTCAAATAGAAAAACTATTGAAAATTTGAAAAATAATTCTCCGACTGTAATTGTTAAAGGACATGTTAATCAAAAGTTAGAGGAAATTAAAAACGTTTTGAATGTAAAAGAAGATTCTAAAAACCTAAAATCCTTAAATAGTACAACAAATAATTTTGTTGATCACTTAAGTAACAGTGACAATAAAGTCAATTCAAAATCAAATTTAGTTAAGTCTAAAAGAAAATCAACTGAATCTATAAATGTAGTCAATAAAGTAACTGAAAAATCTGATAAATTAATCCGTTCAAAAACATCTATTGATATGAAAGTCCCAAAAGCATCGAAGCGTGGTATCATAAAAGGAAATGATGGATGGGATACTGTTATTCGGTCTCGCCGTAGTAACCCATTAACACAAAGTTCAAGTAGTATTAAACTCAAATCACCATTTGATATAAAGAAACGTTTTCAAGTACCATCTTCTGCTAGTTCCATGCCCATTTTAGCTTTAGATATAGAATCCAGTCCAGAAGAACCAAACATTATAAATATTTTGCCTGATAAAAATGATCGGCCTATCATTTCTAATGCTGTGGTGTTCCCCAAAAAAAAACGTAAACCTGATAAGCCACCTGTTCCAAAAAATAAAATAATTGATCAGATGAGGAAAGAAATGTTAAAAGATGAAATTGAAGAACGTCGAATGTGTGATGAAGAGTTGATGCGCAATAGACAATTTTTTGATGAAGAGATGATGTTGGCTAGAGAAATACGAGAATTAGAAAATGCTGAAAGTAGTTGCAGTGATGATATGACACAATCAGATCGTTATTCAGATCTTTTAGATAATATGATATTAACAGAACGAATGTACACAATAAATGAGATTAAAGCATTGATACAATATGGGAATGAAAGTGCTATTGATTCCATTGCAATGCCTTCATGGGATATAAGCAGGTCTACTGAATCAATGAAACAAACTTATAGTGCAAGACAAGCTAAAGCACATCAAAAACGTCAACAGTTGCTACAAGACAAATCAACTAAAGTGCGTGAACTTCTTAAAAAGGTAATATTTTTTTCATTTTAAAATTATTAATTTTATTATTATGAAAATTAATTTTATTCTGATTTTAGGTTGGTGAGAGAAAAACATTACAGAGTCAATTAATTGATGAAAAGCGTATAAATATAGATAAAAAACTTAAACGGGCTGCTGAAAACCGTAAGTTACACTTACAACAAATCCAAAGAAAAGCACATGACGAAGAAGAAAAACTCCGTGAAATAGCTTTCATTAACGAACTGGAGGCACAAAATCGAAGACATGACATTCTTACTCTATGGCAAGAACAAGAAGATAGATTACAAACATTGTTAGAAGAACGTAAACGTAATCAAGAGCGAAAAGCAGCTAAAGAAGCAGCTGTTGAAGAACGTTTAAAAGCATTAGAAGTTGAACGACAGGAACGTATTGAACAGATACTGGAGCGAAGGCGAATAAAAGAAGAGCGGATTGGTCGAGAACAACAAGAAAAAGAAAAAGAAAGGCTTGAACAAGCTAGAGAAAAAGCTAAAGAAAGAGAAAATAAATTAACAGCACTATATGCAGCCCAATTGGCTAGTACTGAAGAACTACAGAAGAAAATTCAACAAAAACAAAAGGAATCAACCAAGCGGCATGAACAAAACATTGAACATATTAGGCAACGAGCTCTTGAGTTAGGTGTCCAGAAAAATGATATTGATATGGACAAATATTGCCCTTCTTGTGAAATATTGGTATGTGTTTTGAACAATTATATTATAATTAAATTGTATACTTGAACTAAATCATTATAATTTTGTAAACAAATAAAAAATCAGGGATTTTATGTATATAAAAAAAAAAAAAAATTGGTGTCCAAACCATTGCATTAATTACTAAATATTATTATAATTTAAATATTTTATACAATTAATTTATATTTGTATAAGACAAAATAAAGTAATTTTTTACATCAAGGTGATACAATATTTATATATAATCTATGTTAATTCCATACTTTATTTTTTATTTATTTATTAATGGACATAAGCTCAAATTCATTGACAAATCATATGTTAAATTTAAATTACTGGGAAAAATTACGGCATAATATATTTCCCAAGAAAAAAAATTTAAGTTAATAGGCTTCCGTGTTTTACTCAGAATTTATAATTAGGTTTTACATGTTAAATTTTTAGTTTGAATCAGTAATTATATTGCATCATCATCTGCGGACAAAAACTCATAAGGAACGTATAAAAAAGATTAAAAAACAAACTAAAGTGGAACACTCTATAGTCAATAAGTTTAAGCAAGAAGTAAAAAAAAAGAAATTGAAAAGAGTGAGGTCTTTTGATACTCTTTCATTAGATACCAATGTTACTGATGAAAAAATTGATAGTAAATTAAAAATAAAGAACAACCGTAAACGTTGCATGAAGTTACGGCATAAAATGTTGACTAGGTAATATTATAATAATTATATTTTTTTAATAATATAACATATAATATTGTTTCTAATTTTATAGGAGTAAAAAATTTGAAGATAATTTGTTAAAATTAGATACACCAGCAGACAAAACAACTATAGAGAACTGTGTTAATGCTATTAATAAACATGTGAATGAATTGCAAAATGAACAATGGTCAAAAAATGCTCTAAAAAATCTGGAAACAAAGTTGTTATTCTTGGAAAAGCGATCAAATGAAATTCCAGTATGTATAATCACTATGATTACATACAGTGTTTTTAATATTTGTTTAAACTTTGTTAAATACTTTCTATTATTGTACTAGATTAATTTAAATCTAATTTTTACAGTCAGTTCTATTAAATTATTAGTTAATTAATACAAATTTAAATAAAAAAATAATACTGGTCCCTAATTGTTTTTTTTTTCTTATTCCAGGCCAAAGATTTCCAATCATTAATATATCGAAGCAATGGATTAACAATTTTAAATAAAATACTAATGATTGGCTTAAATGAAGATAAAGGTGTGAATACTTCAGAGTTTCTTACCAAGTATGTTTAAAATTTAATTGGCCTTAAAATAAATATTTATTTATATTTTTAATTTTTGTTAAATTGAGGAATATTAATGTAGTTATTTATAATAAGGATTAATTTGTATAGTAAATTTATAAGTCATATATTTGTTACATATTAATCTCTGTTTACAGATATGTAATGAAGGTGAATAAATTATTTTTAAAAGTGTGCAATCGTAATGAAGCAAATTCTAAAAATGTGATGTTTTCTGAAAATATTTTTACCATATTAGATTTACTTACAACAGAATTAAACGTAATTATTATAGTTCATACTAATAATTATTATATATTAAATATTATAAGCTAATAAGCCATTTTTGTTTATTTCTTTAGAAAATTATACCTGACTCTGGAGTTGATAGCCATTTTAAAATTAAAACTCAAGCTGATTGTGCAATTAGTGGACAGTTATTAGAACTGTTAACAAGTATTTTCTTATCATTTAAAAACACTGATCAAGAAGATAATGAGCATGTTCATGACTTAATTAGGTAATAATATGTTAAAATGAATTATATTTTGTACTCAACATTTTTTAAAAAATATTTCAGTTATATATGTTATATTGGAATACTAGACAAGATTGTACAATTTTTCACATTGGTACGAGATAGTTACCCAGAAACCAATAAACACATGACTGATTTTATGATTCATTGTTTTACCTTTATTGGCAGCCTTGCAGTAGTAAAGTATAAAGTTTAAATTCTAAATAAAAATATTATATTTTAATCGTATTGCATACATTTGTTTAGCATTGGTGCATTAGTTAAGAAATTTGTTGAAATTCTTAAAAACACTGAGTTATTAGGTGTAATGCCTTTCTTATACAGTGTATTATTACGTGGCGATTGCAGCGTTAATGGGCTAGGGCCAACAGATTTAGCTGCTGCTGTATTAAAAGTTACCAAAGCTGTATTTACTATGTTAACATCAATTGCTAAAATGGACCCAGAAACATTCCAAGTAAAATCCGTTAATTCATCTTTTTTCAAACTTAATATTCACAATAAATTATATTAATTATATTTTTTAGGAAGTACTTAGAGCCGAAAGTTTATCAGTTCAATTTCGGCACATAGCTAGGTATTTGTTATGGTTTTGTTCAGAAAAACCAGATAATAAAGAAATTTTAAATGAGGTCATTGTTGCTGTTGGATATTTTACTTTAAACAGTCCTCAGCATCAAGTAATAATTTATTTTAGTCTATTTAAAATATATTTAATATGTTATTTTTTTTAAAAAAAAAAAACAAACATTTTTGCTAATTTATTATTAATTATAGTCGATGCTACAATCTGGACAATCTCCAACAGTGCTACAATTACTGTGCACTTTACCATTCCAGTATTTCAGTAACCCTGTGTTAACTTCAATACTGTACCCTACTCTACTGGCATGTTGTTCAAATAATACACATAATAGAGCTTTGGTGGAGTCAGAAATATGTTTTGACGTATGTTTTATAAATCCATATATTTTTATTTTGTACATAGATTATAATCTTTGGTTATTCTGTTACCTAATTAAACATATAAAACTAAATTGCAAATAGTTATATTATATGTATTATTTTACAGCTACTTGAAGAATTTCAAAAATCTGTTCAAAATCAGAACATTCAAATTATTCAATTGATGAACTAAAATAATTATTTGTTCATCATACTTACCTACTTTTTGAAATCAATTCATTTCATTCATCTAATACTTAAGTAAAACATGTTTATGTAATTAAGTTTAAGGGTACACCAACAAGTGGAATAATTAACATACTAGTCTATTAACCTTGTGATAAACAAAATTATTATTGTTTAGTATTTAATTATAGTTAAGCTAGAGATGATACTAATATTTGATCATTATTGTAGACAAAACTACCTAAATCATTGTTGTTATTATTATTATTATTATTATTATTTTATTTTTGTGGTTTATTGCAATTTATTTAGATATGTATTATGTTATCCAATCTATAGAAATATTTTAGAAAAATAAAGTGGTTAAATGGTGGTAGTTTTTTGTTATTATGTGAACTTATTAAATAATTTTCATTTATCCAAGTATATATATATGGCTATGGGTACTCATTTATTTATAATAAAAATTCATGAGAAGTGTTGTGAATAAATCTTGTAAGTCAATTTAAATGTATAATCGTTTAGATAAATCATTAATAATATGATGTGGAAAATATAGTAATTCTTAAAAAATACAAAAAAAAATGGCTATACTTCGCACAATGGGTGGGCCACTGTTGTAAGTGAGAGATTTGTAAGGTAGAATATAGAGGGTTATTTAATTCATATCTGTACATAACAAAAAACGATTTGGAATCTCATACATGTACATACATTTTCCGGTTTTTCTCAATTATTATAAAAAACCGATTGGAAAAAAAAATAAAATGACCTTTTTAAAGTATAACCCAGTTACCATTTCCTTTCAGAAAAGGGATTACACTTGAAAATTGATTGGTGGAAAAGTTGTTCACAGAAAAAAAAACAACATTGTAAAACCCATACATGCTACGCTCCAACTTAAATAATAATTATAGATTAAAAATCATTATAAGGTATAATATTTTATTTTACCTACTTAATATCATTAGTGTCTCTCCTTCACAATAGAAATAATTAGTATTGCTGAAAAATAGAAAAATGTAGAGTTGTGTTTCACTCAATTCAAGCACTGGATATAAGGTGTATATCATATATTATATTTTAAATTATAAGTACCTAGGTGATCGAATAGTCTCAACTTTACAAGCATAAAGAACAAACTAGAAAATTAATGATGTGACTAAGTTAAAGTTTATAAACAAAAAAGTCATTGTTTCAGAAACTATATAAGTACTTACCGGCTTTGGCTATTTTCTTTACTATGAGAAATTCAATTGTGTTAAGTGGGCTCAGGTGTTGTAGTCGCTTATCCAACATTAATAATTAAATACGTTTGTAATTCTGGTAAAACTCCCCACTACTGTTCCAGTGTTCATAAAAACGTGCGAGTATACGCACGTGTCTATAATTGAAAAATATTGTCTTAGGGCTAAATTCGTATCTGCGTAGATACCAATAACGGTAATTTATAACTGGAGTATTTAAATTTTTGAGTTAAACAATTCGGATTTGAAAATAAAATTTAAAAACAAACTGGCATACTTTACGATTGGTGTGCCACTGTTTTAGGTGGGAAATCGGGAACGTAGAGGGAAAATTATTAATGTAATGTTTCATTAATGTATATCTGTACGTAACGATTAAACATTGTTAACGAAAAACGATTCTGAGTAAAGTTTGGTTAAATATGTTTTGAAAAGCCATTATTATTTACGATTTGAAAATAATACATTTCGTAAATTTGTTCGTTTTTCTATGTGTTTCCCCGATTTTTTCAATTTATTATGAAAATCTCTGAGAAAATCAAAAATTGACCTCCTTAAAATACTATCTCAGTAAAATTTCCTTTAATAAAAAATACCATACTAGAAAATCAGAGCAAAATTTCTGATAAAAAATTGACAGAAAAAAAAATAAACATCATTGTAAAACTAATTCCTTGGTCAACTCAGAATTAAAAATTTTCCTAATTTGAAGTTTGGTGTTTTTCGTTTATTTAGCCTACATTTTACAATTATAGATTTTAAGCATAACAAGGATGAATTCATTTTACTCTAATGTGTTTTTTTTCTGTTTGTAATCTTGCACTTTTCAACCAGAAATCATGTTCCAATAATCATATTTAGGGGTAGTTTTTGGTAACAAATTTTATTTAAATTATGATGCATTCGAAGGTTTTTTAGATACCTATATAAATTGGGGAAAAAAATGTTTAGCATATTTAGGTAATCAATTTTTAATATACAATATGAACAATTTGAATTATTTGTATTATCTGATTCGTATAAGCCGAAAGTTATCGAGGAAAAATACATCTTGGCAAAACTATAGGTAATATTGCTTCTTGTATTTAGTTATTTATGTGCGTTAATAAAATAGGTACCTATAGAAGACAGGAAGTAGGTATAATCGCACGATGCAAGACTGTTTACGTGTAGGTATAAAACAAATAGATATCCTAAACTAATGATGCATCACTGCAAATTACACGCTTTGGTATGCATATTTTTGAACATAGGTAGGTACATAATACTATATAATAAGTAGGTATACTTTTTTATTTTTTATTATATAAATGTATAATGTATAATTAAAACACCACAGGCTATTTCAAATCAGGCGAAACATCGGAATTACAAATTTGGACTGCGCAACTAAATAAAACGGAAATAGTGTAATATTTTTGTACGTAGGTATACAGTAGGTACTTATATTCATGTAGTTACCCTGTAATATGTGTATCGCAGAATAATGTAAAGTGCATACTCGAGTATACAGAAAATGTAAATTGCCCAGCAGCGAAGTTCCCACAGGGTAGGTAACGTGCACAGGTGTCATTCTCTCTCTCTCTCTCTCTCTTTCATTCGATATATATATATATATATATATAATATTGTACAGACGGCCCCGCACGTATAATATTGTACATAATACGTTTCACACATCATTAGTGTTCGTATTATGACAATCGTAGCCTCAGGTAAGTTGGGTACGGACACAGAGTGCATAATATTATGCTCGTAGGTACTACATATTGTTATTAATCGAATAACACGCACAATTTGTATAAGTACTGCAAAGCATTTCCTCTCTCCGATTACTTACATATACCTACCTAGGTAACGTATAAAATATTATGTCCGGCTACCTATATTAAAAAATGTTTATAATGTTTTCCGGTTCATATATTATGTATACTTACGACATTTTTTTTCGACCGTGTGATTTTTATTTTTTTTTTCTGAAGTTGCAGGTGCAATTAAATAATTATTTTAATTTGTTATTTCGGTGGTCAGCTATACGTATATAACACGAGTATAACAGTGCACGTTCTAATATTGTAGCATTATAACAGGTATTAGGTACATAAAATTATATTGCATGAAGACAAATTATTTTGTACAGGAATAATATAGGTACAGCTAAAAAGTTATAGAAGACTACATTATATATGTATTAGGCATAGCCTACACCAGAAATAGCGAACCTTTTGACCTAGTGTCAAATACACTTTTTTGGTTTGATTTTACTTGCGCCGTGTATCAACAAATTGGTAGACCTTTTTTTTTTTTTGTTTCATAGATAATTAATTAAACATCGTAACTGACTTTATTTATTATCACATTCAAACTTTACATTACTACTATAATATGCTAATTTTATATTACCCTATTAAAAATCATTATTAAAATATATTTAAATAATAAACATTAAAATATCAAAATCTGAAACAAAAATGTTTTTTGAAATTTATACTTAAATAAAATGAAAACCGATGTTATCTAGGGAATAACATAGCCGCGTTACACGATAACATCGGTTTTCACACGTACTAGTAGAATTTAAAACGGGTGTTATTTAGAAACTATTCATCAGATATAAATGACGTGTGATATATTTTATATTTTCAGAAAAATAAACTCTTTAGAATGGCCGTCTTAAAATTTTCCAAAAATAATGGAATAAAAACTTAATTTTTGAATTTTTTTAATAAAAAAAAATTTAATTCAAAAATAAATATTTGTAGTTCTCATCCTTGTGAGTAATATATAGAAAAAAAAAAAAATCAAAATTTGATTATCTTCATTACCTCCGGACATATTCAAGGGGTATATCTTCGTGGGACAGCTTGTATATCTTAAATAATAAATATAATAATTAAATATATATCTTAAATCCTGCTTATACTAGACCTGTTATCATTAATAGATTCATGCCTTAGATCAAAGAAGTTAATTGTCGTTAATTTATACGGTCTACTGCCGTGTAAGGTCCACGGTTTATTTATAATGATAAACTATGTTTATTTTGTTTTTAGTTCATATTACGGTTCTATCTATTTCCGTGGTTCATAATTCATATTAATTATTATAATATTATAATAATAATAACATAGAGCATGTTATGTATCTAATATAGCATTTTCTTATATATAAATCTATAACCACGGTTGTAGATAGAACCGTGGCTATAACCTATAATATATTATAATTCATATTATTTTACATACATTTTTTTTTTTACACGAAAAGTACTTGTAAGTATAATTTATTTAATTATTTATTTAGTTATTTCGTTAATAAAATAATATGGACACATATTTTATACAATTACTTAAAGGTAAGTTTTTTTTTTTATTGCAAAATATGTAATGTGATCTAATCAGTATTTTCCTAATTTGTCATACTTATTAAAAACCAAATACACATAGGTAGGCAGATATATTTTGTATAATAGGTATACCTATACCTATTTATTTATATACATATAAATAAATCATATTTCAATGGTTGAGAGCTAATTACCTATTCCACTAAAATACCTATAACTAATAAACGTAAATTTTATTTTGAAATAGGTAGGTAGGTAGTAGGTACCTATCATATTATTTAACTATCTGTTTTAGTTAATATTATGTTTTTAATTTTTATTAAAATAATACATTTTTAAACATTACAGTTGGAATAAGTTATACCTATTATAAAATGTATATAATTATAAAATTAGTACATATCTGTTTATCTGTTAGTTATTGGTCGGCATGCGAGCATGATGATCACATTATTGTAACTATTTGGGTACCATCAGTTTATATCATATTACTCTTACTTTTTTTTTTATGATATGTAGAGTTTATAATGGATAATATATCTTTAATTAACATGTTAACAAATTTATAAAAATAAAATATTTCTTTACTTATTTAATTTCTCTCTTATTTATCGTTAGATATTAGTGTAAAAATAATAAAATAAATAATGCTCTCAAATGAAAATAATTTTTTTTGTATATAACATTTAAAAATTCATCTCCATTTTTATTTTATTACCTATTTTATGTCTTTCAAGTGAATATTTTTATTAAAATACAAATATAATTAAAAACTGTACT